TAAATCTACGACATGGGACACACGGCTTAAAGTCCCTCCCGGAGGACTTGTTCCCTGAATTTTTCCGCCCTTAAAAATTCCACGACCTCCGCCGGGTTTGAACCCGCGTACCTAGAGTCAAGAGGTGGGAACGTTACCCCTAGATTACGGAGGCCGCTTATGAATAAGTAGGTTTCGGGTATTTATTCCATCCAGGCGATGGAATGGTAATAAATGGAGCGTAGTGAGGACGTTTCTCCTTTCGTAACCCAGCGTAAAACTCTCACCGTCCGTCAGCCTTCGGAACCAATTTCACAGTGCCAGAACAGACCACAGGACGTAAACGGAGATAGGCTAAGAATAAAATAAAAAATATAAAAGGAAATTTAAATTACAGAGTAAATATAGCTATTGTTCAAATCACAAACATCGTTCTTTAAAGTTACTTGCCTGTGGCTGTATTTTGTTTTGCTTCGCGGCTTAAATTTGTGCATTAGGCGTATGAACCTTCATAGTAGTTAAGCTCCGAGTAATTTAAACGTATATATTGGAAACGCTGCAGGCCGAATACAGCTTCGACCAAACCTGTTGTGTCCTCAGTGGGACTCGGTTACAGTGATTCATCAACTGTGACTGTAATACAAAGATATTACGCGCTGTCGCCATGTTCATATTTCACACATTTCTGTAAATATCTTGATAAACATGGCAGAGCTTTATACATTCTTATCATCATACAACATTCTAGATTATACTTATAATGGCAAAGATGTTCGGACCACGCAAGTTCACACGGCAACTGCGTCACTATTCTTGATGGCAAAGAGTTCAGAAGTACCAGTTACATGATAATCATATCGGGAATCACGAAATTTGATTAGATAGTATCTGTGAGTATAATGCTGATATAAATGAAACGGGGGACAGACCGACGCAGCTCGCTGCTTTGTCGGAATCCGTTTTTTTTGGGGGGGGGCGATACAAAATTTTGGATTATGATGCTCATTTGAATTGTATTGACAAAGTTTGTGCGTAGTTCCGTATTCCCGTTACAGAAGTTCGACGGCAGGGTAGTGATGTTGAGCCAGAGTTACTTTACGACTGGCGGCTTACCGCCCATCAGTTCATCTTGGCGACAAGCCCTTTGAGACTCACTACAGAGTAATTTTATTTTCCAACTGAATACTTGCGGTTGTAGTCCGTATGTAACATCCTCTCTGATGAGAGGATTGGTCTGTCGTTTACAATTGATGCTGGCCTTCGCCAGCGCAGTCATTCTCAGGTCAAGAGTCCCGCGATACTCATGACCATATTTTATTGTCTCAGATTCGAGACTCCCCCAACCTGGGGGCCAGGTCCCCGTATTTATTTCCCCCAGGAACAGGGTGGCCCGGTTGTACCCCCAGGTACTGGGTTCCCTTTTCGTCGCCTACGACTCGCAAGGCTACGGTGGAGGTATTCGAACCCACCTCCACACGGGTGGTGAGTTCCTGCGCATACATATATATAACATTCTGTTTTGATGTTTTATACGCTCGTAGGTTGTTAAAAGGGCCTCCTTCACAACTTTCCTTGTTCGCTGTTCCTACTGCCACTTTACCTCCCCATTCGCTTTTCAAAATACACACTTCGACCCTGAAGACTGAGACAGCTTATGCCTCCGAAGCGTCAACATCGCCTGCTTCTACACACTGTTACTGCTTACGGTAACGTAATTCACTGAAAACCCCCACCTACCAAGTAGGTTAGCTCAGGTTGCAATTCGACTGATCTATATTTTTAGAAGATCCCATTTCAAATTCCGCGATTTTCCTTACCTGAGAGAGGTGCAGTACGTTGCAGTAGGCCATAGATCAGAGCGATTGGCTCGTTCGACACTATGAGGCGTTTCGTTGTGGATTTCCCCTGTGCGTTTTCTTACAGCAGGCTATGTGTATTTTCCCAACAGCGGTTTGTACGTTTTGTTGGGCAGATATCCCCTAAATTGGATTTTGGTTACGGATCCATGAGTCAGAGGTATAGACCCACGCTGGAGTATACCGCTTCTTAAGGTCTTCTTTACGAATTCATACTTATCTATCCGATATAGTATTGCATGTATTTCAGATTATTTAATAATTAATTACCTTCTCTCATTGTCTCTTTAGCTTGAGGATTAAGGCCTTGGCGACCTTTTGGCATAGCGGTTTTGTAAATTATATTTAGATATACTATATGGCTGCCTGAGGAGCCGGGATAGCGCAGTCGGTATAGCGACTGGTTACGGGCTGTACGACCAAGGGGTTGGAGTTAAAACCCAGCTTCCTATCCAATGAGTACCGGGGGCACTTTCCCCGGGGGTAAAGCGGCAGGGTCGCAAAGCTGACCATTCACCTCCGCCTAGAGCCGAAGTCAAGAAAACATCCACTCCCCCATACGTCCTATTGGCGTAGTGCTTAATTAAGTTCAGGGACAACTTTACCTTTTACCTATGAATAAATGATATATAATGTAATTTAAGGAACCTCTCTGAAATCATACGATTTCTTAGTTTTCAACAGTAACATACAATTTGTTATCTTTGTCTTTCTTTAATTTTCTTTCACCCAAATTACGCCTATATAGAGGGAAGAGCAGAGGTACGAATGTAAAACTAGTTAGGAGGTCCTCGTCCAGTGCCTTAGTACCGGTGTGCTACGTATATCTTGGCAAGTATTTGCCCTGGAGTGGTACTTCTTGCGCCGGTCTTCTTTATTATTCTTCGTTTATTTGATGACTCCGTAGCCCAGAATATATGTCTTAGAATTGTGCGATAATTAGTGAGTAAGAATCGGAGGGTTGCGGCAGGAAGCTATCATGGCTTAATTTGAAGTACTATCCCACCGATGGCGTGAAGGGATTTAGGGAAGCAACTGACCTCCAGGCCGATATATCCCGAATACGAAGTGAGTGTGTGCACTAGTCATTTGCGTGTTTTAAGTGGCTTCCCGGGTCTGGTCAAGTGGGATTTGTGGTGGACAAAGTGGCGCTGGTGCAGGTTTTCTCCAAGTACTTCGGTTTCCCCTGCCAATCTTCAGTCCACCAAATGCTTCACAATCACCCTCACCTATGATCTGGGGCTGGTACAATAGGCAATAAGTGGCCGCAGTACAAGGGACTTAGTCCCACCCCACTAGCAATAAAAAAAATGTAAGAGGCGTTCTTTTGACTTATATTCCAGAGGTGCCCGGTTGCTAAAGCTTTTCACATTTTTCTCAATCCCTTCGGATGAATACCGACATACTACCATGAAGTGGGCCACGGCCGCTGCCTTTCACTTCTGTTTCAATACAGCATTCATTGATTGCCTTTTTGAGGCCTTAAAAATAATCAGCAAGCATATGAACTTACTTGTTTGCTTACTCATGGAGCTGACCCCTTCTTGAGGAGCCGCCAATTCTGCAGCTACTCAAGAATTTCCCAGTATTTTATGGAACCTGAAGGTTCATTACCGTGTCCACAAGAGCCCCCCACTTGTCCCTATCCTGAGCCAGATCAGTCCAACCAATACTCTCCCATCCTGTCTCTCTAAGATCCATTTTAATATTGTCCACCCACCTACGCCTTGGTCTTCCCAGTGGTCTCTTTCCTTCTAGTTTTCCCAGCAATAACCTATACACATTCCATGTCTCCCCCATTCGTGCTACATGCCCTGCCCACCTCATCCTCCTTGACTTGATCATTCTAATTATACTTGGAGAAGAGTACAAGTTATGAAGCTCCTGATTGTGAAGTTTCTCCAACCTCCTATCACGTCATCTCTCTTCGGTTCAAATATTCTCAACACCCTGTTCTCAAACATCCTCAGTCTGTGTTCCTCCCTTAATGTCAGAGACAAAGTTTCACACCCATACAGAACCACACGCAAAATTGTAGTTTTGTATATCCTAATTTTTATGTTTTTGAACGGCAGACGAGAAGACAAAAGGTTCTGGACTGAATGGTAGCAGGCATTACCCGAGTTCAATCTCCTCTTAATTTCCTCCTGAATCAGATTTCGATCTGTTATCATTGTCAGTTTTTTTAAAATGCCAAACTAAAGAAACTAGAAACTGTTATGTAGGTAAAAGAAAAATCACGGAAGAGAAAGTATGGCAGATTTGTAACAACAGTAGAACATGACATCTGCAGAACACATGGCCTGAAATGTGATGAAACGTCAAAATTCATCAGACAGAGACACAGATGGGTCACTTAGCATGGAGGAGAAAAACTGGATAGAACGTTGCAGAAACCTGTGGTAGGATGATAGCAACTGGAACATGAAGAAGAAAGCAAGATAATAGCTGTACTGACTTTGACAGAATTGGCAGAACTCCTCAAGAACTCTGAAAATAGAAAGGCACTTGGCCTAGATGCCCTGCCAGTAGAACTGTATAATTTCAGAAGATCGTTAATGAAACTCTGATTATTACATATAATAAATGCAGCACGAATGGGGGAGACGAGGAATGCGTATAGGATATTGGTGGGAAAGCCAGAAGAAAAGAGACCACAGGGAAGACCAAGGCGTAGGTGGGAGGACAATATTAGAATGGATCTTAGAGAGAGAGGATGGGATGGTATGGATTGGATTGCTCTGGCTCAGGATAGGGACCAGTGGAGGGCTCTTGTGAACACAGTAATGAACCTTCGGGTTCCATAAAATGCTGATATTTTGTTGAGTAGCTGCAGAATTTGCGGCTCCTCCAGAAGGGCTCAGCTCCATGAGTAAGTAAGTAAGTAAGGAAATATAACCTGGAAGACAAAATGAAGCCCTAAGATGGCAAATAGCAACAATGATCTAAATATTTAAAAGAAGGACACAGGAACAAATGTGACAGTAATAGGGGTATTTACTAAAGATGACCTATAAAATCTGATCGCATAGCATAAACACAAGAATAAAAAACACTGTTAAAGTTCTACTACTGGAGGAATAAAGTGGTCTCAAATTCATCCAATCATGTTAAGATGTCTTAGAATAAAAGTTCAATGTTGTCTTTTCTTTTCTTTCTTTGCAGATGGGAAACAAATCCTCAAATCTGTCAGTGGCCGACTGCGATCGGGGGAGCTGACAGCCATTATGGGACCGTCAGGGGCTGGCAAGTCCACCTTGCTCAATATACTTACAGGATATAAGTAAGTCTGTTCTGTTGAAGTTCAGAAATTATCATCCTAGTCTCATGGTTGTGTTGTTAATGGGTGTAACTGTGACACATTAAAAATAGTTATTTGTGACAAGTAACTTATTAAATGAAACTGAAACCTAAAATTGAACTTCTAGCATGCTTGAAGTTTGGTAGCAGCATTTCCTCCATGACTCATATTTTATAAACTAGTAATTCTTGAATTAAGTAATGTTATTTCTTCTGCTACAGATGTAATGATTATATTATTATGACCTGATCTTGTTTTTAGAACAAGGTGTATAACAAAGAGAAGGAGATTGACAGGAAGCCTCCTGCTCAGTGCATCTCATTATACTTCTATTCTGTGACAGACCCTTCTCAGTTTCATGAAGATTAGCCATTTAAGAAGGATGAACCCATATAGGTGTGCTCAGATTGAAAGGTGCACACACACACACACACACACACACACACACATTCGCGCGCGTGCACATTCTCTCCTCCCCCTCCTTTCCCTTCTCCTTCTCCTCCTCCTCCTCCTCCTCCTCCTGAACTTCACACTTTTACAGTTGTTTCCTACATATGAAATCAATCTTAGTATGGTATTTTATAAAGAATTTTTTTAAAACTTGGTGAATGTTAAGGGAATTGTATTATCATGTTTCTAATCAGAATTCTTTCTTCATTCTTTATATTTCCCTCCCTGATTACAAGTAAGTATCGTTCCTTTGTTTGCCATTTGAATTTATAAAGCTGATGTTCATCTCATTTCTCTCTCTTTCCTTTATTGCCTGTTATTATGTCTCTGTTTCATTTTTTTCCCACAGACACACAATTGAGGACACTGTACTGCTTGTCCTTTACTAACATTTCTCACAGATGTCTTGCACAATGCGTGTTACTTGGAGTATTCTCAAGCCAGTTGACTGGTGCAATAAGGGGCCACCATTAGTTAGTATACATATAAAGTTGCTGTATAGTATAGTATAGTATAGTATAGTATTTATTGCATTCAAGCAAATCCAATTACAGGCCAACACCACTGGACACAGAACAAGTCAAATATCTTCAACAAATGCTCCAACAATGGAACTAGTCAACATAAAATATACATNACTTGCTATATACCATGCAGGTATCAGTGCAATATCCTTGAATGTACAACTGCACATCCAAACAATGCATGCAATATTGAATGAACATAGTAAATTACTACTCATTTATACAACCAAAATATTCATCCAAAGTATAAAAGGATTTTGAATGTAAAAAGGCGTTTAAGGCCACTCTAAATACCTTATTATCATGTACTACTTCCTTTATTTTTAATGGGAGACAATTAAAAAGTTTAATTCCATAGCAATAAGGACCCTTCTGATGAACTGTTAAATTTGTCTGAGGGCAATACAAATCTAAACTGCGCCTTGTATTGAGACCATGAATCTGTGTTGATGTATGGAATAGACCCTTATTATTTACAACAAATATCAATAAAGAAAATATATATTGGGACTGGAGTGGCAAAATCCCCCAGTCCTTAAATGCTTGTCTACAGGAATCCCTTGCTCTTAGCCCACTCATAATTCTAATTATTCTTTTTTGAATTCTAAAAATTTGTATACTAAACGAGGTATTGCCCCAGAAGATAATTCCATAGGTTAAAAGTGAATGAAAATAAGAATAGTAAATCATTTTTAATGTTTCGGTAGGCATGATGGGTTTAATAACCCTCATTGAATAACACGTCTTACACAACTTAGGTATAAAAAACGCGGTAGTTTTGCCAGTCTTTTATAATCCTGGAGTCTTTGCCTTAGAACATGCTAGGAGAACCCAAAATCAGAACAAGATATTGACAATATAAAGCACATAATGTAAAATTAATGGCTCTTGAAGGATTTTATTTCTGATGGTATGCTGTGCTCTTGCCATTTTCATAGAACACAATGAAAAATAACTCCTTGTAACTTGAAAGTTATGAATTTTTCCAGTCAAATTACAGTCATGATGGCAGCTTCTTACATATAAAAGCCACTCTGATGTAGGTCTGTGTTTCTTTGTTTGTGCTTACAGAGGATATAGTCAATCTTCACTGTATCATTTGATAATACATGTACTATAATTACATTCATGTCTTCTGTAATTGTAAAATCCTGCAGTGCGAGATCATGCATACAGTGTTTCAATGTTCTGTAGTGCACTTTCTGAGTAATGTTTACATCAAATCTCACAGTATTTAGGGAAGCTGTTTTAACAGAAAGGAGTGGAAGGGATCGGGAATGTCAGTAGGACAGACAAAAGGGATGGGAAAATGATAGAGAAGGTAGGGCAGGCAGAGGTAAGGGTCCCAATGTTTATATAAATTCCTGATTCCACTAGTTTACTCATGCATTCAACATTGTTTTCTTGCTATTGTATCCTGAGTTTTATTGTTTGTGACAGCCTTTACCTCACATGTTACATATCAATTACAGCATCCTTCTTTTTGAAAATAAAAACACTTAGGATTAGTGTAGCACTTATTTGCTGGCAGGAAAAACTACTGTGTTCTGCCATGCAACCTATTTTCCTTGTTAAGTTCATGGCAATATGCCATAAATGGAATTTTTATTTCTTCTTATACAAAAGAATTCCATAAATTAGTATCATTATATAGCAACTATTGATAGTGGAAGTGAGTTGGCAGTGCATTTTCTTATAGGATATGTTAAAATTAATTGAAGAATGAACTGTGTACAGCAACCTAGTGTTGGCACCAGTGGAAATTGTATAAGAGATATGAGTGTTTGAAGGGAGGCAGTTTTATCTAGAAGTTGACATCAGAATCTTTATATTCACTGACTACAGGTTGAATGACCAGAGTTTGATTCCTGGCATGGTTAGAGATTTCTACCTTTTCCACTGCATAGAGATACCAGTGTTGGGGCTCTCACTAGCCTCTATGCAATGAGTACCAGGTGCACCTTCCTAAAGTGAACTGACCACTGAGTCTGTCTTTTATGCTGAGAATAAGAATACCCTGATCTGTATATCCAGTTGCTCTGTTTTCTGCATGCTTGTTTGCTGGGCTTACTCATCCCTGAGGAAGGGTGACAGTGCCATCCTCCAAAACATCAGTAAATCTTTACCAAACTACATGACATCACTTTCATAGTATGCTCTGTGCTTTAATACAAAGATTGTTCAGAAAATGTCAATGAAAGAGATTACTTGGAAGATCCAAGAATAAGTAAATCATTATGAAATACTGAAACAAATTTTATGGAAATAGGGTGTGGGCAGCAGTATAGATGGAACTGAATGAGGATAAGATCCAATACTGGGTTTTAGGGAACAGGGTAATGAATTTTAGACTGTGTAAAAGTGGGATGTTACTGGCCAGCTGTTCAAGAAATACCATGCACTGTGGTGTTGCTTAGTACGTACTGATTCTTACTAATGGAAGACCTGTGGTACAATGGAAGACCTTGTTCACAGATTTCTGCTCTAATATTATATATGCTTAATTGATATTAAATGATATGAAGATTTCCCAGTTGGCACCAGTCTAGACTTTTTATAGTTCTCACTTTGTCTTTGGTTATATGTAGAGATCAGGTCATGGCCTCATAGAAGTCTTGTTAAGGCTACATTCCTCTTTTATTGTGTTCGTGAGAAAAGGAAATAAAGCTTTACTTAAACACTGAATTTCACTGAGAAACTATGCTGAGCTGTAACATGTCTGTGTTATATTTTTGGAGGTACCTAGTTCATATCTTGGCCATAGAACTGCTTACTCAGACTGAAGAGTTTATGATAGTACTTTGTCTCTTTGCCAAGTATAATTAGAATGATCAAGTCAAGAAGAATGATATGGGCAGGGCAAGTAGTGCATGGGGGAGGGAAGGAATGTATATGATTTTGGTGAGAAAGCCAGAGGGAAAGAGCCCACTAGGAAGACCTAGACATAGGTAAGAAGAAAATACTAAAATGAATCTTTGAGAGATAGGATGGGGTGGTTTGGACTGGATTGATCTGCCACATGAGAGGGATTGGTGGAGGGCTCTTGCAAACATAGTAATGAACCTATGGGTTCCATATATTGTTTGAAAATTTTTGAGTAACTGCTAAACTGGCGGCTTCTCAAGAAGGGCTCAGCTCCCTGTAGTTAATTACCATTTGTTCATGGTGAATGCTGGATTGACGTCTTGAAGTGGTTTTGCAGTCTTCTCCATCTAATTTCTTTTCAATCTGTTCACTCTTCACAATCATCCTCCCATCTTATCTGATGCTACATAACCACTGCAGGTGAGGCTGGATCATTATATAAATAAATAAGCAAGCAAGAAAAGGAGCAAGTGCACTAATGAACAAAGTAATGACCAGACAACAGAACAGATGAAGGGATGGATGGATGGATGTGTGTGTGTGTGTGTGTGCATGCAAGTATGTATGTATATATGTATTCTATTGTATGTGTGTATGTACAGAAGACTGGATGAAATTTTATATTAAGAACTAATTTTGTGCTAGTCAGTAGGTACTCCATTACTTGACAGACTGCTGTTGAAAGTGAAAGATTCATCACCATCATTACAAAAGTTTGCAGTTGGACTCCATCTTAAGCCAGTTCAAAGGAGTTCACTTATTTATAGCAGTAATATTTGAAATGCCTTTTACAAATCAGATGTTACATAAGGTGTAGAATAATGTGCCCTCTCATTTTTGTTTATTCTCCATGTTATGAAAAAATATATGGAATATTGTAAACACTCAGGATCAGGGTAAGTTTTAATTAGGGCTGTACCCTTTCCTTCTGCTTCAAGATGGAGAGGGTCAGGATTCAGACATTTTACATCTTTGTCACGTGGTGGATGATGATCAGATAATAACTTCCATGGTAATACTAGTCCAGTCACATATCTTTAGAACCACATGGACCCATATTTTATAGTTACAGCTTAATGTAGTGATAATTAAATGGTGGATAATTAATTGATCGGTCCATCTTGTGGGAAGTCCAGAAACTTAAAGTTGTGAAATCATAGTTCTTGGATGCTTTGAAGGATTTGTAAACTGGTTTGAGAGACTTGGGAACATCATTATCTTGAAGGTACATATATATAAAAAGATTCCCAGACTCAAATTAAATAGTAAGAGAAATTGTTTAACTTCCAGAACTTCTGGAATGAATGGGTCCATCACAATCAATGGGCAAGAACGCAATTTGAGTCAGTTTCGCAAGCTGTCTTGCTACATCATGCAGGATAACCAACTGCATGCCAACCTGACGGTGGAGGAAGCCATGCACGTTGCATCAAACCTCAAGCTTGGAAAGGATATGAAGAAGGATGAAAAGCAAGAAGTGGTAAGTTCCTGGACATATTACAAAGAATTATGTCAAATTGAGAAGACCTCAAGGAACGTGATCACATGCATAAACCAAGGCATAGATGAAAGGATATTATTAGATTGAATCTTAAAAGGAATAGGGTGCTCAGATTCATCTGGCTGAGGATGTGGCCAGTGGTGGGGTCTTGTCAACATGGTAATGAACTGTCAGGATCTGTTAAAGAGAAGAAATTTTGTGACTAGTGGAATTATGAGATCACCAAGCTGTCTGTATATGCTTCTCCCACTTCCACCTTTCAAATCAGTTGACTAGATTTGACAGAATTCTGTATTAATATTATACCATTTGATGCCTTCCCAATTTCATCCCTTTTAATGTTGTATAATCAGTAACAACAGCATGGCTGAGACATGAACTTGAGAGGTGAGAGGGATACTTAGTGCAGGGACATGAAATGATATACTGTAATAGAACTTTGAAATAAGGATTCAACTTTTGTTATGGTGTGTGCATGTGTGTGTGTCAATACACCATGGCTTGATAAGGAATGTTTAAAATCATTAGGTAAAAGGAAATATCCTGAATTCCAATAGTTAAAGAATCTCAACCACGTGAACAGAAATAATCTGAACAGTATAAGTGAAACTAAGAATTTCAGGAACAGAACATGAAATTCCTAAAAAACAAAAGTAACGAACTTCAAACATGTATTACAAACTGATGTATTAGAAATTTTTACAGAGGCATGAACGAATTGAAAAGGATTACAAATTTAGAATTATCATGGTGAAGGATGAGAATGGTAGTCTGCTTCGGATTGTTGAGGATCATCACTGTGAATTTTCATGTAATAGATCAACTGTTCACCAAATATCTACAATTGTCAGATACTGAAGGGAACATAGGAATGTAATGGGACAGTACATGAGCTATTTATTAACTTCAATTTTGCATGGGAGTCTTCGAGGTGACACATTTAATTGATAAGTGCAAGATCTCAGATATCTATACTATAATGCAACCACAGATTCATCTAGCCTCTACTGTAATGGCAAATGGCACTTGTATGAGGCAGAACAGTGTGTATCACTATTAACAGTGGCTGGGATAACTACTGCATGGCAGGTGAACATGCGTATATGTTGCAGATTTATTTTTCGATAGGTTAAAAGGAATGGTAACTTTTCTTTGAAAGTGTTACTATTTGGATTAGAATTCTGTAATCTGGGATACAAGATAACTGGGAGTTTATTGTATGTTGAATAAACAGTCATGATCAGATGACAAGGAGTGGTCCTCCAGACTGGGGGTTCTGTGGAGAGCTAAAACTATTCCTTAGTGTAGAAAACTAGCATGTTACAAAATGTTACACAGGACCTCAGATGTAGCAGGCTTGTGCAAAAATAGTAATAATGATTCTTCAGGTTCCATAAATCCTGGGAATTTTCTTGACTGAGTGACTGTTAGCTGTTGAGAGTGGGGCTTTACTCCATGGAGTTGGTTGATTAGTTATTTAGTCATCCAGTCAGTAATGTTGTTCCATATTATTTTATGGTATATATTAAGGCTTTACATATTCCTTACAGGTGCAAGAAATCCTTGAAACTTTGGGTCTGCAAGAGCATCGTAAAACCATGACCAGTAATCTCTCAGGTGGCCAGAAGAAGCGGCTGTCCATTGCTCTCGAATTGGTGAATAACCCACCCATCATGTTTTTTGATGAGCCCACAAGGTAGGAAAGAGTCATCACTCTTCTAATTCAGAATTTTTGTCACTTTTCTGCATGAAAAATGTCTTTTCATGTTTTTGTATTCCATTACACAGACGATTCCATGTTGGCTTCTGACTGTGGTAACCTGCTTTCAAGAAAGGGGGACAGTATGTGGAGTTTGTGATGAATAAAATAGACAGGACAGATTGTTCGCCTTTATTTTATATTTACCTGAGAGCAGTAATAGCTGATGCTTTCTTCCTGTACTGAGCTGTGTGAAATGCGTGATGAACTCAGATGATAACACAGTCTCTCAACCTGTGACCTTTCATTTAGCTCAACTCGGAGCAAAGAATATGATAGCTGGATACATTAACTGTTTTGGAGCTGCAGCTGCAGTTTCTAGGACTGTTCTCTCTGGCCTTGTCTCTAGAGGTTGAGAGTCCCTGGGCAGCTTGGTTCTTCATGTCCAGATTCCAGTCAGTTGTAGTGCACAAGGGTAAAGTGCCATGCCATGAAGGCATGTTGGGGTTTTAAGGGTAAAGCTACATGCATTCTTAACTTACCTTTGAGATGGATGCAGGGCCACTTTAAGGCCCTGGGCAAAGTATGATCATGCCCTCCCCCCTCCTGACCCCACTTCATTTTTTAAAGAGATGTGACCTTACAATTTGGTATAAGTGAACTCTGTGGCATGTAGTCCGTGAACGAACTATACTATAGTTTGTTCACGGACTATAGGCCACAATTTTCAATTGTGATTTTTCTTTTCTTAGCCTTTTCGCTTTTGTTACTACATATAAATAACTTTCGCACTGATACCAAATTGTGGCGGTCGCTTGGTTGGTATAGTAACTATACCAAAAGTATAGTGCCAAAGTATTTATATGTAGTAACAAAAGTGAAAAGGCTAAGAAAAGATAAAAATCACAATTGAAAATTATCTTGGTTCAAAATAATTTTTCAAAACAGAAGTATTGTGTGTCAGATATGCCAAAGCAAAGAAATCTTGGTATGTCCTTTGTGTGTCTCATACCCAGATGTGTGGATCAAACTTACATGCTGAACTAGCCATTAAAGACTTGAGATTCTCTACATAAAGGCAGCAAAAAAAAAACATTAATTTTAATGCTGCAGATAGGAATGAAACTTTGTTCTCAAGTCTCAGATCCTACATTTTGACTATGCACTTGATAGTTCTTACATTTACTTATTGTGCTCCTGACACCTGACAGTGCAGTACAGATCTGTTTGGGATGCTACAGATATTTGGCATGATTTTTGGAAACTTACAGTTGTGTAGACTACAGGTCTGCAGATATATTCTTGAGGTATTTATAAATAGCTTAAGAAGCACATAGCACTGACATTTGGACCTTGGGGGGTTATTAAAATCAGGAGGGCCATATTAGCTGCTCACTTTGCCTGTTAGATAAAGTGGTTCAGGGTGGAGAGAACTGGTCAGTATCGTGGTCTGATGCTTCCTGTGGTGAAAGACCCTTTGATACTCATGAAATGAGAGGCTGGATGGGATGAAGATATAGTTCAAATGTGATGGAAGAGAGAAAAATCCCTGGTGCTGCCAGCAGTTGAATCCTAGTCATCCATCCAGCAGGCAGTCACTTTTCTGTCATGTCAGTCAGTTGTTAGTCCAATCATACACCTGCTTAATCCAACTAGATTTATGAACCAGTACTTCACTCTGTGATCACTGCATGAAAACTCTTTAGGCATATGACTGGTACCTACTAAATTTGAATTGAAAGAAGTGTCAGCTTTAATGGTCTGAGAGATGAATTAATGTTTTTTTTTTTTACTTTTTGATTATCTCTTATTCTCTTCTCCACGTTGTCGAGACCGGCTCTGGGGTACACCCAACCTTCTATCCAGTGGGTTCAAGGGGCTCATTCTCTGGGGGTAAAGCAGCCTGGGCATGAAGGTGACCACACCTCCACCTAGTGCCTAGGTCAAGAAAGTGTGGATCTATGCATCCACTCCTCCATATGCCTTCATGGCTTAGTGCTTAATTAGTTCAGCACAGGGAAAACTTTACCTTATTCTTAGAAAATAAATAATGCATACTTGTCTCTGTTGATAACTTCATACTCTTACCTAATCAGCTAACTCTTGAGACCAGTGGATATTTATTAAGCAATTCAAGATATTTTCCATCATGGAACCTGAAGGTTCTCCTTCACATTCCTGTAAGGAACACATGAGAAACATTCACATGATCTGAAGTTGTTCACATTGGATTGATGGTCAGAATATTCCAGAGATGATATTATTTATGCATCCTGTCATATTTTATCCAGACACCCAGCTACACTTATTCCTCTGCAAACCCAGTGCAAATAAAGAAACAGAATACTTGAAGGAGTTGAGCCTCACTGTTGCTTTGATGGATGCACCTGTCTTAATATACAGGAACCTGCCTCTTCTACATTTTTCTTATTAGCCTAAGAACTTAGCATAGAATATGATGAGGAACCACAAGATACTAGTCATGTCCTTAGGTTTTTATGGCTGGAGGTTCGTGTATGACTTAGTTTTTGGGAATATTCTGTACAGAATGTTCTCCAACATTTCCTGAAACATTGCAGTTTTTTGGTTACCATCTTTATGGTTAATGTGTTGGTGGGTTTGAAAAGCCCTTTTATAGATCTCACAGTGGGCTTTCCTGAAACCCAAAGACTTACTTTCAAAAGGTTTATTATGTATCGGCTGAGCACTCGGTGATCCTTCCAGCCGCACTGTGGCCCTGGGGGTCAACTCAGCCTCTAACAGAAATGAGTACCAGGAAGATTCATGGGGGTAAAGGGCTACTGGCACATAAGGCTGGCAACCTTACTTCCATCTGTGAACCAATGGTCTAGAAAATTTGGGTATTTGCGCATGTGTGTGTGTCAGCTAAGATCATTGGAGTTACTTTTTTACAAAATTGTATGCTTGTTTTGTGAATATGTGTGTTATTTCTTAAGTGATTTGGGTTATATTTGGTATGGAGGAATCTTGATGATGGTGGCAGAGTGACTAATGAGGGAGTCTGCATGAAAGACAAGTGCCATACGTCTAGACTACCAGGTCCCTGTTGAATCACTTTGTGACAGAATTCAGAGGTTAGCACTTCTAATGCCAAAGCCATCACTTGACTCTATCCTGGGTATTCAGTGGATTTTTTTTTTTTCTTTTTAGTGGTCTGGACAGCTCTTCCTGCTTCCAGTGCATCTCACTATTGAAGTCACTGGCTCGAGGTGGTCGTACAATCATCTGTACCATCCACCAGCCAAGTGCCAGGCTCTTTGAGATGTTTGATCACTTGTACACCCTGGCTGAGGGGCAATGTGTGTACCAGGGATCAACACAACAGCTTGTGCCTTTCCTTAGCACTCTTGGACTTGTGTGCCCAAGCTACCACAACCCAGCATCCTTTGGTGAGTGCACTTTTGTCACTTACGCTGAGAATGATTCAGCTACATAAATAGACAGCCGTGTCTTCTACAAAACATGTGCCACCTAACATGTGAATAGAAATTGTGAGTGATCCACTATCAGCTGGGGGATGCAACTAAGGTTGAGGAAACTGTAAACCTGCAGGAACTATATGTGAGGAATTTTCTTGAACAAGATTATAATGTTAAAGTGGGTTATAAACATGTGAATTGCATTGGCTTAACATAGGATCCAGTGATAGACTTCACTGCAGAGATAATGATCCTTCAAGTTCTTGACAGGATCTATTTAATCAAAGTTTCAATTATGACATCACTATTTTACTTACTTACTTACTTACTTACTTACTTACTTACTCATGGAGCTGAGCCCTTCTGGAGGAGCAGCCAATTCTGCAGCTACTCAAGAATTTTCCAGCATTTTATGGAACCCGAAGGTTCATTACCATGTTCACAAGAGCCCTATCCTGAGCCAGATCAATCCAATCAATACCATCCCATCCTATCTCTCTAAGATCCGTTTGAATATTGTCCAGCCACTTACGCCTTGGTCTTCCAAGTGGTCTCTTTCCTTCTGGCTTTCCCACCAATATCCTATATGCATTCCCTATCTCCCCCATTCGTGCTACATGCCTTGCCCGCCTCATCCTCCTTGTTCATTCTAATTATACTTGGAGAAGAGTACAAGTTATGAAGCTCCTCATTGTGCAGTTTTCTCCAACCTCCTGTCACATCATCTCTCTTCNGTCTTAATTTCCTCCTGAGTCAGGTTTCAGTCTGTTATCGTTGTTCCAAAATATCTGAACTGTGCCACATTTTCAAAACATCTGTGTCCTATCTGTATGTCATGATCTTGCCCTGCATTTTGGTGACCAGACAGCAACATATACTTAGTTTTCTCTGTGTTTACTTCTAGACCGACCTCTTTACTTGTGTCAATTAAGGTTGTGTGTTTTTTTATGCAATCTACATTATCACCCAGTAGATTCACATCATCAGCATAGGCCAACAGCTGATGTGTTCCATTAAATTTCAGTCCCACCTGGTTTCCCTGGACCTTCCTAATGGCATATTCTAAAGCAAAGTTGAAAAGGAGTGGCAATAAAGCATCTTGTTTTAGACCATTGTGGATAGGAAATTTATCAGACAAATGTTTACCTACAAGGACTTTACTATACATATTTTACCCAAGAGAATATTCCCAAGAACTGATGACAACATTCCAGATAAAGTTCACAGAGTGTGATACCAATACAGAACACCAGGGGCTAGTTAACCTCAAGGAAATAAAGGCTTTCAGTAATAACCTTAAAGGGATTAGGCCATTATGTTTATCATATATGAATATTAATATAATGGAGTGATTCAGTCTCTTAAATCGGTGTTTTAAATGCAGCTTGAAGAATTTATTAACAAAGGATGTAAATATTTTGAATCAAATGAAAATATGTAATTCATTTTTTTGACTCAGTAGTGGCCCTCATTCTCACCTGCAGTCAAAACATTAATGGCATGACTTAACATGCAGCTGTTTCCAGTACTGTCTCTCAAGCATTGGGCTGTAATAACCAGGAATTTTTCATTTTGGATATGTGCCAACAACCCAGTTACTTCTAAACTGAGTTAAGAACCTATCAAAATGTGATTCATTAACGTGTATTAAGATCAGTCTACGATAGTCCTAATACATATATATGTTACACCCCAGAAGTGTAAATCATTCTGAATACTCTTAAATCTTTGCATTGATACAATTAGACCATTATACAGAATGACGATCACCTATTCAGCATTCAGTACACACAAACACATGTGGACATGCACGCGCGCGCACACACACACACACACACACACACGTGCACACACAGCTGAGAATTATATGCAGTACATGTGTATGTATTGAGCGTAACCCATGGTAAGAAGTCCAAATTAATACAGGGTGTTCAGATGAAAGGTATCCAAAATAGAATAAATGTATCTCAGAAGACATTTAATATACACATCTATGGATTACACCATTATAAACAGAAAGTATTATAGTTTTTTTTTCTGAGAATATAACTTTCTCAGTAAATTTCAGTTTGTGCTCCCTTTGTGGAATGACAAACATTCAGATGATATTGGACCTTGTTCCATGTTGCTTGAAGCATGTTTTCTGTTACTAAATTCAGTGACCCAGGAGGCCAAGCAATTGGTCCACCTCTGCTAATCCATCTCCCAGCCATCTTTCTGTTCAGGTGATTCCTAAGATGGTGGCTGAAATGTGACAGCGCCCATCTTTTTGGAGGATAATTTGAGGTGGTAACTGGGGCAATGCATACAGCTCAAGCATGTCCAAGTACAAACATACAGTCACAGTCTTTTCCCAAAAGGAAAACAGTCCAATCAACTTGTCATGCATTAAGCTGGCTCACACGTTCACTTTGGGGCTACCTCTCTCCAATTCACATGTGACATGTGATTTTGACTGCCTCAAATCCTGCAGTTTCACCTGTTTACAACTCCACTGACATGGAACATCACCTTGTCTCAGAAGCACACTTGACAGAGAAAATCAGGTGATGCGTCAGTTCTTTCTAGCATGTCCACAGCAAAGTATGTGCATGCTTGCTTCTTGGTCACACAGTTTTAGTGCATGAATCGTTTCAATCTTGTACACTTTTAGGCAGAGTCTTTTGTCTAGAACTTTATGTACTGTTGAACGTGGAATTTGTATATAACTTCAAGCTAGCAGCGCGAATTGATTTGCGTGGACCTTGCTGGAATGCCTCTCTAATGCGATTGACATTTTGTTCAGAGATGTGTGTCTTTCCAGGAGATTTTACATGCAACAGACTACCTGTAGTCCTCAGTTTGTTGTCCCGGAACCAAATGCTTATCCATGTAGGAGGTTGATGTTCATATTGTGTTCTAAAATGACATTGGACAGCTGCAAGAGATTGAAACTCTGCTGGCCACAACACACATTGAACCTGTTTTGTGGTGTCAGCATCATTACTGAGCTCACCGAAGGTCACCAGCTGGTGCATGCACATAAGCTGAGCATGAAGAAGAAAACTTTCAGAGTTTTCCTTTCCGGATATGGGCATGACAGTTTCTGAGATATAAATTTTTTATTTTTTAGACCTTTCATCTGGACACCCTATAAGCCAATAATCAATCAACAAAGAAGCATGATATCTCACAGGAGAGAACTTTACTCAGAACTGCTGACATTAAACCATGCTCTCCTTTCTTGACACAATCCCATATCAAGCATATTCTCTCCAATTTTTGCAGCCTTGAATCCATGTCAGTTTCTGGCCCTTCGTGAATAAGTTGCAGTCCCAGTCCTGGCCTCTAGCAATTAGTATTCTTCACTTGTAGCATCTGATATCCCTAATCACGTTTGCTATACCCACATTCAATCTAATGTGAGCTTTCTAGAATTTCTAAATTTCTTCTTACTCCATTTTTCCATCAAAACCCACTCAGACTTCCAACATTATGGTCAAAATACATGTGGTGGTCAACAGAGGAGACTCTAAATCACAGAAGTAAACAGCAATCATATTTGGCCACTAAGGGACCCGAAGACAAACTTTTCCACCAAAGGAAAAGAAATTAATTGTAATAACTCACTAATGGACACCAGGTCTCAGTAGCAGCCCATATTGTATGGGTACTGTGCAACACATCAAGCTGACAAATAAGTGTCAGCTGTTGAAGAAAGATACTCTTTCATGCAGTTAGAAAGTATATTTGTTGTTATTAAAATTTCCCTTAATTAATTTTCTGATGGCCATATTGAGTAAATGCATCATTTTCCATTCTGTATAAGAAAAGAATATAAACAATAAAGTTTGTTTGTTTCCTTTAGTGATTGAAGTATCATGTGGTGAGTATGGAGACAACATTCGTAAACTAGTGAATGCTATCCAGAATGGAAAACATGACATCCGTACAGGAAAACCATTCCCAGAACTGCCACCAGCAGAAGTTCTCAACAATGCAGATGTGAAAATCTCAAATGGCAATGGAGCCCTTGGTACAAATGCAGTGGAGAATGGAGACAGTGATGCTGTAAAATACACTGCTAATGCTGCAACAGATGTGAATCTATACCAACCGTTTGTTACCAAGGATGTTACTAAGGAGGAACAAAGTAAGTGTGAAGTATACACCTTAGTACTACTCAGTATGCTTTTCAGAGAGAATTGTTGGAATTAATAAGGTTCATATTGCTAATGAACTCTTTAATTGTACTTCTTTTTCCTTGAAGTGAAACAATTGAAATGGTGAGGAAAGTTCAATGAGACCTCCCATCTAATATTTCTGATGTCTAAAAGCTGGTTTGCCGGTCACGGTAGCCGAGCGGTCTAAGGCATGCACTGTCTTCGCTCACTCGGAAGCTGGGATTGTGGGTTCGAATCCCACTCAGGGCATGGATGTTTGTATGCATTTTTCTGTGTTTGTGTACAGGTAGAGGCCTTGTGACGAGTTGATCACCCGCCCAAGGTGTCCTACATTATGTCTAAGATCTAGTAAAACCGAAGTGAAACAGAGAGTTTCATGGAGGTAGGCCCAGGCCCAAATGAGGGCTGTAGCACCAATGAAAAAAGAAAAAAGCTGGTTTACTGTTAGTATTTAACCATATGTATGTTAAGAGATGATACAACACTGCAAATATTAACTGTTTAATCCAGTGCATTTGTTTGATGTGTATTACAAAGCATATTTCCTGCAATTGACCATCTACACTGTATCATAACACTTCTTATGGTGGTTTAACAAACTATGCTGTGAAATCACTATTCTCACATGTGGCCTGCTTGGCCACTTATGACCACCAATAATATGTCATGCAACCACCAGATACTTTCATTACTAATAAACAGTTCTTTTATATCTTCTGTAAATTTATGTATTAATTTTACATGATTATTGTGGGCCTGTGCCACATTGTTCTGTCTGTTCACTTTTATTCTTGAAAAAACAAATACTGCAGCAAATTGAAAAATGAAAATATTATTGGGGTAGCTGTGGAAAAATGTTCAGTGAGAATTTTCACATTTAATAAAGTGCATAAATTATGGTGATCACATTTCCCTTGCAGTTTGTTAAAATGTAAGTCAACAGTGTTGTTTACAGGATTTGTTTTACATGTAAAAAGTTACATGTGTCAAGTTATGTTGCCATGAAACATGTTTCTCACTTTTTAAATGCTGCCAAAGGAAATTTTTGCTTGAGAAATGTTGTTCTAGGTGACATTGAAGGTGGTTGATCAAATCATAACACATCTGCAAATGAAGTTGTAGAACATTTTGATGAAGTGTAGGAGAGTTTGCAAGACATTCACTTGTAAATTTTCTACATTGTGCCTTAGACACAGAGNTTTGATCAAATCATAACACATCTGCAAATGAAGTTGTAAAACATTTTGATGAAGTGTAGGAGAGTTTGCAAGAAATTAACTTTTAAGACATTCACTTGTAAATTTTCTACATTGTGCCTTAGACACAGAGGTCCCTTTTGGAAATGTTACATAGCTTTTTTCAAAATAGAGTGACAGTTCTTGCATAGGTAGTATCAATGGGATTGGCAGCAGTAAGGTTAATTTGTTAATGTGTGTTACTATGTGCCATTAATATTTTTACACTCAGAAGTCAGAATTTAGCTTCATCTATAATATTATTTTCTGCAATAATTGAATGCATATTTTATATTGTGATTTATTCCAGTTCCAAAATGTACTTCCAAATTTCAGACTTTTCTGTATTCCAGTAACTCTTTGCCATTGTTTGTGCTTTTGTCTAGTTGGAAAGAAGTCCGGATAATTTATTCTATGAGTAGTGCATGTAGGCTTGTAGAATGTGATGGGTTTATCTGAGACATCTGTAGGCTGACAGTGTGATTATCTGTGTGAGGCTTCTGTTGGCTGACAATGTGATGTACCTATGTGAGGCTCTTACAAGCTGACAGTGTGTGACATATGAGTGTGAGGCAGCTGTTTGCTTACAAATTGTGATGTATTATTGGTAGGTGCCACTGGTGAAGCCGTGCCAGCTAGTATAGTTATTCCTGTGGACCTCACAGCATCTGAGAAGGCTCCTGACAATGTGACAACAGCTCTACTAGACACAGGCTTTGTTGCAAGTCCACGGCGGTATCCAATCTCTGAATTCACTCAGTTCTGGATAGTTTTGAAGAGGACCCTGCTCTTCAGCAGACGAGACTGGGTAAGGCTATGTCATATGTTTCGTACTGGGACTTACTGCAGTCATTATATTAAAGTGTGCTTACACACACTAAAATTACTTGTATTGAAGAAACGAAGCCAGCACAAGATGAGGATGTGCTGAGAGCAAGCAAGTGCAAGTGGAAAACTGTAAATGTGCATTATATGAGCAGACCCAGTCTGCCCACTTTCATTCTTACATGAATACAGGTTGTATATACTTGTCAAAGAATTAAGTGAGATCTTTAAACACTCTTTGTAGACTCTGATGTACCTGCGACTGTTTGCTCATATCCTGGTGGGACTTCTGATCGGTGCCCTGTATTATGACATTGGTAATGATGGAGCCAAGGTCCTCAGTAATTTGGGTTTCCTGTTCTTCAACATGTTGTTCCTCATGTACACATCAATGACAATCACCATCCTCTCATGTACGTATCAGTTTTTATTCACTCTTTAGAAATCTGAAGTTCTGTCAGAACAACATTGAGCTTAGTCCAATCCATTCTGTTTCATTTAGTTTTGGTTGAATACTCACTTCCCATCTGCACCTCACACTTTGCTATGACATAATGCTTTCCTCATGTTAGTTTCATGCTTGATATACTGGTATCCCTCGATTTGTAAAGGTTATTAATTCCATGAAATCTGTTTATAAAGTGAAAATCTGAAATATAAAATGAAATTTCCATTGACTTTCCAATGTTGATGAAACAAGGGATACCTGTGTTTTGTGCTAATTACTCTCTGACAAAGTCTGACGTAGAACTGTAAAATTAATGAATGATTAGCTGAATAAAATAAATAATTAAATGGAGCAATAAACAGATAAGGAAATAAATTAGTAAATGAATGAGTAGTTGATGAGTGACAGAATAAATAAATAAATATAAATCTCTATATATAATAAAATAGCTATAATGCTGCAGGAAATTATGGTACTGTAATGTGCTGACAGGTGCGGCCTCTGCTTGTTCTAGATATTGCTAATGTTACTGGTAGGTGTAGAGCTACCACCAATAATTTCCCCATTTTCAGCTGTTGTCAGTTTCATGAAAAATACTAATTTAGAAGAGCTTGTAACATGTGTTTTGTGTTTTTTTCAGTATTAGTTATTATGATTAGATTTTGAGCCTGTGAAGTTGAGCCCAAAGTAATTATGTAAGTAAATGTTATTTTCAGGATTTTGTACTTTCTGACTTCTTAACTGATTGAAAAGAGCTGCCTTTTTGCTTGCCTAACCTTCCATTTAGTGATCCAAATATTTTTCAAATTTGTATTTATGTTACAGTTCCATTGGAAATGCCAGTTCTTGTAAAAGAAAACTTCAACCGTTGGTATTCACTGAGGTCATACTATCTTGCCATAACATTATCAGATATACCATTTCAGGTAAGGAGACTCTGCCTTTGCCTCCATTTGAACGTGGAATTAAGTAATTTGTATAATTTTACTTTGTACTTTTGTGCTAGAGTACTTGAGGTATAGACTTTCTTCATGAAAATCTGCAGGCAGTAGTTCAGAAGATATGTAATCATCATGAAGAAAGCAGTCTTCTGGGATTTGGCACCGTGTATATGTGGTGTTAACCGACGTTTCGGAGGAACGTATCGCCTCCATCTTCATGGTAGAAGAAAAAATATAAGAAATCTGCAAGCGAAGAGACCGTGAGAACTGGTAAAATCAGACATATACACGGTGCCAAATCTCAGAAGACTGCTTTCTTCATAGTCACCGCCGTGAAAGCCTCAAATCTTACATGTAATCATCATGTTGGTGCTTTTTATGTGGTCTTTGTACATGGTGCTGAAGGTGAACATACAGTGGGAATGTCATAGTGCATACTGTTCAACTACAGAAGTTACTTAGCACTGAATTACAAATAAGGGTTAACAATAAAGATGAACTGCGCAGGGTGTAGAGGAGGTGGTCAGTGTCTGTATGAAGGTACTATCCTAAAATGTACATGGAAATGCAGAGGAAAACCATGAAATGCTTCAGTTACACCACATTCCTATCGATGACTTGAATTTGATGTAACCTAAGTACAGTTAACACATTGTACTGCTAGACAGCCTGCTCACCTTTCACTGGAAATGAATTTATAGTATTGATGTGGTACGTCTGTCATCAGTTTTTTATACAGAATATGGGACAGACATGTGATCTGTAAAACTGTTTGTTTTCTCCTGTTACAGGCAGTATTCTGTGTGATATATGTAACAATCGTATACTTCTTGACGGCACAGCCATGTGAACTGTCAAGATTTTCTATGTTCCTTGGGGCATGTCTTCTCATATCCTTTGTTGCACAAAGTGTTGGGTTAGTTGTTGGAGCTGCCATGAATGTTCAGGTATGTAAATAATAATGTCATCTTATGGATGGTGATTTTTCTGGTGTATTGTCATATGTCGTATGGAGAAGTGTGCTTCAGTTTTAGCTGAGAGACCATCTTATGTGATTCTGGCAGTGAACTTTCTGAGCCTGTAATAGGGCAGATTTTTTTATCAATTCAGTAACTGTTGTTTTCAGAAGAATGGTGAATAATGGAGGTAGTTAGTTGATTGGTTGATTAAATTGTAAGTCACTCTACCATCTGAAAGTCAGTTGGCCTGCCTCACATGTCCCTGTGTGTCTGCAGTGCTGTGATCTCAGTCTGTGCACATCTTATTATAAGTTTTGTCAGAAGAAATTTTATCTTTGTTTTCAGAATGGCGTTTTCTTGGCTCCTGTTATGTCAGTGCCCTTTCTTCTCTTCTCTGGTTTCTTCGTGAGCTTTGATGCTATACCAGTATATCTTCGCTGGATCACTTATCTCAGTTACATCCGTTATGGCTTTGAAGGAACAGCCCTTGCCACTTATGCCTTTGGTCGAGAAAAGCTCAAATGCCATCAGGTATGTATGTTATAATGTGATGAAGATTATTCCTGTTTGTTTCTTTCATAATTTATTTAATGATGCTTTCTTGACTGCATAAGTTATATAGCTCTGAATGAGAGTATTATTGTGAGAGATGAAAGGGAAGATTTTAAGGAAGTGGTAGAGACATATTTTAAGTTACTAACCACAAAGAACCATAATCAGGATATTTGGCAGCCAGACAAAGAATAAAATCTGGGACCCCAAAATTCAAAATCAGTTTTACATCTTTATAACACTGACAGAACTCCAACTTAACTTCAATAAATTCATCACCGCTTATACATTAGTAAAGTGAATTCAGTGCAACTGAGAAATTCTTAATGGAAAATAAAACAAGGCAGCAAGAAGTAACAGAGAAAAACTTAAAATGGCGAGACCAAAGAGACTGTAGGAAGAGGATTTTGAGGGTAGTTGAGCCTGTAAAATACCTGTTCCATGAAACTGAGAGCAAGAACTTTAAGTATCATAATAACAGATGCAGAAGTATAATTAAAGGAAAGTTTGTTGGAGTTAACTGACAGCAGACATTTGAGCTAGTGCTGAGTACAGGACCACACTTTGAATAGAGGCATAAATTATCCTGGTCTTTCTTTCAGTATGTACTGTACCAAAATATGTTTCCAGTAAAGGTTGTAGACCATAACAAAATGTATATACTGTTATCATATACAATTTTAATTTTAGTATGAATAAGCCATTTTTGATAAATTTAAAACAAAATTTCAGTTTTACTTGTGTCAGCCAAACTGCATTTGTCCACCTTTGACCATAAATTTCGCCCATTTCCAGTGAATACCCGTTATTTTGGAGATAAAACGCACAAAGACATGGATGTATATCATTTTCCTATTCTGTGTTCAGTTTTGCTGTAGGCTCCCTCATTTCTTTTTCACTGGATGCTTACTGTGGTATGGCATCTAAAACCCATAAACTTTGGAATGTTTGAACCATGGGGATATTGCAGAATCATGCATTTTCTAGGCGACAGAAACACAACCCTCCTCTAGCATAAATAGTTGAGGTGCTTTTGTGCCAGCATTTTCTTGATGCCCTGCAACAAGACAATATACAGAGAGCCTGTGAGCTAACAAAGGAGTCCCAGTTATTATACTCATACCTTGCAACCTAGCAATGGTTCGATGATGCCAGAATGACTGTGAGTACATAAAAAATGTTGTACTTATTTGTAGAGAAGGGTAATCAGTGACCAGTAGATCCAGGTACCAGTCCAAACCACATGTGTACTCACTATCACCTGACAGTACATTGCTGTGTGCTTATAGGTCTACTGTCACTTCAAATCTCCAATGACAACCCTGGAGGAACTGGACATGGTCAATGCAAATTTCACTCTGGATATTATTGCCTTGGTTATTATCTTTTTTGTGCTGAGGGTATCTGCATTTGTGTTTTTGCGCTGGAAACTGCTTTCCACACGATGAGGTAAATGTTGCAGTCAGCATGACATGAACATAAGTTTCAGTCAGAGATATTGGGTTTTCGGACTTTATCCATCATTCTGGTTTTTAAGATAACTGAGAAAAACACGACGTTTTGGAAACTGGATCTGTTTCCGTCCTCGGGTGAGGGAAAACACCTATTCTGTTGGGTCCCTTAGAAAGAGCTAGCCTCAATCTTAAAAACCAGGACGATGGATAAAGTCCAAAAACCCAATATCTCTGTGTGTTATACACCACCGTCAGAATCCTATAGTAACTACTTAATAAGTTTCAGTATCAAAAGTCCAGGTCTCATTTCTTTTAATTTTCTCTTATCAGTCATAATCATCTTTTCTTCATCTTCATTCTCATCCTACTCAGTATTAGTGTATTCTTCCTGTTAACATATGTTGCAAAACAGTCCTCTTTTCCTTCCAAAACCCTTTTGCTTAAAAGCCTTTCTGTGTATCTTCTACCCCACCCTGTCTGGGTTCATGTTTCATGTTTCACAGTTTTGGGTGAGTGAGTATCGACAAATTATTTGCCCTTTTTACATGCATATGTGAGCATGAACATGCATGAACATTGCGTTTGCTCACACCATTCACACACCCATACTGTAAACAAGAAATTTTGTGAAATAAAATTACATAACATAACCTCCATTACATAACCTCCGGCTTAGAGCTATAAATTTTCAGTTAAATGGATCTGAATACAGATAATTAATCATGAAATCTGTGCCTTTGTATACTGCCTGTCTCCTGATTTATGCATTATTAGTTTGAACAGTCATGTTGAACGTTTGGAAATAAAGCCAACAACCTTTTACATTTGATCTACTTGATGAAATGTGGGCACAGACACACCATTGTCCTTGGGCAAGTAGTTGTGCATAGACTGGAGGGAAAGATGGAGGGGTTAAGGTGCACTCACTGTAGAAGCACATGCAATCAGTTGTGTCAGTCTCCTTCTAATGCGCTTACTTGAGCTGAAAATGTTTGCAGTGTAAAGGAGTCTGAAATAACAGTTTAAATAAAACCTTTATTTCCATTCATCTTTTAGATCTCATGTTTGGAAGTACCTAATAGAATGAAAAAATAGAACTTGCAGAAGCACTAAATTTCACAACGCCAGTGCATGTATAATAAAATTAGAGGAACTTGTGGTTTTGTAAATAAATAAATTTGACTAAGAGAAATAGTTCTTTGTTCTGTTAATTAACTACAGTTCATGTATCAGTAAACTGCATTACTATGTTTGCATTTAATATGTACTGCCTAAATTGTTTCATTATTGTGAAGTTAAAGATTGCATGTTTCTTGCAGCTTGTCCCATCCCTGTCTACTGGTTGAATGAAGCCTAATCATGTCATTCAGATGTTTCTGAAGCAGCATAAAGACTTACTGTATGGGGCCACATCACTTACTAATAAGACTGTTGAAGTCTCAGGATGATCAAAAGTCCTGTCATCATGGTGTGAGTTCAGTGGGATGATAGCTCTTCTGGATTCAGTGTAACTAATCTTTCTGTCTTTTAATCTGCTGAATTCATGTAGCTTGCAAGTGAACCATTATACCACATTTTGGCAGCAACTGTTTGTTCTGTAACTGCAGATGTAGAAATTATCTTGAATTTTTATACAAACATGAATACTTTTGTATTGGACTGTGATGATGGAAGTGAATGCAAATTCTGTTTTGGCATGAGGTCGAAAATTATGTACAAACATAATTTATTTTGGTGATAACACATTCACTACTGAGAACCACAGTTGCTGTTCAAATGAGTATCGCTTCTGAGGTAGATGTAGCCTTTTTAGTCCTCAGAAGATATTTTGTAGGTCAGAATATTGGTCATTTCTAGCCACATCACAAAACTATTTTTTACTATAAGCCGAAAGAAACAGGACAGTAAGAAGGAAATGCATTTTTTTTTGTGCTCTTATTTATATTCTTTGGGAAACCATCTGCCCTTAAAATGTACTTCTTCCTAGTCATTTATGTCGAAAAGGGATAGACCTTTCTTGTAAGCAGATGTTTATCCAGTTAGAATACCTTCACAAATCATAGACAAGAATTGCTGTACATACAAGAGGACTGTGTAAATGAAACATGTTTGCCCATTAGTATGTGTGACATGATGGGAATTCTTTGCAGAGGATATCCATCAGGTGGTGGATCAGTGGAATGCCTGCCCCAGTGTCACTACTTTTAACAGCCTCTACACTATTTCTTCACCTGGAGAATCCCTGATTGGTTTCACTTGAACAACTCTCATATGTATTTAACGTTGATTTTGTCATTTGATCTCTGGAATCACAAATATTCATATTAGTCTCTTTGGCCATGTCCCCATGGCCCATTTGTTTAATATGTCATTTGAATGTGTGACAGTGAATTTTTTAAATATATTTTATTTGGGCTGGTATCCATACTACCAAATCTTGCAGTAATTTGTATAGAGATAATGCAGGGAGCTGCAAGTTGTGTTAAATGTTGGCATGTTTCCTGTTACATAGAATTATATTTTCAGAAAAGTTCATGTGTGCTTATGCATTTAATTTTCTCAGGCTGTGTGTCATTCAAGTTTTTGGCAGCTGCACTGGAATACAACTTTTCTGTATGTGGTTCAGAAGTTTTCTACTTTGCCAGAGTTTTAATGTAGGGCATGTTGTGGATACCAGTCTCATGTTATGTTAACCTGTTAAGATCTTCTGCTAGTCCATAATCTTTAGAACTTCATACCTGCCTCACTTGACTAAGAAGTGGATTCCTTTACCTTGCCTGGTGAATAGAGAAAATAATGTCTGCAGAGTGATACAAGAAGCATGACCCTAGTTGAATATATAATACTCTGAAGAGAGTCTCAATATTTTGTATCATTTATAGCATTAAAGTGTATGTTAGGCATGAAATCTGCCATTCAAACTATTATAATATGATTTTTAAATATTTTATTATTCGGAAATTCTTGGTATACACATTCATCACATAATATAGTTTATGTACTATGGAGTTTTGGGTTATTTATACTGATTTATATAATGAATCTGTTGTAGCAGTGTAGCATTTTCATACAGAATACAACATGTGTTTGTGCTGTTCTAATGATTCTTGCCTTGTCACACGTTGTGTGTACATTCATTTAACCCAGTGCTGTAAATAGTTACATGTTGCATACAAGATAGGGTGAAGATAACGGCAAGTAGCCATTTTATGCTCGTAAGCACTACACAATGCAGAAAGGATTTTAGAAAGAAAGGAGTATTGGGCCAATCTCACAAAGCTTGCTTTCCCACCGCATAGGCTTCCAGTACTACAATTCTTGTGCTGTAATATTTATGTAATGTAAACTTATGATTTGATAATACAGCTTAGCTTGTAGGTGAACATACTTGATGCATGGACGTTCATATGATTGATCATTAGTCCAGTAACTTTAGGCTTGTGTGACATTATCTTCTGCTGAAGGAGGCACACAGATGTTCATTCCTTAATGTAGACAGATGAAGTCTGTCTCTGGCCCTGTATCATATGTTAATCTGAATATGGCCTACCATGACAGGTGTCATTGGTCCCACATGATGTTTTGGCCTTAATCTGGCCAGCAGTTGGGTATGTGGTGTAACATTAGAATGAGTGTTGTCTGTCTTTGGCCCAACATGACGCAGATTTAGACTGAATGAAGCAGCCTCCGTAGTCTAGAGGTAACATTCCCACCTCATGACTTGTAGTACGCGGGTTCAAATACCCAGCGGACGTCGTCGAATTTTTAAGGGCGGAAAAATTCAGTCCTCCGGGAGGGACTTTAAGCCATGGGTCCCGTGTCATAGCTTTACGGCACGTAAAAGAACCTCATGTCTCCAAAGGAGGTCACTGAGCCAAATTAACGGACGTTTCCTGCCCAACAGCAGTCTCTAATACCTCTGGTAGATGGGGAAGCATTATAGATACCTCTCAGCTAGTAGAGCCGGTCTCGCTGGCTGGGCGGGACTGATGGTACGCACCAGTACCGGTAGGATATAGAGACTGGTAGAAATTATAGAGGGAAGCACAATGGACCAATACAGGTCTCAGTGCATGGGGAAAACCCACCCTCTCCAATAACTAACTAACTAACTAGACTGAATGAGGAATACTTTTTGATCATCTACGACTGAAGGATCTACATGGCATTGTGAGATATATGGTATAATCTCTGTAATATTATCTGTATCTGTATCATAATCTGTATCTATGACTGAAGGATCTACATGGCATTGTGAGATATATGGTATAATCTCTGTAACATTACTTGAACCAAGCAAGTTGGCACAAGTGATAATGCTTGTAACTTATATTTAGGAGGTGCCTGATTTTTATCTCAGCTGGGACATGACAATCTTGACAGGTTTTTGTGGTTTTCCTCAGTCTCCTCAGGTGAATGCTGAGGTGGTTCCCTAAAATAGGCCGGGCTTTTCTTCTTCACATCCTTTAAAATTCATCATCGATAAATTGTTCTACAATTTGATGCTATAGTCTGAGCTGCTGACACCAGGCTGAAAATCATCAAAGTAATATGTAATAGTACAGTTCGTACGCTACAGGAAACACATCCCTACAAAGATCAACTGGGGAAGTGATAGCTGTTTATTGTGAGAATCATATTAAACAGATAAATACACTGGGCAAAATTCTGAGTTTTTGTGTGTCAGAGGAAGTGGTGCATATGGTAACCACTTTGCTTTAAAGGGATGAGTAAAGTATAAATAAATAGCTTTATGTGTAATGTAAGATGCACAATGTTTCATTTTAAGAGGGCATGCTTAGTAAATATTTAATCATCATTATAAATGTTGAAGAATGGAGATATGATGTGTACTGTATTCAGTAACATGCCAAGGATATTTGACATAATTGTGGTTTGAGGTTCTAACAGTGGTGAGTGTTAAGATCATGTTCTTCTGAGGTATGACACTGTGCAGATATGTACCAGTATTTTGGTGGAACCTGTTGCCTCCATTTTGAGGCTAGAAGAATGGAGGAATATGTACCTTAAAATGGAGATGGTGGGTTTCCCTGAAACATTGGTGCCTATCAGCCACATGGCGTCACATTCCTGAAGACTATGATCTTCATGGACATACAGTATGTCAGTTACATCCATATCACTGTGAATTAATTCAGTTCGAACTTAGGTGGGCTCAGGTGTTTCAGTAACAAGGATTTCAAAGGAAAATAAATGAGAAGTCTAATTGAAAGTTTCAGTAGTTTGCCCATAGTTAACTGACACCTTATGTGCACCACAGACAGACTTTCAAAGAACATGTGTGAAAGGCAGATGAGATCCAGGACATGAAGGCCAGCATTGTTTGATTACATAACAGTTTCCCTGACAACAAAACTACAAATATTGTTAAGGTAGACATGGACAGCACAGAAGCACTACCATGGGGAACGAAGTAAATGAATATAGACTATGTTGTTACTATGTTCCTTGTATTTTAGTAACATCTATTGACATCAGCAGTCCTAGTCTATCGCCATTGGCTTATTTCAAAACTAACTTTGCTTTCTACATTGACTATGTTAGTGGCACCCTTAGTGCTGTACTGCCATTTGACACCAGTCACCTGAGCACATCGTCAGGTATTTAGCAAGAACACATGGTTTTTTATAAATATTACATATACAGAAATCTGTATGGTGTGTGCATTGGCATGCCTACATAACTGCAATGGTCTGTGCAGGACATAATATCCTCAGTAGAATCCAGTATGAGTCAGTAAAGGTTGAAGTGATTCTAAAGGACACACTGTATTAGGCCCTGTTCTTTCATCAGGTATGCTGTCTGCATGGAGTCCATGACAGTTGCATTTGTTTTGAATAATCTTTAACCATCATCTCTGCACTTCACAATTTTGTCAGATTCAGCAGGCTCTATCAGGAATAATTCCCATTACCACCAAGTTAGGAGCTGGCCACCAGTTCCATAGTGGCTGGACAAATAAATCCTGTTCCCATGCACTAAAATTTAAAAGAGTTTTTAAGGTTAGAAATCCTTGATGTTTAAGAGAGCCGAACAAATGGAAGTCACTTGGAGCAAAGGTCGGGGCTATACGGAGTATGCTTGAGGACTTCCCACTTGAAATTTCTCAGTGTCTCATTTGTCTTGTTGGAAGTATGGGGACATGCGTTGTCATGCAAGAGCAACACACCGAATCCTGGTCGCTTCCGTTGAATAGCCTTACGAAGTTTCCTGAGTATGTTACAGTAGGAGTCTGCCCTCTTAAACATCATCTTTCAGCTGAACATTTTCCCGACAATGAAGCTGTAGAAAGGGAAGTCACCACCTGGTTCCGACAGCAGCCCAAACAATTTTATGCTGCTGGTTTTCGGGGGCTTGTGAAACAATGGGACAAGTGCCTCAATGTACAGGAGATTATGTTGAGAAATAAAAGCATTTTTCAAATCAGTACTCTTATTTAAGTTCTATATCCATATGCAACTTAATTATTGACTTACGCTTGTACCATCAAATGAGTAATGACTGCATTTTTCCATGATGATACCTATTCACCATTCATGATTGATTGACTTTCCATCTCTTTCAGTGGTGTATACCTGTACAGTTGAACTTGTAGGTTGAACAGCAGCAACATTGAATAAACCTGTCAGAATTTCTTATTAATATATTGTCTTTAAAGTAGAAATGATAATATTTAGATATAGGTTTAATTGAAATTCAGATCTTAAATTTGAGTTTAAGTAAATTTATTTTGACTTACAGAACTAATTTCAGGATTTTGTTACAAAAGTGTATTCATTTTGCCATTTTGATCATCTTCATGGTGTAGGCTCCACAGCCTGTTCTGGTTCAGTATTTACCATATTCTTGCTTTTCCCAGGTTTCTTGTTCCCGTTGGTTGATATTTCTCTGTTCTTGGAAGGCAATGCCCTGTAGATACTCATGCCATTCTCTCTGTATTGCATTATTTGTGTAAGACTTGGTATAATTCCTGATTGTTCCCTTATTCTTTAATTTCTGATATGGTCAGGTAGTGAACACCCTTTCACTGCATGCAAGAACTTTATTGCAGCTGACTACTGCTTTCAACCTTCTCAGTATCCAGCATTTGCTACCATATAACAGTAATTGCCATAGTATAGTAGTCACAGCATTAAAGATAAATCCACCATATTAAAGGAACTATATATTAGTGTTATCTATTGCCATTTTGATAAGGACCTTTTTAGTTCCAAATTCAGGCTTGTTAAGCAGTGGTTCACTTCAGGGATATCCCTGTACACGAGAAAGTCCCTCAGCACTTGAGAGATATCTAGTGCACACATCAGGGGAAGACGACTGCGGCCCACAAGCTTACGAATTTTCAGTCTGCAAATTGACTGCAATGATAGAGGATTTTCTGTAAAAGAAGGAAGATTTTTGCACAATTTTATACATCATTTGACTAACGGTTAACTAAGAAATGAAGAGCATGGCTTATATTTTTGCACTGAACCATCACAGTGTAAATTTTAGCACCCATACAAAGCTGTGGGGTAACTGTTAGTAGCCAAACTGTAGTTCAACAAGAGTAGAAAGACCTAAATACATTCATTGCTATTTTGCAGATTTCACTGTACTAAGTGTTCATGTATTGCACATGCAAGCCAATTGTTGCAAAGCTTTTTGCACTACACATGTACATAGCAATTATTTTATAAATATTTAATTAAACTCAATATGATATGTCTTTTTTGAGAAAGGAGATAATGTTTGATTTAAATATCATGTAAAACAGAGATTATATTATATTGATACAGACCAAAATTAAATTTGCCTTGCAGCTTTTGGTAAACACCTTAACACCTATGTAAGTTTTGAGGTTTTCACGGCGATGACTATGAAGAAAGTCGTCTTCTGGGTTTAGGCGCCATGTATTCTTCGTTTTGGCCGACATTTCGGAGGAACGTATCGCCTTCATCTTCAGAGCAGGTGAATGGCTTGGAATGCAGAGAGCAGTAGCTGTGGTGATAGGAAGTGAAAGGCGCTGCTTATATACAAAGTAGGCGGGGGGGGTGGTTAGGGAGAGCAGACCAATAGGAGCAGTGGAGAGCGATTAAGGCCATATATGGTGTTATGTGCTAAGGGGGGGGGGCGGGGAATGGCCAGTGAATCCAGGAAACTTGAGGTCAATAGCACTAGGAAGTTGCAGTAGACAAGAAGAACCGGTTGGTTGGGGACAGGCTACCTATAATCATGTCACTGACGTCAGTAGTCAGATGGACAGGAAAACATAACTATCCCATTATTCATTCATGTTATACACTTTGTATATAGGACTCCTGTACAGGCTAAATCTAATGAGCCTCTTCTGCCACTCCAGACTGTGTTTTGTTTTGTGTACATTATGCAGAGCATTCATAGTTGGTCATAGTGGCTAGCACACTGCCTTCTTTTGGAAAGTTTTGATCTCAACCCGATACGGACTGTACTGAATTATTTCTGAGTTCTGACAGTGCTACATTTATTACTGTCTATACAGCTTTGTCATGGCTATTTCAGTCGCATCACGTTTTGACTAAGGGTAATGTGTTGTTTTCACAAATTAAATGGCTGAGAATTTATTTCCTTTGACCCTGTAGGAAAATTCTGAGGCAGTATCTCAAATTAGGCCATATCCTTTTCAAGACATTATTCTTTAGTCAGCCCATCATTTCATACTATATAATTTGAGCTGCTGACATCAATATTTTTTTTTTTTTGCTAGTGGGGTGGGACTAAGTCCCTTGTACTGTGACCACTTCTGGCCTATTGTACCAGCCCCAGATGATAGGTGAGGGTGATTATGGAGCAATTGGTGGAATGAAGATTGACAGGGGAAACCAAAGTACTCAGAGAAAACATGCTCCAGCACCACTTTGTCCACCACAAGTTCCACTTGACCAGACCCGAGATCGAACCCGGGCTGCCGCAGTGGGAAGCCAGGGACTAACCGCTTGAGCTATGGCATGGCCCTCATCAATAAATAAACCATAAGTATAAATAAATATATATCCCATGCTTTAATATGGCTACCAAATTACTATGTATTCCTCTGCCCCACAGTAAAGCATTTAGATGGTATATAGGCTACAACCACTAGCACCTGGGGTGAGGGAAGATATTTGCTGCCTGTTATGATTCTTGGAAAGAGACCAGAAGTGAAAAAATGAAATTTATCAGATATTAGTACCAAATATTATAATTAATTAAAAAATATTCTTGTGCCCTGAATACTCGATCAGTAAAACAGTCTTAAACAGCCAAATGTAAGTTTGTATGAACATTTTCTGATGCCCCCCCCCCTTCTATCCAGAAGAAACCACAGTGGCGCCCTTGGTTACAAATGCCCCTTCCCACAGTGTCACACCACACTGGAGACTCAATCCTGCAACTGACAATGTTCTTAAATGAGGAAAGAGACAGGCCTTGATGACAGTTACACAAATTGGACTGAGGTATCACTCACCCATGAGTTCTTTGAGGATGTCTCTTTGACAGTTGTCAGGAAGATCAACAGCAAGCTGTTGTTTGTCATTTCTGTCCCACAGGTTGCCACCAAACTGTACCCACAGGTGCACGAACACTGGATCACACCTGTAAACCGTGTGAGCAACAGTGAGCCTACTATTACTGGGATGAAACTTCTATGCTTTTTCATTTATGGTATGGTTGGTGTCATGGGACGAGTTCAGTGCTGTTTCTCTATGAACATGCATGCCTGTTAGGTTCAGTTTTAGCATCGGGTTTGAAACATACAATGAATCAGCAGGCATGGACTTCTGAAAAGTTAAGTTTGACAATATAAATGACAAAACATGCCAGCAGCCTCACCAACATTAATCAAAGTAGCCAGCATGTCAACCATGACAAGCAGTGTTCTCACAAAAGTTATGAATAGCAAACCATTTCCAGCCAGGACAAACATTCAAGTCTGCACCAGCAACTAGAAATTGGTATGCATGAATTGTTTGCTGCCGTGCGTTCTGGGTTTTGGGAGTGGGGGGGGGTTACTTGTACTGTGTGATGCAAAACATGTATATATATGAACAAAAAATAACACCATGATACAGGTTCTACCTTGAAAAGCTCACAGTCATTTAGCTGGTTAAAAATGTCATTCTTTTATGTCTCCATATATGTTACCATGTTCACAAAAGCCCACTGCTGGGCCTAGTGCACAACTTTGACCTCTTAAGATTTATTTTAATATTATTGTATAACCTAGTCCATGCCTCTCAAGTTCTCTCCTTCTTTAATGCTTTCAAATAAAAAATGTATACTTTTTGCATTTACTCCATTTTACCTGTCTAGCCCATGGGACAGCTACAAGTTAATAAAGCTCCTTACTGAGCATTTAATGAGCTCATGTCTAATTTTGTAACACAGAAGTTTTACGATGAATTGCTGGATCCAGACCCAACTGCCAAGCTGGAGAACCACCCCTTGCCAGCACTCCACAAAGGCAAATCAATGCAGATCATTAATCATAACAATTTATCATCATTCATCCTATTATTTCTGTTCAGTTGATAATATGTAGTTAAATAATGTAGAACCAAATGGTCATTTTCTAACAAGTTTTAAAGGCCATTACCAAATTAATTGTTTGCAACTGAAGGATAACTGGTTTAAATTCTTGACTGATTACCAGCACTTCTGATTCTTTTGTGCTCATTCTGAATCACTACAGACATGCCTGGAAATAGACATCCTAAATGTGGCACTGCCAGTTCATTTCCACTAATGATATTAAGAGTAGTAGCAGTAGTAGTGACTGTGGTAGTGTGAGATAAATTACTTGTAATTTAGCAGTGACTGTATCCGATGCTGCGGCCACTCCCTGCTGCAGTCATACAGTCTGACTGCATTAGCTCCGTTTCTCAAACTGACTCTTTTGACAACAAGTTCATGCAGTAGATGAACTAACAACACAAATATGGAAGATTCCAGACTCTTACAATGGTCGCTGTTGATGTGGGTGATGGTGATGCAGATGTGACCATTTTCTTGTCAGACTTTTAAACTAATCAGATATAATTGTGCTCATGATGCTATCTGATAGAGCGTTGTTATATTACCAATCAATTTGTTAAGTAGTTCGTACTTTCTGGTGCAGATGAGGTGCAAGATGTGGCCAGCAAGTGTGACATCCGCTCCTCCTCCTAACAGAAGTATGAAACAACTTAGGTACCTGTAGGTGGTAGCCAGGTGCAGTGGGTGGGTCCACTGGGGCGTTGTAGGGGCACACTCAATCTGAGCCCCAAAATCGAGCAGCAACTGCAAGAGGTAACAGGTTACATAAAGAAAACTGATGAAAACCATGGGATGGTGCATCCTCTAGTTGCAGATGAAAGAGATGTCCTCCAAGAATAGTTGTGTGCATTAGATATGAGATAGTCCTACAGTCTGGAGGCTGCGCGGGAGACCAACCCCTCACCAAATAAAACTGTCATGCAGCAAAATGTTATGCCCTGCCTCTGACTTTAATGATTATTTTGAGGAAGCCATCTGTATCCAAAAAGGAGTGACATTAGACTGGAGAAACTTGGAGAATGTGTAATTTGTACTATCAAATATTACAGTGATCAAATCATTACATGTAGCACATGTGGGAGAAGTAGGGAGAGTGTGTGCATTTTAGACAAAAACCTGAAGGGAACAGGCTGCTTGAGAGACCTAGATGTAGGTGTATATGGAGGGATATCATCAAAATGGATATTAAAAAATGGGATGAGAGTGGACTGGATTCATCAGTTGTGGGATATTGTAAACATATTAATAAACATTTGGTTTTCACAGCTAAACGACCATTACACTCTCAAGTATTTTACCCCTCCTTGGAGTTAATTCATTAGTTGGTAACAATCACAGCCAAGAAAATCGGGCAACAAGAATTCTGTGTCAAATTTATGATTCGTACTTTTGCTGTAATTTAACTGTACAAAATTGGGGTTCGTATTAAATTCAAACAAACAAGTAGCACATTTGAAATGTAATTCGTACCAGGTTTTAAATGGGAATAGTGTTTTTCCACTAACCAAGTTCAGGCACCTACTACGTTACTTTTATTTGCAGCAGAAAATTTAAAGTAGTAATATGGAGTGGCATCAAATGGCATAATATTAAACAGTTACTAAATTTCATTATGCATTCAAATGTGGAAGATACACAAACACATGCATCTAGTACATTGGCAGCAAGCCTGGAATTATTGAATTCTTGTGCCATTTTGTTCAGGTCTTTTTGATGACGTATAAATTAGAGTACAGCTACCGCACAAGGTATAGGGTATATCAAAACTCAAAGGCAGAACTTCAGGAACGGACTCCTCATATAGAGAGAGGAAGGAAAGTGTATGATAACTATGGGTCCTGAAATGCATAATTACAGAGTTATCCGGGCGTGTAATTTATGGAGTGTACGCCGACATGTCCTGTTTGCCGGAATAAAAATGAGAGACACCGGTTGTTTGTTGGGACCCTACATTCTTCCGGACAAGCTTAATGGACAGAACTACACAGATTTCTTGCGTACTACATTGCCTGATTACTTGGAAGACATGCCACTAGCATCCTGTCGACAGCTGTACTTCATGCATGATGGTACTCCCGCACATTTCAGTCTGTCTGACCACAGGCACCTTAATGCACATTATCCTGGGCGCTGGATAGGTAGAGGTGGACTGATTGCTGGACCACCACGCTCTCCTGACTTAAACCCCCTGGACTTTTACTTGTGGGAACACTTAAAGTCTGTAGTGTATTCGACTGTTGTTGCTGATGTACCAACTCTCCATGCGCGCATTGTGGCAGCCTGTCAGACAGTAGGCACTACACCGGGCATTTTTGATCATGTGCGGCACTCAATGCGACGACGAGCGGAGGCCTGTATCCAGGCAGGGGGAGGTCACTTTGAACATTTCCTCTGATACGTGACTAGAGTGTTACAGCTGGCATTACAGACGTATTCAGTGTAACAGTGTTGGGCGTGTCGGATTGCACTAACGTTACTAAATGGTCGGATAACTCTGTAATTATGCATTTCCGGAACCATGTTGTCATACACTTTTTTCTTCTCTCTATGAGGAGTCTTATCGTGAAGTTTTGCCAGTGAGTTTTGATACACTCTGTATGTGAACTTCCCAGTGATACCTGACCCAGAAATGCGCTCAGCCACACGCCCCTGGAGAGATATAGGAGCCATGTGGCGAGTATAAGATGTCTATACAAAGCTGTTGCCAGGGCAAAGATAGAGTGGATTTTGTTTGAGTATCTAGCAGATTTAAGTTGTATTTGTGGAACGCTGTAGTTCAGAGTGAAACTGTGTAAAATGGTAGATCATAAGCATGCTCAGAATTTTTTATAAAATATATTTTTGCCCGCCAGAAATTAAGAACACGCCAAAAAGCTCGAAACTTAGCATATCTGTGGAAAATGTCGGATATTAGAAATTTATATTCAGTAAAGTTTTACATACATCCGAGTCACTGTGCTGTAGATCATTATCTAAATTCATAATCTCCTGCGTAATTCTCTTATAAAGCATTGGCAGAACTGTGGTTTTCTCCGGATCTTCTTGCAGTCACTGTGTACCTTCACGCCTATGGCATATCCGTCCTGGCAAGCGATATGGAGGGGGCTGGACAAGTTCCTTCGGTCACCGTCGGGCGAAGCTCCTGCCTTCAGCAAAGCAATGCAGCTGTCGGTATCCCAGTTCTTCACAGCACAGAACAAAGGGGTCTGCCCCTTGCGGTCCACTATGTTGACCGACGAACCGTGCTGTAACAGCAAGGCCACACAATCCGCGTGGCGATCTGCAGGAGCGGAGGTAAATTGGAAACTAGTAACTGTTTGCTGCCAGTAACAATAAGATGATTGTTGGGTAGGAGACAGCAGGCATTACGACTCATGAAGATAACTTTTGGAATGTGACTATACATATACACAGACGTGTCGGAGGAAATTACTGCCTGCATGTCCAGGCTACTGAAATTCCAGGAATATGTTCAGATCGGTACTGGGACTCACGAGGTTCTTATTCCATTGGCACAAGAGGTCGAAGCGGTACGTTCCTCCGAAACGTCAGTAAATATCTACCAGACTACATCGCATCACAGAACACAGTAATCTTCGCAGTTACCGCCAAATTTCACACACTACTCACTCATGGCAGCCAATCTCAACGGGGTCGCGTAAAAGGGTCTCAGCTGCGCATCAACATTGGCCACGCCTTGTGCCAGGAGGTTCCTCAGTTCCTCGACGTCCCCGCGCCATGCCGCCTGGTGTAATGAGTCGTCGTATTGCCCATTCTCGGTATCGACTATGAAGGCACTCAGCTCTGATGACAGCACACCGGCTGCGAGCAAGAGTGAAGTTAGAGATGTAAAGAAACACTAGGAAGGAACAATTCATGCGAGAATAAATATTTCCCAATGTTTTCTTTGTGTAAGTACCTGTATTTCTATCATGTCAATTTTTATGAAAATTTAAATTACCATGTAACTTTTTTGTAGGGACATTTTATGAAAATCCGGCCAGTGCATATCAAATTCAAATACTCGTATTTGGACTGATGGGCAGACACACAAGTGACCATCCATTTTGTCGTTCAGTTTATCAACGTCGTGTAAAAAGAAAGTGTAACTTACACGTATGAATATAGTACCTGTATGAAAGATGTGACATACGTATACAGAAACACACACGTATGATTGTCTAGACATATAACATGCATGAAAGAAATGGTAAATTCATATATTTGTATATGTAAACCGAGATTAACGGCATTAGGAATCCGTTGCGCTGACCACGCGGCACCCTCTATCCGAAAAAAGTTGGCAGTAAACTTCGCCGACAAGCGGCGGTCGCTCGGTCGGTGTAGTTCGCTTGCGGACTAAAATCACGGAGTTATTTTTTTCTCTATCTCCGGAAACCGGTGTCCGGGGATAGGGACTAGCTCTATCTACTGGCCCCAACTGAGTAGGTTTTACCTGAGGACGGGGACAGAATCCAGTCTCCGAAACGTGTTTTTAAAAAGAAACGGCGGTTTTTAGAAAATAGACAAGACGATGGATAATGTCGAAAAACATATTACTTGTAGCAATATACCATCGTCACACATTTTTAGGTCTTATTAGTCTCCTATTTAAATTAAGCGCAATTTATTTGCGAAATTTATCAGATACACAGTTGCCCAGTCGGACTTAAACACATAAACTTTAGTCCTTCCGCAGAAAATGTTTCAGACACAATAAGTACGAAGATTGAGATGTCAGATGTATAGTAAACTAAATAACGTATCGTCAGAGAACATTTCAATCATAAAATAAATTAAACAGAAGTTCGTTTTGGACATAAAAGCAACTTCCATATGTGACTTTCATAAAATATGGCCGACAATAAGTGATAACACTTCATTCAGGTCCGTAAAAGAAAGAGGATCAGTTAATTACACATTGTAGTTGTCAGCACCACCAGCTTAACTGAAATACGACACACAATGAAGTATTGCAATCAGCGGTCTTAAAATGATGTATACTTGCGGCACACAGCTGTTGTCACCAAAATAGATCTGAGGTACCAACCAAAGTGCTGCCCTACATGTAGATGTACAGCCTCCCCAAATGTCAAGTCGTTGTTACGGACTTCTGGTTTTCAAACTGCGGAGATCGTTGTTTCGGCATTTCTCTTCGCTCTCTGTCAATTCCGATGTACAAATCAAACCTCCGACATCTGCCATGAACAATGTTTTAATAATTGGCCGCACTTCTTAGTGAGAATGACGCAACATGATACAAACTTCTAAGCAGTACATATTTTCCCCACAAGATAGTACTCGAAGTATCGACAGGTAGTGTCACCGTGTCACATCCCGGAAGGTCGTAGTCAATTAGAAATAGGTTTCAGTTTGAATGTCATATATCAGCGTAGTGAGTTTACGCCTTTCAGGCATGAAATTCAGCGAAATAATATTTAACATTTACTTCATATCACTACTATCAACTTCATACAAAATTTTATTTAATATCCTTGTTTCAGTGTTAAGTCCATACATAGATGAAATTACTGGGGATCATCAGTGTGGATTTCGATGTAAAAGACCAATTACCGATCAGATTTTCTTTTTACATTCGTCAGATACTGGAGGAAAAATGGGAATACAACGAGCCAGTACAACAGCTATTCATAGATTTCAAGAAAACCTATGATTCAGTTAGGAGGAAAGTATTGAACAATATTCTCGTAGAGTTCGGGATACCCATGAAGCTGGCCAGGCTGATTAAAATGTGTTTAAACGAAACGTATAGCAAAGTCCGTGTAGGTAAACATTTGTCTGATAATTTTCCTATCCAGAATGGTCTAAAACAAAGAGATGCTTTATCGCCACTGCTTTTCAACTTTGCTTTTGAATATGCCATTAGGAAGGTCCAAGAAAACCAGGTGGGACTGAAATTAAAGGGGACACATCAGATGCTGGTCTATGCTGATGGTGTGAATCTATTGGAAGATAACATAGATAGCATAAAAGAAAACACACAAACTTTAATTGACGCTACATGGACGTTGGTCTAGCAGAAAATGAAGAAAGAACAAAGTATAGGAGCATGCTATTTTTTTCGTCACCAGAATGCAGGACAAAATAATGACATAGAGATAGCTAACAGAACCTTTGAAAATGTGCCACAGGTAAAATATTTAGGAACGACAGTAAAACATCAGAATTTTATTCAGGATGAAATTAGGGTAGTGCTTGATACCATTCGGTCCACAACCTTTGGTCTTCTCATTTACTGTTTGAAAACCTTAAAGTTAGAATGTACAAAAGTATCATTTTGCCTGTGGTCCTGTATTGATGTGAAACTTGGTCTCTGACATTAAAAGGGGAACACAGACTGAGGGCGTTTGAGAATAGGGAGCTGAGGAGAATATTCTGGCTGAAGAGAGATGAAGTGACAGGAGGTTGGAGAACACTGCATAAGGAGGAGCTTCATAAATTGTACTCTTCACCAATTAGAACGATCAAGTCAAGGAGGATAACATGGGCATTGCATGTAGCACGAATGGGCGAGAAGAGGAATGCATTAGGATACTGGTGAGAAGCCAGAAGGAAAGAACACACAAGAAGATCAAGACGTAGATGGGTGGATAATATTAAAACGGATCTGAAGGAGATAGGATCGGGTGGTATTGACTGGATTGATCTGTCTCTGGATAGGGAGCAGTGAAAGGTTCTTGTGAACACGGTAATGAGCCTTCGGGTTCCAGATAATTTTGGGACTTGCTTGAGTAGCTGCACAACTGGCGGTTTCTCAAGAAGGGCTCAGCTCCATAAAGTTAGCTATTTAGCTACTTCCTACCTCAAGGATAATACACTGGTTCTCCATTACAAAATTCATTTGTTAATGCTGTTATTTTATTTTTCTCGCCTGTTAATGCTAACTTTAATTTTTCTTGGAATTAGTACATATTATTAATTTATTGCCATTATATAGACTGACATATTTTGTATTTTGTTCTTTAATCATTTTTGTGTAATTGGCCTTTGTGGTGTTAAGTTTGCACGTAAATAAACACAAATTGAAGTAAATTTATTTTAATTGAAATAGTGACTGCTTGTTCTAAGAATCGTACTAAATTTATAGATGCACCCCGTGAGAAGAATGCAGGTACTAAAGCACCAGGTACATAGGTAACTACTACATCTTAGAAGACTGTTCATGCAGATGCATTTTAAGGTAGAGTACCTCATTCTCTGGAAGGTGTTGGTTTTTGAAGCGACGCATTTTTTTTTACCGTTAGACAATTGAACACTTGCAAATCTTTTCATTCAGTATTGCGCTTATGTGAAGAAACCTTCCAATTTCACAATCAGTATTGATTATTGTTATTAATTTTTATTAAATTCAATCGAGTTCCTTACTTATTTACATGCTGAGCTCAACAGCCAATGGTCAATTACAGAGTCAGCATGAATACCAACAACAGCAATGTGACCACAGGACAAAACAAAGAAACAACAAATACAAAGAAAAATTAATCAGTTTAGGCTTTTAACGCATGTTATGCATTGTCAGCAAATTTAATCTTTTCAATGACATTCCATATCTTGGGAAAATCTACTTTGACAAAGTTCTGCAATTTTCTTTGTATGCGCTCAAGTTTATTGGAATCAGTAATCTTAACAGACATCGAAGCAACAGAAACATATTCGAGTTTAGAACTGACAAAAGCAAAATATAGCGTCAGTAGGCTGTCTAAGGTGGGAAAAGGAAAGCGTTACTCTGAGAATTAGCCCTAGTAATTGCAGTGCATGTGAAAGAAGAAAATCGACTTGACAATGAAAATGAAACTTGCAGTAAAGATGCACATCCAGATCATTAATACAATCTTATAAAAGATAAAACAATTCCTTCTAGTGTGACTGATTTTTCTAATATTGTTAGTGTGACGGACCAGAATGAAACAAATCAAATGAATACAATCTGTTCGCAATATAAAGGAATTTCCAAGTCTGTATTGATAATTCAGTACTTTCCTCTTCCTAGTAAAAGAGATAACTCGAATTTTCCAGAAATTAGGCTTCATACAATTTGCCGAACAACATCTGACTGCAGAAGTAAACAATCATTAGCTGAATTAACAGCTCGATAGATGTTAAAATCATCAGGAAAAAGAAGACAGTTGGAGAGATTAATTACGTCACATAAATCATTTAGTGGTATAGTGGTCAGAGTTCCTGGCTACAGATCCAGAGGTCCGGGTACGTTTCCGGCGCTATCAGATTTTCTGAGAAGTAGTGGGTCTGGAACGGGGTTCACTCAGCCTCATGAGGATAATTGAGGAGCTACTTCAAGGAAATAGCGGCTCCGGTCTATAAAACTGAAATTAACGCCCGTTGGGACCGCTGACCACGTAACACCCTCTATCCACTAAAGTTGGCACTAACTTCGCCAACAAGCGGCGGTCGCTCGGTCGGTATAGTTCGCTTGCGGACTAAAACCACGGAGTTTGTTTTTGTTATTAAAAAGCAAATTCCCTAAAACTGACCCCTGCGGTACGCCTGACTGCACGACAAAAAGCGAAGGAAGTATAACAGAATAACGTACACAAGATTGTCTCCTTGTTGAATAACTGAGAAAGCAGGTTATTTAGCCGGAAGATAATCCACACTTACTGAGTTTGTGATGAAGCAGTGAATGTAGAAGAATGTCGAAACGTTTACTAAATTAAAATAGAGTCAGTTTGACCTAATGAACAGACTAAAGTCAAGGAAAATGACCAAGTTGGTAACAGCAGATTTAGATTAGATGAAACCATGCTTCGAAGGGTTCAATTTAGATTTTAAAAAGTGACAAACATAAACAGAATTTTAACTTTCATGTCTTAATCTTTAGTTTTAATTTTAATTTTTATATCGTTAATATTACATTTTTATTATCCAAGGATTTTCAGTTTTAAAAATTTTGACCAAAAATTAATACATGTATGTATGCATTTCAGTAATTTCAAGACATAATAAGGATCCTTATTTGAAAAATTAGATGATAATTAATTGCAATTCATCAGCTCATACTGGAGCACTGTAGCCTGATGATGACCCGGTGTAAGGGTCGAAACATGTTGCGTCTGTAAAATCATAATAGAAACAAATATTGGTACAGTAGTGTGATCTTTGTTTTTAAATACAGAATATTGTTGTATAGACTGCATACATTATATTCTTTTGTTTGTCTTACTTGGTCATATCCGATAAATTAAAAAAAAATTTTGAAAACCCGTTCCCGACAGAGGAATATGTTGGTTTTCATTTGAAAACAAGGAAAGTAGGTGCTTGTTTCCGCAAGTTGCGAAAAGTATTCTGAGGTAGGCTGAGATTAATAATAAAAGTTGAGAACATGCACAAAAATTATAGAGCAACCCTTCATAAGAGAAACAAATTCACTGTTGAGCCCCGACTGATTTACGATTATATGGCCGCAGCCGTATTATAGCATTATGAACATCCGAGTTAGAAATAGGAGTTAAGGATAAAACTTCCGTAGGCTGAATAATAAAAAGAAAGGTTCCGAGGAAAGAACTACTATAGACTGTTTGAAAATATTTTGAAAATGCCTTAGCAATATCACGAGGTTTGTTTATTAGAATACAATTGAATTCAAGGTACGTTAAAACAGTATTCGTTTTCCTAAATTATGATACATATATTTCCAAACTTTCTTTAGCTGAGATTTTAGATTTTAAATTTGTCGTAAGAACAGTCAGCCTTATGCTTTTTGTAACATGTATAAAATAATAATTCTTTTTAATGTAACCTTTTAATTTTCAAGGAATCCAAGCAGGATATTTATGCTTTATTAATGTATCCAAGAGGAACAACTAAATCTATGACTTGGGTTACAGCGACATTTCATCTGTCAACCGTAGCATCAACAGATGCTTCGTTGTAGAGTGAAGACTAGTCAGAAGCAGACAAGGCATTATAAAGCACTGCATAATCCCCAGCAGAAATATCTTGTAAGAAATGTTAGAATTTTGTATAACGTCGAACTGGCATTGCAGAATCAGTGACACTAAAAGTAGGACGGAAATGGTCTGGTTGACTTAGGCTAGGCCGTATCCGGATGATCAATCGAAAGAACAGCAAAATTTGAAGAAAAAGAAGAAGAAGAAAAGCAGTATCAAGCAAGTAGATTCTGAAGGGTTCTGTCTGACGTTGGTGTATAATACTCAGAATTGCTGGGGTTTTTTTTTTCCTTTTTCCATCATCCGTTATTCTAGAGACTATAAAACACGACGTTTCGGAAATTGGATCTGTTTCCATCCTCAGGTGAGGGGGAAGACACCTACTCAGTGATCGAGGTTAGCTCTTTCTAAGGGACCCAACTGAGTAGGTGTCTTCCCCCTCACCTGAGGACAGAGACAGATCCAGTTACCGAAACGTCCCGTTTTCTAGTCCCTAGAATAATTAGGCTTAATTCGTACTATCACTTTCTGATTTTCCACCTTAGACAGTATAATGACGTTATATTCTGCTCTTGTCAGATCCAAATTAGAGTACGCTTCTGTGGTTTGGAACTCTGTGACCAACACTGACTCTAATAAACTTGAGCGTATAAAAAGAAAAGTCGCAGCACTTTGCCACAACCGATTTTTTCATGACACGGAATATCATTACATCAATATGCTTGATATGTTAAATCTGCGATCACTCCACACTAGGCGTTCCTTGTTCCTTGTTCCTAATATGTTTTTAAAGGTGACAAAAACTGTCCTTCGTTCCTAGAAACAGTTGGTATTCGAGCTCCCTCTCGGAACATCCGTAGTTTTTCCCTGTTCTGCTGCTCCTCTAGTCACTGCCCTTCAGCCAGATGTGTCTCTGCTGCTAATTTAGTATGTAATTCTCTAGACATTTTTAGTAGTTCTAAAATAAGTTTAAAAAATCTGACTATAATTGTTCTTATAGTTGCATCAGATTTATTTCTCAATTAATTATCTAAACATCTCATTTCTCAGACCTAAAATACAATGAATTTCTATTATTATTATTATTCTTATATTTATTATTATTGTAATTATTATTAAAAAATCTGTCTATTTAATTTGTTCATGTAGTTTTTGCAGGACACTTGTTATCACTTCATCATTAATATATTTACTTTTGTAGAACCTTTGACATATGTTGTACTTAGACACTGCTTGGTTTCGTCTCTAACATCTAATTGTGTTCTTTCAGTTGGGCATATTGCAATTGAATTTTTGTACTATTTTCATCAATCTGTCTGTATATTGTTTCACTTGTCCTCGTGCTGACTCTGTAATTGGCTACCAGCTGTTGAGTACAGCACGTAAATAAAACCAAGAATTGAATTGAATTGAAATTATTGCTATTATTATAATTTGTTTGTTTACTTTTCTACATTATTGTGCTTTCCCCAGTGCTTGCCTGTAATTTGTCTTTGACTTTATAATGCGTTTGTCTTTAATGTAATTACCTTTGTCTACACTGTGCTCTGTCTGTAATTGGCCTTGCGGCTGTTGACTGGGCAAATAAATAATAAAGAATTGAATTATTATTATTATTATTATGTTTTCCCTCCAGTGTTTACCTTTAATTAGTCTTTGGCTTTATGTTATGTTTGTCCATTATGTAATTACTTGTATCTGCACTGTGCTGTGTCTCTAATTGGCCTTGCGGCTGTTGACTAGGCACTTAAAGAATAAAGAACTGAACTGAGTTATTATTATTGAATATGTGATATGCAAACTGAGTAACTTCATTTCGAATAGTAATCAGTTAACAGCAAACTGAAACTTTTGTTATTCACTTCCACCATCATTAACGCATTTCTATTTGTTGAAAATGGTCTTCGTTCTCTAGTATTCTGCTACCGAAGCCTCCGGTGCTGCAACTCTCGGCGCCGTCCTCCTCAGCATCCTTCGTGAATCTCTTGCTGTTTTTCCTACTGATTCTTCTCCCTAGCACCACAATTACACAAATGCACACGGATAAGAAAAGCACCAAAAGAGACATTGTAATCCAGTACAGAGAGCTCGGCTCTGAAGGTTCTTCTTGTAACATTTGTTCTATCGTCGTCTGATGCACCGTGGCGACCGCTTCGGCCTCTGAAGACGCTCCCACAGTCGTTGGCGAAATAGGAGGCATGCATGTTAATTCACCAATAACATTCCAATATCTGCCTCTGAAATTATCAGGAAACGCACATTTCAAATTCAAATTACAATTATCTTCTTTGGCACATTTGTAATACACATCAGCGGAGTCACAGTCACAAATCCATGGGTTTCCTTCCATATTAACGTCACCGATCCTAGCAACTGCATTTAATAAAGTGATGTTGATCCTACTGACGTTATTATGGCACAAGGAAAGTGACGTCAGTTTCAAGAGTCGTGAGAAAACTTGGCCATTTATGTGTTGTAGGGCATTGTAGCATAAATCTAGCTTCTGAAGTTCAAGAAGAGGGCGATAGATTTCAGGGTTGAGAGAAATAATTTTATTGTTATTAAGACACAGCTCCTGAAGTTTTCGGATATTACTGAATGTGTTTAAAGGGATATTCTTTATGTTACAATGGGAGATATTAAAAAATAAAAGCTCGGTCAGGTACAATCCATCTTTATCTGGAAGTCTGAACATACAGTTATCAGCTAAAGACAGCCATTTGAGTTGTCTGTTATACATGAAAGTGACCGACTCAATTGAGGTTATGTTGTTACTTGAAAGGTCCAGAGAGTACAATTTCTTTAAGGACGAGAATGCTTGTGAATCGACATTGGTGATTTTGTTATGAGAGAGGTTCAAGTGGGTTAGCAATGGGATGTCTTTCAGAGAGTTCTTACTCAGCATAGTGATACTGTTGAAGGGTGCATTCAGTTTGGTAATATACTTGTTGAATTGTGACAGAGGAAGTTCGGTCAATGACGATTTGATGCAGTCTGTGCCATGCACAACTGAGCAAGAACACTGCTGGGGGCATTGTCCCAATACAGAGATTGTCATTATACAAAAATAAGTAGTTAGCAAGGCAACCAACAGAAAACCTGACATAATGGTATATTCAGTTGTCACATATCCTTGACCACTTTGATTCGATCTTGGAGAAACCAGAAGAGTGTTGTTATATATTTGGTACTTTTAGAATAAGACTGAAGACTTTGCAATGTCGAAACAGACCCTTATGTTTTACATTGAAGTTCCACCCCTTTATTCTGCAGATGCCTGAAAGAGTAGGGAACTATGTGGCTCTAGATACGAGACTGAAATTCTGAAAATTCTGACCGTAAGACAGTGCCCCACATTGTAGTATCATTTTGCTTTTGGTTACACCATTTTATTTTGTTGTTTGCATTGATATTACATTTAACTTTTCTGATAACTTCTACGATTCCTTCAAGTTTCGTTGGTTACTTAACGACATTTTTCAGTATCGAGAATATGCAGAGTAATGTATCCTTCAAATTAAATACTCTGCATTGTACTCCTGCACAACAGTTTTCGCTTCTCTTCAAAAATAACGCACACTGAGTTTGTTGCTGTCTAAGTTAATATACGTTTCAGGAACATGCATTTAAAGACATGAGTTTTACTGAGATGGTAAAGCAAACTGTTTTGTGATTAATTATATGATAATAAGATGGCGTTACAATTTTGACTTCTGAAATCACTGGAAATAACACACTAATATGTCCTATACAAATCAAATACGTGTATGTTGATCGTTAAGATGGTTTATAGTAGTTCAAATATCTGAAAAGACTTCAATTGCTATAAGAACACGGGATATATGCTTCTTGTTGAAGTCTTCTGGATAATCTTTCTTCTTATTGCTCTGATCCATCATTCTTATTTCTTAACGTTGAATGCTTGGATGTTTGTCACTAAATGCAAAAGTTAACAATCCGCTTTGGTGCTCGAAACTTGTGTAACCTTACACGTCACCGACCGAGGCTCGACTGAAACGAAAGCTACTATCCAGATAAGTACAAATTAAACAAGGGTGTGTGAGTCTATACTGTCACTCATCCATTTGCTTCCATTTACGTGTATAATGCAACACAACTTTTTTATTTTCAAAATGTGGATATATACAACCACCCCCCATACACCTTCATGACGTAGTGCTTAATTAGTTAAACACAAGGGCAACTTTACTTTTGCCATTTACAATCACATCTAAAATTCGTAAAATATCATTAAAATCACATCTTTACTTAACTGTTGCAACAGGTTTCGGCCCTACAAGTCCATCTTCAGGCAACTGTTGATTGATTGAAATCGCTGCACTGCATCAGCTCATGCGTCAATATATTTACATGCTGAAGAAAGCAGTTTTCTGTGATTTGGCACCGTGTATATGTGGTGTTAACCGACGTTTCGGAGGAACGTATCGCCTCCATCTTCAGGGTAGAAGAAAAAAATATAAGAAATCCGCAAGCGAAGAGACCGTGAGAACCGCCGGTTCTTTCTTCATAGTCACCGCCATGAAAGCCTCAAATCTTACATATTTACATGCTGTTATTGCACAAAGTCGTTATTCCAGAATATATGCCCACACTTCACTCACGCTATGTTCATGTTGCGGCTTCCACGCTGTGTTCCTTTGTGCGTAGTTTACCTTAATGGGGCGTGTATCCTTTGTATTGTTTGAATCAATTTCCATAAAACTTGACCCGTCGAGAAGGCCGTTTTTCCTTCATCGTCGGGTGTAGAATCACCTACCAATAGCCCCTCTTCAGACCCAGAGCGGACAACCATTTGGCTCAGGCAAGAGTGTCCACTATGTCGCCAGTCCTAGTTAGTGAGAAAGAGTATTTTTTGTAACGTTATTCAGCTTCCTGTAATTACGCAAAACGGCAGTCTTCGTTATTATTCCGGAGGAGAACAACAGGAGATGACCAGGGGCTGTTTTTCTCTTCGATAAACCTGCGTCATTATATATCTTCAAGTATTTTACTCACTTCTGCCTTTTTCACTATGGAGAGCCCTCTCAGGGGTTGTCGAATAAGTTGGGCCTCTCCAGCATCGACACGATGGTACACTCTATCGTTTTGCCTGTAGTCACTGTTCTCCGGTGCGAAGACATCATTGTACCTATCAATCAGTTCTTCCCATTCTTTGACTCCTTCATCGCTTAAGTCTGCTCTGTAGGTACGTTCGCAGACGACACAGCAATTTTCGCTACGTCAGAAGGCCCGGTAATTGCTTCATCTAATTTACAAGAACATCTGAATCTAACGGAGAAATGGCTACACCGATGGAAAATCAAAGCGAATGAAAGCAAATCGGCGCATGTGACTTTTACTCTCAGGAAAGGCAACTGCCCCTCAGTACATTTAAATCATGTAAACATTCAACAACAGGATGTAGTAAAATACTTAGAACTACGAGTACACCTGGACTCAACATTAAACTGGAAACACCATATAGCGAAGAAGAGAAAACAAATCGAAATTAAGTTCAAGGAAATAAATTGGCTAATAGGTCGGAAATCTCACCTAACAATAGATAATAAACTACTGATCTACAAAACAATAATTAAACCCATATGGACATACGGCATTGAGCTCTGGGGATGCGCCAGCGGGTCAATCATCCAGCGAAGTCAATCCAAAATACTTAGAGCCATAGTTGACGCACCTTGGTACGTGTCAAACCAAACTCTTCACACCGACCTCAAGATCCCATATGTAAGAACCGTAATCACAGACAGAATCCAAAAACATTATCAGAAACTGGAATCTCAGCCCAACAACGCAATAGAAGTTCTCCTTCAACCTACACAATACAGAAGACTAAGACGAACTTGGTCAAACGATCTCCAGGAAAACTGAGGCGTAATCGATGGATTACAGCTCTTCAAGCCAACTTAGTACAATAGAATAATTATTGTACATGACAGCAAATTAGCTTATAGAATGTAAATTCAGATTGCTAATAAATGATAAATAAAAAAAAAGTCTGCTTTGGCGGTAGCAACCATGTCTTGTAACTGTGGGACGGTCTCTTGGGTCTAAGGCTCCGCTGCATCTGATGGGGTCACCAGCGTGGCTGGTCCACAGAGCGCCAGGAGGGATCCTTTCTTTAGTGACTGGTCTCGACAGGTAGCCTTCTGGATTCTGACGTCTACCTTCTGTATATTCCTTCTTCTGAACTTCTGCCGAAGTACACGGCGATACATATCAAAATATAGTACCCTTTATTCCAATGAAGATTCAGGATTCCTGTGTGCAGACCCATGATTGTTGGGAGTTTTGATTTAACCAGAAAACGATCATTAGAAGAATAGTTGTGAATGACGGATTGGAAAGGGGTACTGAAAGAGGCCCCGCCCTCTTTTAAGGGACCATGCCACGATCACAGCTTCAGCTCTGAAGAGACTCAGGATAACCATAAATAACCTCAATCATTTTAGCCTGTATGCAGATTCAGCTTCGAACATGGGACCCACCTAAGTATACAGCAGAAGCACTGAAGGTACTTTCAGTTATGAATTATATTTCGCGGAACCAATTTTAACAATATCCTCCTAAGTAGACTCCGTCCTTTTGTTGGTCCCTTCCCTTGACAATTTCTTACTAGATTGCCGTATCTATGATCGTCCGCCTATGGGATTGGGAAAATCACGGATAGCGACAAAATAAACTTTTGGAATGAGACGTCCATGGCCTATTCGCAGTGTTATTAGAGTATTCGCCTCAAGAGAATGAAAAACCCATGAAAGCTCCCTGTCAGGGCAGACTATATCCCCGCCAAAATTGGAGACGTGTATCTCCACAAAACACGTGTGCAACGTTGAAGCCAGACCGAGCTGTTCGATGTCTCCAGGAAACACCGTGTTGCTGAAAGTTTGAACGAAATCTCGCCCTAAACGTTTAGTGCTTTGTTGAAATTACGGCTCTAAAATTTTTGTAGCTGTAGCGTGATTTTAGCGTGATTCTCACTCCTCTGTATCTTGCGTCTTAGCTGTTACTCGCCGTAATAAAAATGAAGTTTGCCTTTATCCAAGAAGCATATTTTTACGGTTATTTACATATATGTATTATATTAACCATTAATAAAGTTTCTTAAAGTCTTAAAAATTTTAACAACTTCTATGTTTTGTGAATATCATTATGTAAAACAACACATTTCTGTTAGTAGAAATTCGATTATTGTGCAGTACTATTGAGAAGTTTAGTGCTTACAATGCAAGAGAGTTTTTGTGTAGGGAAATTTTTGTGTGACTGAATTAATTCTTATTTTCGATACTTCAAGTTTCATTACTGAGCCGACCGTCAAGTTCAAACAGCTCGACGTGATCCAGAGCTCGAGAAAATACACTGCAAATTATTTAGTTAGCTTATGTTATAAATGTACCGGTTACTGTTGAGTTCGAAACATTTTTGTGTTTTCTCTGTTATCAACGCTCCTTATCTGACCAGTTGATAAATAGAGACCCATGAACTTTCCTGTGAAATGTTAGACATTTTAGCGCTAGTTGCTACCCAGAGAAGAGAGTGTCCTTTGCAGCATATTATTATGTTACGTTTCATGGAGTTATTTGTACTTCTGGTGGCCGTCATCTTAAGGGTCAGAGGGCAGTGTCCGACTCTTTGCACGTGCCCTAGTTCCTACGTGGCAAACTGTGCTTCTGCAGCCCTCACAAAGATTCCAACTGACAGGTTCGTATAATGACAAACAGGAGGTGTTTCGATGATTAGTTAAGCCAGGGGCACATGCCCTTTCTGTCGACAAACATATAAATACGCTCTCATCCATACTCAGCCATGTGAGTTTCTAAGTTAGTACAAGTGAACAGAGAATGCTGCCAGCCATCACATATTGTACAGATAAGAACATTTTTCTAAAGTATATGGGGTAAATAATGTGCTCAAGATAAGGCACTTGAGTCATGAGTTTCCTAATGTCAAATTCCCGGGTCAACAAACCACGCCTATTGATTACGCAGACCTATTCTGGGTTCGCCCTCTTTTCTTATGCCACAATCATGCCACATCTGTATTATTACAGCCTATCTCAGGGGCCGCGCCGTCTAACGCATTAACTGTCTTCGATCGCTCGAACGCTGGGATAGTGTGTTCGAATCCTACTCACGGAATGGATGTCTGTGTACGTTTCTTTCTGTGTTTATGTTGTTCTGTGTGCAGGTAGCTACCTTGCGACGGTCTGATCCTCCGTCCAAGGAGTCATACCGACTGTGTATAAGATTAAGAAACTGAAAAAAAAAAAGCGGTCTAGTTCAAACGAAAGGACTATAGAGACATAGATAGATAGGCAGTATATTATTATAGTCCAAATATTATTTCGCGGTACCCTGTTCCACAACACTTATTATTCAAGTCACTAATTCAACCGTCTTTCACTCGCCCAAGGAGTCCTAACATATGTGTAAGATCTAGAAAAACCGAAGTGAACGGAGTTCATGGAGGTAGGCCTAGGTCCACTGAGGCTGTAGTGCCAAGGAAAAAAAAAATTCAACCGTCTTAACGTGCAACACGTCTTCCTCAAAACTTATTTAAAGGTTTATCCACAACACAATACATGTTTCAACCGACATTGATCAACAGGCGTTTAAAATTGTTGATGAAAACTGTTCTGCTTCTGTTTTATAGTTTCAATGTATCTGTAACATGTATACATATTTTATGTTAGTATTTTTGTGTATAATGTGTGTTAATGTTCCATATAATTATTTGTTTATATACTTACCCCATGTGTTTATTTTTTGAAATGTTATTTTTAGTTCCGTTTCACTAAAGAGTTTTGTAATTTTCCTTGTTGCTTTCACACTGTATATAAAAATGGCACATTTATTTGTCTGGTCTTGTCGGTCTCTGTTTTATGTTGTTTGCATTGATTTGGATGTCTTGTGCTTAAGTTTCTATTATATTTATTGTAATATAATATGTCTAGTATAGTATTTATTTTCTTTTAATTTGGGTCTTCTGTTATTGGATATGTGTGCATTCTGTTCGTTAGGCAATTAATACTTGATCCTATATGTTCATATGAGTGGCAGGAATCGTTCTCAATATGATATCTGTTAAGTTTTCTATATATCGCTAACTCTAATTTTGTTCTCTTACGGTGTATTGTGACCGCCTCTGTGGGCTAGTGGTCAGAGATCCTGGCTACAGAGCCAGAGGTCCCGGGCTCCATTTCCGGCGCTACCAGATTTTCTGAGAAGTAGTGGGTCTGGAACGTGGTCCCCTCAGCCTTATGAGGATAATTGAAGAGCTATTTCAAAGAAATAATATCTCCGGTCTAGAAAACTGAGATTAACGCCCGTGGGGATCCATTACGCTGACCACGCGACACTTTCTATCCGCAGAAGTTGGCACTAACTTCGCTGACAAACGGCGATCACTCGGTCGGTCAGTATAGTTCGCTTGCAGAATACAGGCCACGGAGTTTGTTTTTGTTTGTTTTTACGGCGTATTGTAAGATTCAGAAAATTAATTGACTTACGTTGTTTCTCGATAGCGAATTTTATATTTGTCTTTTTTATTGAATTCGGCTAAAATTTTATCTATATTTGTTTTCGTTTGATTATAGATTGTGAAAGTGTGTCGTCATATCTAAAATATCCCATTATTTGATATTTCGTTAAAATTGAAAGCAGTTGTTTATGTTCCACATATTGAATGTACACTTCGGCCAGTATTGCTGATGTAGGAGCACCCATTGCTAATCCCTCAGTTTACTTGTAATACTGTTGGTCAAACTGGAAATACAGTAAAACTTGGTTATAGCAACATCGGTTTCTGCGACACCTTGTCTATTGCGTCAAATATTCAATGGTACGAACTAATTCCTCATAAAGCAACTGTTTTTATACCTTGCTTAGTACGACATGCACAAATGCATCAACCTCGTATGTAACGTCATTTTCATTCCTGAATTTCTCTGATATCGTGGGAAAGTTCAATGTGTCTGCCCACCCTCACTTTCTCTACTTGCTGACGTGACTGTCCTGGAAGAATACGACCGCGGGCTGCAAGAGGAGCGTGGGTTTTATGCGAAAACAAGGGTGTGGGGTGGGACTGCGTGAATAGTGCAAGAGGACGCGGCAGGTTGTTAACTGCATTCCTTTCCTAGAATCTCGTCTAACAGGACCTCACATTGTCTACTTACCCTATAGTGTTCCTGCCTAAACCCAGAGAAGTGCAGTAGCGAAAACATGGCAATGAAAAGGAAAGTTTTAAGCATTGAAGAGAAAGTTAAAGTGATTCGTGAAATATTGTGTGTATTGTCAGTGAAAAGCGCTGTAATATGTCTTTGATATTACACATTTGGGCAATTCCACGTTAATGTTACGTTAGTCTGTACTTAACTACGTATTTCACTAAAAAATGCAACATTTTAACTCGGTTTTTGGTAGATTTTTACGTGACTAACATAAGGCTACTGTGGAAGTGCCCATTTCGGTTACAACGACATTCGTTTATAACGACACTATTTTTAGGTCCCTTTGATGACGTTATAACCAAGTTCTACTGTAGTTTTATTCCATCACTCTTTTAATATGTTTATTATTTCTCTTTGATTAGTTTTTATAATTTTTTAGGTATTTTCTATTATATATATGAACTCTAATTTAGTATTGTAATGTGTATAGCTAGGCAACGGCGCGATAAACATTTCCTCGCGTAAGAGCACTCACCAATAGGAAGAATGTTTATAGCTCGTTGCTAGGAAACAGTCAGCGCGCCAATGGGCTGACGAATAGCGATCACGTGACTAGATTTCTTTTGGGTCCGTGCCGCGGCCGTTGCTATGCAACGACAAGGTAAACACGCCTCTACGACAATAGAGGCTGTCTTCTGCGTGGTCGGTGCGGAGGCTGTATGACGACAGTTACAGATATAACAGGTTTCAAACCCAGGTGAAGGCGAGGTCGAATACTTCCACCGTGACCCTGCGAGTAGTAGGAGGCGACAAAAAGAGAAGTCTCAAATCTGAAACAGTAAAATATGGTCACAAGTCCCAAGGGACTCGAACCAGAGAAAGACTGCACAGGCAAGAGCCAGCAGCATATAAAAAAGACAGACCCGCCCTCTCTTCAGAGAGTGCGCCCCACAGAAACAAAACCGCAACTGTCAAACAGTAAAAAATATCTGGTCACGAGCCCCAGATGGAGCTCGACACCAAGACTTACTGACTGAATGACTGACTGACCGTCAGTCGCAATGTTACTTTGACTTAACAGGTTTCGGTTTTTTTGTCCTCTCCTCAGAAATGACAGTGACAAAGTGAAGAGTCCAGAAGGATTTGAGAGGAGCAGTTGAGAATGGAGAGCGAAGTGGAACCAGGAGTACAGAAGAATACAGGAGGTCGGCCTGTGAGGTATTAGAGTGTGATTTGAAGACTTTGTTTTTGTGTAATACTTGGAGTGTATAATCTAGTGAGACTGTTATAGGTTATCTGTTGAAATCCGTTTCAAGAAGAAGATTTATGAAGGTTGAGGATCCTAGTGCGTGTGTAACGGTGAACTGTAATTTGTGGAAATCAGCAATAGAACTGTATTTAAATGTAATTAAAGGAACTTGTAACCTAAGTGTCAATAAATCCAATCATCCGAACTAGAACCCGTCATTCTCGTCACGCGTACCATACTATACACGACACACATATTCTTTATGTCGAACACATTCTCATATCTTCATTAATTTCCTTGGACTTAAAGTCTGTAGTTAGATGTATGGAGTTCTGAATGTTGTATACGTTTGGCAGGTGTAAGTGATTGCGTAAATTTTTTGTTAAATATTTCTCTAGTTCATATGCGGGCGCGTACTTCCAGTTAATTATTGATCTGATATGCGTGTTTTGTTTATTTATTTTTATTGTGACGTGGAGATTTGGGGTCGTGAGATTCATATTTATGAAATTCGAATTGTCTTGTTTTGGCATTATGTTTTTACATTGTGCTAACATTACTTTTATAGTTTTTTTTTCATATTTTTGAGTGAGATTGTTATTAAACATTGTGGGCTGGTTCTCTTGTATAAAGTTGTTCACTTCTGTTTGTAGTTTTCTCTTGTGGGTATAACTATACGTACTTCTCCCTTTATCTTCTTTTTTTTTCATTTTCTGCTAATCTCTTTTTATATTGGTTATTAATTTCTATTCTTTTTTGCTTTTTGTATTGTTTTATTGTCTTCCTGGTTAATGTTTTTAAACTATGTGTCTGTAATAGTGTTGTTCTATTGTGTCGAGTTGACTTTTTGCGCTTTCCACTTCTAATGCTAATGTTTGTAGCCAGTCTTTCTGCTTACATTGTAATTATACATCGAAAAGCACCTGAAGATGGCACTTTAGTGCTGAAACATGTAGTGCAAGAGAGAAGAGTAAGATGAATAAATGTATGCACTGTAAGACGGTCAGAATAAATCATGGACATAAATCAGTGCAACAGGACGCTAAAATATAACATTATTAAAATATAACACTGTAAGTTGTATTTCAATCCTTTACATAGCAATTAAATATTTTCTTGTGCAGATTGTGTGTCTATGGTGTTCAATACACTAGGGTAATTCTTGTTTCTTGAAATACTAACTTCAGACAGGGGATCACTCGGCATAAGACTTCTAGCGGTGGAACTTCTGGTCCTAAATTTCCCAAAACAGCACTGTTCACTTGTATTCTCATCTAGTTATTTAAACATTCAAGAATTTACAAAAGGGGGTCATATACGAGTCCCTATATTCCTTCATGGCCTGAGACTTCTTCACTAGGCTGAATTTACCTTCTAACTGATCTTATAATTTTCTAATATTTGTACCCGAAGATTATGAACTTTTAACAGCATCAGGTAACAAGTTCATGAACCAGTTCAATCAAATTCACATCCTTATCCTAGTTCCATAATATCCACCATGTTCATATTACTTTTCCATTTTCTTTTATATTTACTCATTTACAACTACCCAGAATTTCCCCTTATCAATATTCTTTAAACTACTCACATTTCCTACGCTCCTGCTCCAACATTCATTACGGTATTAAATTGCATTTGAAACTTTCACCTTGTAGTCGTATAAAGTTTAAGCTTTCACGGCCAAGAAATGAGCTAAAATCTTCTGGGTCTGTCAGCTTTATCAATCTTGAGCTAACAATCGACTTTTCCGAGATGGGAGAGGGAGAATTTCTCTAAAATGTTGGTTTTCAACATTGACAAAGCGGATCGCCTTAGAAATTTTAGCTCATTCTTATGGTACTTCCTGAATAAAACCACTTTATCTTTTCTGCTTTTAACATATATTTGTAGGGATAAAAACTTATCCTATAAATATGACTAGATGAATTTGATTTGTTTCATTCTGTTTCGTCACACTATTATTATGAAAAAGCTAAATAGTCCCGTTCAGTGTGATTGGTTAAGATTGGAATAAGAAAATCTTAACAAATCACACTGAACGGAATTATTTAGCCTTTTCATTTTATCACTACATGGTTTAATTATCCATTCCACATTCTGCGTGCGACAGAATATGATTTACTTGTCTTCACATCATAACACGCGGACGTTTCAAACGTAACACGGAGACGTAGTTAGCTGCCAGTTTTGTTTCCACTTTTCCCACCGTAATGTCAAATAATGGTTAAGAAAATGGAAACAAAAAGCTAGCGATGTTACGACACCGACTTAATTAAAAGCGTTCAAGATGCCATATAACCAGCCAACTACAAAACGAAGTAATAACTACCCATTGACCATCTTATTGAAGAAAAGCCACCAATGGAAACTGTCCTAAGCCAGTTGAATTCAGTCCACATCCCCATAAATTATTTCTTTGAAGCTTATTTAACTATACGTGTATATCCCCATAAAGCGTAGTCTGTTGCGTGGTCTATTCCCTAGAGATTTACCAACCATTACGTTCCGTACATCCTAAATTACGTCTTAATTACTTACTCACTCATGGAGCTGAGCCCTTCTTGAGGAGCCGCCAAATCTGCAGCTACTCAAGCATTTCCCAGAATTTTATGGAACTCAAGGTTAATTTCCGTGTCCACAAGATCCCTCCACTGGTCCCTATCCTGAACCAGACCAATCCAATCCATACCATCTCATCTTATCACTCTAAGATCCATTTTAATATTATCCACCCACCTACGCCTTAGTCGTCCCAGTGGTCTCTTTCCTTCTGACTTTCCCACCAATAACCTAGACGCAATCTTCTTCTCCCCCATTAGTGCTTAACTTGACTTGATAATTCTAATTTTACTTGGAGAAGAGTACAAGTTATGAATGACATCGCTTACTAAAATTGGTTCATCCCTTGTAAGTGGCGTCCGAAGATGAAGTGAAGATTTGCAAACGAAGCGAAGTGCATACAACCAGTTCTACCATTAGTTACTGTAGTTAGCTATATATGGAAATATTGAAATGTCAATTGCAGATTTGACCTCTACATGGAGAACCTGGATGTTTCCGACAACAGTCTGGCGTCCTTAAATAAGACGTCGCTGAGTGGCATACTAGTGATCTCGCTTATACAACTCAACGTTTCGAGGAACCACATCAGAGACATCCACGAAGAAACTTTCGTGGGACAGAGCAGGCTGCAGACCGTGGACCTCTCCAGTAACAATATCACCTACATAGAACCCAAGACCTTCACATACAATCCTTCCCTTGAGATGCTATCAGTTTCCAGTAACAAGTTTCTCGTACTTCCTGAAGAAGGCCCATTCATTCACTCTGGTTCTCTCAGAGTTCTTTATCTCTCAGCTTGTGATCTCAGCCACATTCCACCACAAACTTTCAAGAGCGTACCAAACCTTGAAGAACTATACATTTCTCATAATAGAATCGAAACTCTACGTCCTTTACAAGGCAATGGGCGCTTAACCTTGATAGATGTAAGTAATAATTATTTGATATCTTTGGATCCTGGCGTCTTCACCGTTTTCCCAAAATTACATCGTCTAAATCTGAGCTACAATAGGCTCACTGATTTGGACATCATACCACAACTGCCCAACAAAACTTGCTCCGAGGAGTTAAATGGCAATCCTTGGGTGTGCAATTGCAGTACGTTTCACACGGCTTACTCCTGGTGTCATGATAAAGGTGTGGACCTCAGGCTTTTATGCTCAAGTCCTCCGAAATATAAAGGTGTGCAGTGGACAGTTTATGGTAAAGAGTTCTGTGGTGATGATAATGAATATGTGGAGCAAATGGAAGGATTTGTGATTAGCGCTGACCGATTGCAATCAATTAGAATGTATGAAAATTATGAAATTCAGCAGGCGTCTATGTACATTCCCACTGAAATTCAAGAACTAGACACAAACGTTAGTCATAATTATTATTTATATTTCTTTCTTGTCATTATCATTTTATGTCTGTGTTGTATAGCAGTGATTGGGGGAATGGCGGTTTTCTTGAGCTGCGTTCCATCAGTACGTAGGGTTCCTGTCCACAGTGATGTGCAGGAGAGCCACATATGAAGCGTGAGCACCTGAACTCTATCTGCTCGTACAACTGTGAAACTGATCCCGCACCTGGCATGCCAATGGTGACAATGAAGATGGATCCTCCCACAAAAGTTTCCCATTTGTGATCTAGCTTATTGTGTGGTGCAGAGTGTTCAATAATGTTCGTACGTCCCAAACACTGGATACAGCTCTTCACCAAATTCTCCAACGCTTTATAGAACTACATTGTAAAGAGCATAGCCGAATAACCAATTCAGACCCATCAAATGAGAAATTTATCTTAAAAAGTTGTCATAATGTTTCATTAAAATGGCGATCTAGTTCGGAATATGATATTATATGCATATTACTTATAAGCGATAGTAGCTATTATAAAAGATTTAGAATGGACGCGCCATAGCTCAAGCGGTCAGTTGCTGGTTTCCCACCGCGTCGGCCGGGGTTCGATCCCGGGTCTGGTCAAGTGGGATTTGTGGTGGAAAAAGTGGCGGTGGGGCGGGTTTTCTCCGAATACTTTGGTTTCCCCTGCAAATCTTCATTCCACCAAATTCTCCATCATCATAATCACCCGGGGCAGGCTACAGTAGGCCAATCAGTGGCCGCCGTGCCGAGTGGACACAGTTGGACTCCACCCCCCCCCACCCACTAAGCGAAAGTTCACGTCCTATGAAATATTCTGATATAAATCTTGCCCTTCATAAGCTACTATTTTCCTTAGCCAGGCTGCATCCCAAATTCATTTTACTACAGAATTATGCGCAAAAATTTCACATGCCTTTTCACTTTATGAAGGATAGTGGTGCACTAACGGGTGTCATTCAGTCTTCTTTTCCTTCTTCTTCTTCTTCTTCTTCTTCTCCTCCTTTCTCGGCGGATTAAGCCCTCCTATCTATTCCCATTCACGATTAATCAAATCTGTAATGTGAATATTGTAAATAATTCGTAGGACTTCTTGAACGGGGGATCAGCCTGTTGCAAGGCCTGTACCCACACAGGACAACTCAACACAGAATAAACGCAGACGTCCGTACCTCGAGTAGGATTCGAACCCCCGATCCCAGTGTTCGAGCATAAGAAAACCTTTCATGCGTTAGGCAGCACGGCCATTGTGATCGAATTTCGCTCTCAGAATAAATAGCTTTAGTTTACCTGACTAATATTGACTGAATGACAGTTACATTGGAGACGCACGTATATTGCTGAAGACTTGAATTGAACTTGTGAAAATGATTTGGATGAATTCCGCACTCTAAAAGTTGCAAAGAAAATGCGAATTCCGTTACTAGATACAGAAAAAAAGAATGAATATATAGAAATAAATAGAAAAATTATCTAGAAGTGTAACAAAAATGAAGGGAAGGGTTCATAGAGGACATTAATTTGGGCATAACACGTCTACTTGTATGCTGTAGTACACGGTTCGAAACCCTGAAAATGCCTATCGTTTCGTAGTAATTTTTCCGTGCTTTGAAACGAATGCTGATATGATATCTTCGAACTTGACGGCATTGCTTCCTCTTTAATCTTTAGTAATTCTGACTGACTAACATTAGTTATAAGAAACGCCATGGAAAATACGTGGTGCGTTCCGTATATAATGCCTCCTATTTTTTGTGTTAATATGTAACGTCTGAGCTGGATGTTGGTGGTGCTGTAGTAAAGGTTGAACCTTCCCGCCAATGTGCTGTTAATTTGGTTGTCGTGCGACAGATAGCGACAGCAGAGCAGTCTACTAAAATGGCGTCTGACATAGAAGTGCGTATGAAAGAGAAATGTGTTATTGAATTTCTCACTGCCGAACAAATTGTACCCATTGACATCCATCGACACTTGCTAAAGGTGTACGGAGACAATACAGTGGATGTCAGCACAGTGATTCGGTGGGTAGTGCGTTTCAACAGTGGCGAAAGTGAAGTGCACGACAAGCCACGCCATGGGCGTCCCTGCTCAGCTGCCACTCCTCACAATGAACAGCGCCTCATCCGAACAGATCAGCAGAAAACGACCAAGAATTGTCAATTCTGAACGCTACAAGACGACGCTGACTAAGCTGAAAGCCCGTATTTCCCGAGTCAGGTGAGAGAAGCAGACAACCTTTCGCCTGCAACACGATAACGCTAAACCCCATACCAGTTTGGCGACCACCGCGCACATTGCAAAGTTTTGCTGGACTGTCATACCACATCCACCTTATAGCCCCGATTTAGCACCTTCAGACTTCCATCTCTTTGGGCCTATGAAAGATGGACTACGTGGGCAACATTTTCCAGACAACGATGCTGTCATTGCAGCTGTAAGAAAGTGGCTAGCCTCTGCTGACGCAGACTTTTACGGGCGCGGCATACAGGCTCTTGTTCATCGATGACAAAAGTGCATAAAGAATGGTGGTGATTATGTGGAAAAATAGCTGTAAGTAGCTGAAATCTTGCTCTATTTAACTGCGTTATTATGGTTTCTGTATCTGTTGTAGTTTTCTTTAAAAAAATGGGAGGCATTATATACGGAACGCCCTTAGTACATAATTGCGAATCACTTCTACCCATTTCCAAATTTCAGCAATTATTTCCATACGATAGATGCTAATATTACAATCTTTCAACTCAATATGACCTCTTGCTTGGGTGGCGCTAGCTGAGGTGTGGATGGCTGACTCGGATTAATATTTCAGGGTAGATTATTCTGCTCGTGAGACTGGCTAGGTTAGGTAACTGAGCTATTAAATATTTAACTCTGTCTCGAAGGTCACATTAACGGGGAAACACCGGTCATGCACCACACGGTGATGCACGGTGTGCCTCGCAGTCTGAGGCATGAAATATGTACCTACGCTCGCTCCAACGCTGGGATCGTGGGTTCGAATCCCACTCAATGCATCGACGTTTGTCTTCGTTTATTCTGTTTAATCAAAGTGGGAGCAACAGGAATGGAAGGAGAACATATCCCAGAAGCTAAAGCTATTAAGTGAAATGTTTATTGAATTAAAAGTTAGAGAAACACCAGATGTTTGCGATAAAATTCCTTCTTAATTTGTGTTAAATTCGGATTAAAATAAAATTGGTGATATAAGGAATTTGTTCCTCTTAGATTATATGAGATCCGAGTGATATGTATTGAAATGTCATCTCTTTCTTCGCGAAACTATCTGACATTATAATCCCCCCCACGCACAAACGCACAAACACGCACACATCATGTGCACTGGTTATATGATAGGAAATTGGTTTTTATTGTCTGCCTAGCAGATAAAGAATTTCACAGCAGAATGACGATAATACGTAGGTCGTACCGAAAGTCATGAGCAACTCTTTTTGCATGCAACCTGGGAACAGCAGATGAAAGAGAATACGGTGGTAGGTGGAACCAGCTGTTGTGTTAACCTTGAGTGTCTTGTGACGTCAATAGCTTGCGTCACGTGACCAGTATCACTCCTAACAAAATTGCCGAAAACCATATGTCGTTTCGCCAGCATGCTGTCATTGAATTTCTTGTGAAAGAGGAAATCCCTGCTGCAGAAATTCACCAGAGATTTCAGCGTGCTTATGGAAGTGTGTGCATGGGTGCGAGCAGTGTTCGAAGATGGGTGAAACATTTTAAAGATGGGAACACCAGCATCGAAGATGAGCCTCGGAGCGGTCGTCCTCGAACAGCCTTAACTGAACGCAACAAGGAAAGAGTGGATGAGATCATTCAAGAAGACAGGCGTGTGACTGTGGACACAATAGCCCGAAAACTTGGAACAGGTCACACTGCAGTACAGGAGATGATTGAAAGCTTGACCTATAGGAAAGTTTGTGCTCGTTGGATCCCGCGGTTATTGACCGAAGACCACAAAGGTCAGCGAAAAGCCATCACCTCAGAACTGCTGCAGAGATATCGACACGAAAGCGATGATTTTTTTCTCTGTATTGTGACAGGTGACGAAAGCTGGTTTCACTATTTCGGGCCTGAAACGAAACGGCAGAGTATGGAATGGCACCATTTGCATTCTCAATCAAAAAAGAAGGCAAAGACAGTGCCATCAGCAGCGAAGGTGATGGGCACAGTCTTCTTAGATTGCATTGCGCGATAAACGTCCGGGACGAAACATCATCATCCTGCATGACAACGCTCGACCCCACGCCGCTCGCCTCACATTGGAAGCATTTGCAAAGATGGGGTGGAAGGTTCTTCCACGCCCCTCCCATAGCCCTGATCTGGCACCCTCCGACTACCATATTTTCAGATTTGTGAAGGATCAGTTTTGTGGACAACGTTTTGAGACAAGGGAGGCAGTTCAGAAAGCAGTGCGTCAGTGTCTTCGGATGGCTGGAACGGAATTTTACAGAAGGAGAATTTTCAAACTCCCAGAGGTAGAAATGCGTACAGAGAAGTGGCGATTATGTGGAAAAATAAAGAAAGGTCTGTAGATTGATGTGGTATATTTGGTTTGTCAATAATAAAGCATGTTACTTTAAAAAAACTGTTGCTCATGACTTTCAGTACGACACTCAGTATTGGGATTTTGTATGATTTCATATAATCTATATCTTGTAGCAAGAATTTGCTCTGCCAAAGTTCATGAAAATCATTTCGACATTATTACATACTCGTACGTACATGGACAAAATCAGTGAAGCTTCCAAGAGCTAAGACGTAAATATTAAAGGATCAAAAATATGTTTCATATTTCAGCCGAACAGAAGGATAATGTGGTACAGCTATATACATATCATCCCCACATTCCATAATATGCAAATTACGAATACATTACACGTGTAATACATATAAGGATGTAGTAACTTATGAAAGCATTAATTGTAAATATATTTATTTACTATTATATATATATTTCAATAATAAATATATGATCATTTCATTAAGCTTATTTTATAGAGGAACACAATGAACATGTGCGTGACTCTTTAGTCCCCTATAATCACCATCCAACTGACAGCCTTCATGAAGTGTCCTATGGTTCCTTCTAACCGTTCTCCTGACTGACTGCATGCTTCCCACGGGGAAGCCCCTTTCCGTGAGGTTCACGAATTGTGGTGCGAAGGTACGTAACGGTGATGCAAGGTATGCCTTTTATTTTATCGTTCTTCTGATCGTCAAGAAATGATCTCCAAATATTGCAATTATTGCGTTTCTGGACATCATCCATCATCCTGTTTATATAACTGAAGAAAGGCTGAAGAATACGGCCTACTTATTTGTTACGTTTGTTATGGTAAAAATGGATCCGCTTAATGTAGCTTCACATACACGTGTACGGGTACATCTCGGGATACGAGTTCATATGCACGACGTGAGAACTTACCGTGTATTTTGCGATATCGTCATGTTCTTATTTACTTTGGACATTGATCTATTCGTGTCAAGAGGGTCATCAACTTTCCTTCTTTTATCGATTTTTGCACACGGTACCTCCCACTAATCTTATCAGTCTGTTCAGAGTTTCAGTGATACCAACTGGAATTACTGATTACATGAAAATTGAGATCAGCCGGTCGTAAACGACACATGGGAGGAGATGAGAAATTCATTCAAGCCTTTCGTTGCAGATCCTGAAGTGAAGAGAAAACGCAGAAGACCTCAAACAAACAAACAAACAAACAAACAAAAAAAACTCCCTGGACTGTAGCCCGCAAGCGAACTATAGCGACCGAGCGACTGCCACTTGTCCGCGAAGTTAGTGTCAACTCTTGCAGATAGAGAATGTCACTTGGTCAGGGCAACGGATCCCTACGGCCGTTAATCTCGGTTTTCTACACCGGAGCAGCTGTTTCCTTGAAATAGCTCCTCAGTTATCATCACGAGGCTGAGTGGACCCCGTTCCTGACCCACTACTTCTCAGAGAATCTGACAGTGCCGAGAATCAAACCCGGGACCTCTGAATCTGTAGCCAGGAACTCTGACGACTAGATCACACCTAAGGATGGATAATAAAATTTTCACAATAAAATGGGTGACATAGGGCGCAGAGTTGTGGGCTGAAATGGTCTGCCTCATGATAGGGCTCAGTGACGGCCTTTTGTCGCTATGATCTTGAAATTTATCATCAAATAAATAACTACGAGTAGATAGGGCCGGAGGCTCTCACAGCGGTTATGAAGAGTTCTGTCTTGTGGGTTATTCAGGCCGTGGAAAGTCAACCAACGCTTCGGAGGAAAATAAACAAAGCTTGCTAACCGCTTCATGCTGGTTTCCTGATCGTCTTATTCTTCGACACTGAAGATGGAGGCGACGTTTTCCTCCGAATCGTCGGTTGATTGTCAACATGCTACACGGCGTTATATCCCAGAAGATATAACTTCCACAATAATTATCAGTTATCAAATGCTCTTAAGGCTCCCACACACAGACGCGATACGATTCGGGACGATATAGCACTCGGGACGAAAGCGGTTGTTTACCGAGTGGGCCGCGCACACCGCCGCGACACTCGGGAACCTCGGGAATCTTTGACACCCGATAACCAGTTGGCCATGACTCACACTCAATCAGTATCTATACGTACGTGAAACGACATGGGTAGCCAAATGGAATAAATAATAGAGTTCGTCAAAGAAAATGCTTTATTGTACGATACTCATCATCCGATGTACAAGGATTCACGTGCTAAGGATAGAAAGTGGAAGGAATTAGCTGTTACAATGAACAGAGACAGCAAGTAGAAAAATCTGTGTATATTTTATAGGGTTAAGTATACAGTAACTGTGGACATTCTTAATGAGTGCGCTCGGTAGACCGAAATACCGAGGCGATATACCGACTGCGATAATATCGCGTTCCTCGGAGTACCGCGCCAGTGCGCGGGCCTCCATTTACCGCAATGTAATTAGATATCGTCCCGTACCGTACCGAGCTGAGTATCGCGTCTGTGTGTGGGAGCCTTTAAGGTCTGTTCCGCTGAATTCAACAATGCAGGTTTCAGGAACTGAAACGCATATTCCTGTTGGTGTACGTAGAAATTGTGTTCAGGTATCTCATGGAGCTTTCTTTCATTTCTTCGATAACTGCCTCAGACAAACGTTAATTTTTCTATGATATGAAATTAATCGAAGTCCATTAACCGAGAGCTGACATATTTTGTGCTGACGCGTGAACGCGCGATCGAGAGAGCAAACCAAACATAATATGAAGAAAGCAGTCTTCTGGGATGTGGCACCGTGTAGATGTGGTGTTAACCGACGTTCCTCCGAAACGACGGAGGAACGTCGGTTAACACCACATCTACACGGTGCCACATCCCAGAAGACTGCTTTCTTCGTAGTCACCGCCGTGAAAACCTCAAATCTTACAAAGATAACATGCTTTGACATATGTTTGAAAACGATCGTAGAAATGTCAACGTAAGCTGCAGTTAGATTCATTTATTTATAGAAGTTGTTAGAAAAATATCTTAATTATCTGTTAAATTTTATCTCATTAAAGCCTGTCATATCGCCTTCCAGAAACCATTTGCCTTATCAATTTTAAAATTTGGCAATGCTGTGAATTTCAGTTTACCTGGATGGGTGCAGAGAGGAGCTTTAGGAGAGCAATAAAAATAGGCTGTATATGTTTTGCAAAATTTATCTTAAAATAGCGCTGCCTCCATGGGATATTTTGTTTCCATTTGTTGTCTTTTTTTGGCGTGACATTTCTTCTGCATGGAGGCAGTTAGACCAATGCATAGTTTTAGTGTTCGGATTGAAAGTTCAAACTTGTTTCGATAAGCGAATGATAATAACGGCACTTTATGACCAGCAATCCGTTACGGATGTCTGCGCATGTTCATGAAGTATTTTATGGCAAAAGGGCGAAGGAAGGAAGCAAATGACACTGATCTTTCTCCATCAAATGTTTAGTTGGCATGAATCAGCGTGGAAAACGTCCTAATTTCTAATGTAAGGTATGTCTGATTACCTCATTAGATAAAAAATTCTAGAAACATAAAAATTTCTGTATTTTCTCCATATTTGATTCATTTGCTTCAAGTTCATGCACACGCAACAAAGCAGATCATCACAATTTTGTGACAACGGAGGAAGACGCAAATAATACCGCGCCTTTAGGGAAATGGCTACACCATTTGTTAGAAACCTCAGATTAAAAAGATCCAGCATCCCCGAGTGAGTCAGTGTTTAAGATATTGTGGCATGTAGGCCCGTTGCTAGGCAACGGCCGAAATATAAGCAACTATACAACAGCCGTTGTTAAGTAATGGCCCGTAAACAGCAAACGATGAATGGTGTCTTATGTGCGGTCCGTGCGGATGAATGCGAAATCAGCAATGGAATAAGTATGCCACCCTCTAAGCAATAATCACACTATAGCAGCGGAACGGTGTTTTCTACGCCGTCCATACTGGTCTGTTATAAACGTCACTCACCAGCAACTGCCTCCACTCCATTGACTGACTCACTCATTCCTCAATTGGGGTTCAGTTGTTGTGATTTGTTGCTGTGAGAAACTGGTAGCTGAGGCCGGGAACAGTTCTGGAACCCAGAGGAAGGGGAACGTCTGCCGTTTGAAACCGCTACTGAGCAACAGCTGGTGAAGACACAGCAGGCTGAGAAGACTTGAGTGTGTGCTCTAGTGAGCTGTGAAGTGTGTGAATTAGTGAAAGGGTTATAATTACTTAGAGTCACGGATCTGTAAATTTCAATAAATCTAATTACCAATCCCAACGCTGTCTATAGTCACTAAAATCGAGACAACTATTTAATGCAAGTTACACTGCTCAGTGTTAATGGTAAAGTAGTTGATGTTTTTCCACATGTCACAGAAGTCTTCACTCCAACTAGAAATAAAAAGAAAATATTCGAATTAGCACCTGGACACAAAGATAAATAAATATTTTCAGATTAACTTATGGACACTACACATGGCCCGACTAGCACCAGTGATGCGTGGGCCACAAACAGCACATACACGTACGTGTGGTGATTACGAGGAGCGTGCAATAGATCCCAGAACTTCATTTCGCATTATACGTTCTACGAGATCTAACAACCCTGTCTCATTAGAAATCACTATCGAATTCTGCACATTTCCAATCGCTGTATCAGCTCCATAGAACCGAGCTGTAAACAAAATTCTCGAACCTTCTGCAGCAAGTGACGGACATAAGGTTCCACTTATAGTCAATCTTCGAATTTTGGTTTCCCGGTGTCCCGAGGGAGACTGTAACCGTAGGGATGTAAGTGGACTATATGAAGGATGTTTAAACACCAAAGAGCTTTAATTGTTACAGATCTAAATGCTGCAAACGTCTTCATCTATGAGATTAATGTGTAACTCACCTCACCTGAAAAATGTGAGAAAGGATTTCTAGCATTCTCAAAATAGCCGAAATGTTCACGCAACGTGGATCGCCGTGGATGATGACGAAAATTTTCCCCTTAATCGTTGCAGGCAGCTGCTAGTGAATTTTAGAACCGGATACTCACTCAGCAACAAGAAACTTCATGACGTAGCGTTATCAAATAATAACATAAATATTTTCAGTGTGATAGGTCTCGCTTTCGCTCGAAGCGCAACAGTACAAAAACAGGCAGTTATGGAATATATTCTACGCTCCCCGTAGAGCAGACTCACGGCTGAGCGTAAGCTCAGGTCCAGGTCAGCGATGATATCGTCAGGATCTTCCAGCCCCACGGAAAGCCTCACAAGGTTGTCTGTGATTCCCATCCGCACCCTCTCCTCAGCCGGATAGGTGGCGTGACTCAGCACCGACCTGAAACGGTCCACAGTGAATGCCACGACGTGGTGAGCCTAGATTACACAGATGTGACGCTGGAAACAAAATAACTTTACATCTGGGAGAAGGACGTCGTACTGCTTAACTACAGAAGACAAAGCAATGGCAGTGGGATTCCCCGGAGACCACACGTAGCACTAATAGTTGCATTGTCACGACTCTATTGCAAGGGCGTTGCTTCTTCGTTCTGATGCACCACATCACGGTAAGGGCAGCATTCAGACAGAGAAGGTTTATGTCGTGCTTTGTATTACTTCATATCTCTGTGTGCTACATTCAAACAACCTTCAGAGTTAATGGGTTTTTGGACTTTTCCCATCGTCCGGAATTCTAGGAAATATAAAACACGACGTTTCGGAAACTGGATTTGTTTCCGTCTTCAGGTGAGGAAGGAAGACACATACTCAGTTTGGCCCCTTAGAAAGAGTTAATCCGAAACGTCGTCTTTTCTATCTCCTAGAATTCCGGACGATGGAAAACGTCCAAAAACACAGTAATTCTCTGTGTTATCCACCATCGTCAGAACCCTTTAGAATCTAGTCAAACAACCTTCTTAGCACACATCTACTGCGTTGCCGTTGCCAGTTTTTTTAGGTGTGCCCTCGCCCTAAATCAGCATCCTTCGAGGGGGATAATATTAATATAATATAATAATATTATCAGACTGAGTTGAACACATGTTACTGAATGGAGCAGCGCAAATTGAGGAAACTGCTTTGCCGTAACATATGTTCAACTCAGGCTGATAAAATTCTCGGAAATTGCGTTTGCGTTGAGGCTGCCAGTTTTTTTTTTTTTGTGCCCTCGCCCTAAATCAGCATCCTTCGAGGGGGAAAATATTAAATGGGAAGCAAGGAACATTAAGATTAAAGTCCTGTAAACTTACTTCAGAGAAGGGCTTTAACATGCGACACTTGAGAGCTAGACCATATGGTTCAACAGAGAATGAAACTTATTGTGTGTCTGCTGGATAGTTCGTGCAAACCATATGAAGATGGGAAAGAGTTTCTCAAGATCCACCTTTGGGAACGACTAAATAATACGAAGTGTGTAACACTTACGGAATCTCCGCCAGGCTCTCGACACCGCCAAGACTACCGGCCATGTTGATAACGCGGAACTTCTTAAGCAGCGCGCTGGTTTCCTGTAGGCCGCCCTTGACGTAGAAGGAAATCATGCTCGTATATCCTGAGGTCTGGCGCTTAGCGAGTTCGTGCTGAGGATGGCTCGGGAGCCACGGACACAGAACCTTCGTAACCAAAGGGTGGGACTCCAGGAACTGCGCCACCTTGAGGCCACTCTTCATGTGGCGTCTGAGGCGGACTGGCAGCGTCTTGAGGCTACGATGAACCAGGTAGCAGTCGAACGGCGAGGAGCCAATACCGGCATCTAAGACGGGTGGAGCGTTACGCTATTAAGATTCTATGGGCTGTTAAAGTATGTGGTCAGTTTGAGGCTCCAGAGGAAAGACCACTGTTCCTGGTAAAGAGTATTTGCCAGAATAGGTATGGGTGTGGTTGCGCTGGCGTGGAGGACATCACTGTCCTGAAGCGTACGATCTTCTGGGTTGTTAAATTCGTGTAGTCCGGCAAAAGTGTACCAACTTTTCGGATGAGTATAGCGCCTTCATCATCAGGGTCAAACAGTAAGCCAAGCATGCTGCTTGCTTATGGCTTACCTTGAAGATGGAGATGATACGCTCCTCCGAAATGTCGGTTGGCGTCTACGGAAATACACTGCGTTACGACTCAGAAGGTCAGTGACTCACAGTCACCGCTGCGGCAACATCAAATCCGACTTACATACAATAGAGTCTTATACCAGGATTCGAACACGAAAAGGCATGGGACATCCTCACAAACATCCATATAATAATATTATTAAACTGAAGCGGGTGACGACGACGACCAGCAACCGTCGTGGTTACTGGCTACGCATGCTTCGTAATCAGGGTGTCTTGGATTCTATTTCTGGGCCGGATGTTGGCACTGTTACCTCGGTTTTTTGTTGGTTTCTTCAATCCTTCTAGGAAACTGCATGCAATAAAGTAAACCCCATCTTTCACATTCGGCCTCGCATTCGACTATATATATATATATATATATATATATAGAGAGAGAGAGAGAGAGAGAGAGAGAGAGAGACAGGATAGCGCAGGCGGTATAGCGAATGAGTGGTCGGAGTTCGAGTCCCGGTAGGGTCAAGAATTTTCTCTTCTCCACGTCGCCCAAGACCAGCTCTGGGACCCACTCGGTCTCCTATCCAATGGATACTGTTAGCCCTTCCCCGGAGATAGAGCGGCTGTGTAGGTTATAAATCGTCCTTAAATAGAGGTGCAAGCAAAGAAGGAACACGGACCGTATTTAAAAAAGATGGACGGTATTGGAGTTGCACTCAATGACTATGAACTGTAAATTTCATCATCGCAGTATTTGGTGCCACGGAGCTGCAAAATTCAATTAAACGAACAGGAGTTAGAGAACAGGGTTCAGTTAATTTTCTTCTTGTAGGATTTCGGGTTCTCACAGCTGTGGTTATGAACAATACTGTCTTGTGGGATATATGACTCTATAGTCCGTTGAAAGTCAACCGACGTTTCGGAGGAACATGCTAGCGTGAAATCAGGTGGCAAACAGAGTTCTGATGGCCATCTACTTTCACGCTACTTATTCTTCGACCCTGTAAATGGAGGCGATATGTTCCCGAAACGTCGGTTGCCTCTCAACTGACTGCACGCCGTTCTATCCCAGAAGATAGTACTCGTTTTTTATCTCTTGTTGTTGTGATTTTAAGATCGCTGAACCGAATCCGCTAGAATACAAAAAAGGATTACCACACGACAGTAACGCACCCTCAATACCAGATGCTATCTACAACACGTATTATGCCCTCCTTCACACAAGTAGGCGATGGGTGAATATGGACGGAACGGGAAAGTGACTATGCGCATGAGCACAGTGTTATTCCACCATACTGTCTCGCACACATAGATGCATTTATGGAGGACGTTATAGATAACTTCGTAATTAACGTGGCGACACTAATAGCAGTGGTGGTGGCAAAGAGCGTGGTATTGATACTGAAGGCGTGAAAACTCATTTTGTTACGCTAGAGTGCAGGTAAGTGGACTGATGTTTTCAGGCTAGCGTGTAGCGTCAACAAGTTCAGACCGCTCAATCTATACATATTTCTTAAGTCTCTTACTTACTCACAAAATTGCAGCGGCCTTCGTAGTCTAGGGGTAACGTTCCCACCTCATGACTCAAGGTACGCGGGTTCAAACCCGGCAGAGGTCGTGGAATTTTTAAGGGCGGAAAAATTCAGGGAACAAGTCCTCCGGGAGGGATTTTAAGCCGTGTGTTCAGTGTCGTAGATTTACGGCACGTAAAAGAACCTCATGTCTCTAGGAGACCTCTGAGCTAAATTACAGGCCCTTTCCAGCCGAAGTAGTCTCCAATGCCTCTGGTGGATGGGGGAAGCATCAAGGTACCGGGGGCCGACCTCGTTGGCTCTACGGGGGGCTGATGGCACGCGCCATTACCGGTAGGGTATGGTGACAGTAGAAATTAAAGGGGGACGCACAATGGACCAATAACTGGTCTCAGTCATGGGGAAACCCACCCCCTCTCATAATACATACATACAATACATACTCACAAAATTACTTGGTTTTTGGACTTTTTCCATCGTCCGGAATTCTAAGTAATAGAGGACACTCTAGGTAATAAAGGACATGACGTTTCGGAAACTGGATCTCTTTCCGTCTTCAGGTGAGAAAGGAAGACACCTTCTCAGTTGGGCCCCTTAGAAAGGGCTAATCTCAATCAGTGATTGATTCTAAGGGGCCCAACTCAGTAGGTGTCTTCCTTCCTCACTTGAAGACGGAAACAGATCCAGTCTCCGAAACGTCGTGTCCTCTATTACCTAGAATTCCAGACGATGAAAAATGTCCGAAAACCCAGTAATTCTGTGTCATCCATCAACGGCAGAACCCTTTAGAATCTACTCTTACTTACTGTTCTACGAGTCCCATCACATCTCCTGCGAAATAAAAAAGCTAATAGCACAAAAGAGAAGAGCACGATCAATCTGGCAGAGAACTCACACCCCAAATAGCAAAATAAGATACAACCAACTAAGTAACGAGCTAAAATCAAAACTAAGAGAAACAAGATAAATTCATTTACACAATATGTTTCAAACCTCTCCAGATATGACAACTCCATATGGTAACCGATAAAAAGCAGAAATAAACCAACAACATCCACACCTCCACTGAGAAAAAACACAAACCCTCCTGGACCCTGGGCAAAAAATGACCAAGAAAAAGCCGAACTGTTTGCAGAACATCTAACTGAAGTTTTCACACCACTAAATAATAACAGAGACGTAAACGTTGACCAGATTCTCAACTCACCCATCCAGGACCAAGAACACCCAAAACGTCTCAACCCGAAAGAAATAAGGGAAGAAATTCACAGGCTAAATACAAAAAAGACGCCAGGAGTTGATCTCATCACAGCCACACTACTAAAGGAACTTCCAAAAAAGGGAATACTCAAACTCATGTACATATTCAACTCCATCTTAAGGAATGGCTACTGGCCCAAACCATTAAAAATCGCACAAATAATAATGATTCCAAAGCCTGGGAAAAATCACACTGACGTAACAAGCTACCGTCCAATTAGCTTGTTACCCATAATATCGAAACTTCTTGAAAAGCTTATCCTCAATAGAATTAATCACGACGCCAATCCAAATGACTGGATCCCTAATCACCAATTTGGCTTTCGACAGGCACACTCCACAGTACAACAATGCCACCGAATAGCTAATATAATCAACCAAGCTATGGAAAACAAACAATACTGCACTGCTGCCTTCCTCGACGTAAGCCAGGCATTTGACAAAGTTTGGCATCCAGGCCTGCTTTATAAAATCAGAAGAATTCTACCGGCCAAATATTTCGCAATACTGCAGTCGTACCTAACAGACAGAGAATTCGAAATAAAAATCAACGCTGAAGTATCCAACCGAAGAAACATACAATCAGGAGTTCCTCAGGGCAGTATCTTGGGTCCACTCCTCTACGTGCTATACACCTCAGATATACCGACCACCGAATTAACAAAAATAGGTACGTTCGCAGACGACACAGCAATTTTCGCTACGTCAGAAGACCCGGTAATTGCTTCATCTAATTTACAAGAACATCTGAATCTAATGGAGAAATGGCTACACCGATGGAAAATCAAAGTGAATGAAAGCAAATCGGCGCATGTGACTTTTACTCTCAGGAAAGGAAACTGCCCCTCAGTACACCTAAATCATGTTAACATTCAACAGCAGGATGTAGTAAAATACTTAGGACTACACCTGGACTCAACATTAAACTGGAAACACCATATAGCGAAGAAGAGAAAACAAATCGAAATTAAGTTCAAGGAAATAAATTGGCTAATAGGTCGGAAATCTCACCTAACAATAGATAATAAACTACTGATCTACAAAACAATAATTAAACCCATATGGACATACGGCATTGAGCTCTGGGGATGCGCCAGCAAATCCAACATATCAAACATCCAGCGAAGTCAATCCAAAATACTTAGAGCCATAGTTGACGCACCTTGGTACGTGTCAAACCAAACTCTTCACACCGACCTCAAGATCCCATATGTAAGAACCGTAATCACAGACAGAATCCAAAAACATTATCAGAAACTGGAATCTCACCCCAACAACGCAATAGAAGCTCTCCTTCAACCTACACAATACAGAAGACTAAGACGAACTTGGCCAAACGATCTCCAGGAAAACTGAGGTGTAATCGATGGATTACAGCTCTTCAAGCCAACTTAGTACAATAGAATAATTATTGTACATGACAGCAAATTAGCTCATAGAATGTAAATTCAGATTGCTAATAAATTATTAAAAAAAAAACTTACTGTTCTGCAGATATCGCAGTCGAGGGTAGAGTGAGTCGTCGTTGAAGCACATGGCGCCCATGCAGACATCTGTGTGTCCGTTCAGATACTTGGTCACCGAGTACACCGAGATGTCAGCGCCCAGTTCAAGCGGCCTCTATAAACGATGAAACGTATAGAACCATTTTCCTAAGCGACGGTCTGTCTTATGTAATATTATGGTTTGTAGGTTATTTAAACATTGTCACGGTTACTGAACATAAAGTCGTCCTGGCCACAAAGCCGCCAGCAAAAAGTGCAATAAAACTCAGTTACCACGTCATCCAAGGGACCGGAGATAGTACGTCGTTATAAATGGGAGTCGTATTACCCGACGGAGAGATCAAAGCAGACTCCAAAGAGAAATCTATAGTATTATTTTGTACAGCTCAACACCTATTTCCGTATACCGTATTGAGGGGGTGGGTTTTCCCATGCACTTAGACCGATTAGTGGTCCATTGTGCGTTCCCCTTTAATTTCTACTGTCTCCATATCCTACCGGTACTGGTGCTTACTACCAGCCCCTGTCTGCCAGCAAGGTTCCAACCTCCTCTGGCAGTGGTATCTAATAGTTAGTCCCTTTCTGTCAGAGAGGTCCCCCCTTCCTCTGGCTGTGGTACCTAATACTTCCCCCATCTACCGGAGGAATTGGAAACTACTTGGGCGGGAAATGTTGCCTAATTTTGCTCAGAGGTCTCCTAGAGACATGAGGTTCTTTTACGTGCCGTAAATCTACGACACGGGACCCACGGCTTAAAGTCCCTCCAGCTCAACACCTAAGTCAAGGTCATGTTTGTTATAATACGGGTGATCAAGGTTTTAGCTCTGAAATTCTAAAATTGCACCTAAGTGTTTTTCATGAAGGTAAATATAAGGCAGTTCAAGGTAATCGTTAATTGAGACTGTAATTTATTCTGACGAAAGAAGGACGAGGATAGTCGTAAATAACATTAGCTTTAAAGACAAAAAATAAGAAAGGGGATCACCAAATTAGAAGATTAAGAACTACTCTTCTAGCCACAAATCCAATAAGAATGACAGTAAAATGTACCTAATAATATAGAACACAAACAAAATCCGTGGCCTGTAGTCCGCAAGCGAACTATACTGACCGAGCGACCGCCGCTTGTCGGCGAAGTTAGTGCCAAATTTAGCGGATAGAGTTCATTGCGTGGTCAGCGCAATGGATTCCCACGGCCGTTAATCTCGGTTTACTAGACCGGAGCCGCTATTTCCTTGAAATAGCTCCTCAATTATCTCTAATAATATAGGCGATGAAAATGTTATTCCCACGCCATACCCACAGGGTGAAGGAGTACCTGTCTCCACATTCAAGTTACCTGAAAGTAGGGAGTGAGGAATGTATTGTCCACAGCAAACAAAATGTCTTTCCTCCTGTGCACGATTTCTGCAATCTTGGCAATGTCGCACAGACTCAACAGAGGGTTGGATGGAGTTTCCAGGAACACGAGGCGCGTGTTGTCCTGCAACGCACGTTCCACGTTCTTCGGATCCGTGGCATCTACGTATGTGGTGCTGATGCCCACTCTTCCGGCTATCTGTAAGCATCACGAGTTAGTACAGAGAACTAGCGTATAGTGATTGAATGGTAGTGTCATAACATCTGCTTGCAAGGCCTGATGAAAAGTGTAGCACCAGCCAGTATTACTGCTTATTGCTTGTACGAATAATGGGGATGGACCAATCACCAAAATGGCTGGCTGCATGGCGATGGTTCGGTTTCCGGCACTCAGCACCAATGCGCCCAGACCGTATCCGACATGTATCGAGGGTTCTCTTCGTAGAATGAAAGCAGTCGGAGAACGAACCTGCCCGCTGTCTTCCTTTATTTTAATGCGTTCGTGAGGCGGGGCTTGAGCACTTGAATAGCTGCACTTGTCACAAACTTTTAGACCTTATTTGTCCTTGTACTGCTTATTGTTTTAGTCGCTTTCGTACACATTGGAATTCGGAGTGACTTCCGAAATCGGTTCTTGTTTATTTTTTTCTTTCGCTCGTCGACATATATCACTGCCGATAAAATTCATTATTCATTCATTAGAATATGTAGTATATAGTATTTCATATGGGTGTGATCTATTCCAGTGATTTGTTAATTATGTGCAATTGCATGAACGTGTAAACAAATAAGTAAATAAGTAGGATTTTTAATCATATAGATGACAGCTGAGTTCGACATGTCGTGCGGGTTGCCACATAACCTTAATTATTGGGTTTTCGGACTTTATCCATCGTCCTGGTTTTTTAAGATAACTAAGAAAGTGTTTTTCTTAGTTATCTTAAAAAACCAGGACGATGGATAAAGTCCGAAAACTCAATATCTCTGTGTGTTATAATCCTATAGTAAAACCTTAATTAGGTTTACGGCAATTTCCCTGGGAGCTTCTTGTACTGTGCAGTGACTGGACGGAGTTTCAGTAACAGCCTACTACTTTCGGAAGCAAATACTTCATCCCTGGGCAAAACTTTTCCATTTAGCAGTCATTTGAGCTGCAGTTTGGCTTCGCTTCGGAAACAGTTCTTTTCGAATTTGCAATTCAGTTGAAGATGTTTTTGACAACTTGTGGTTACAAACACGAAATCTTGAGTATGACATTATGAAATGAAAAGTTTGGTTGGGGAAGCCTAAGGGCGAGTCACTTTTAACAGTTATAAACCCAAAATTTGTTTTTTTTTTTACCTTCCGCTTGGTGCAGGATCATAAACATAAAAGACAGGACATTCCGCTGCTTTGTCGAGTCCAGGAGAAAACTTAAACAGTGTACAAAGTGAGGTTAAAACCAAGAGGTTCGAGTTAATGGTTTTGTAATCCCTCGAAGGGTAATGGGAATATTATGCAGCTTTTCGTAATACTTTAGGAAATAATAGAAAATCTCACAAGGTTAATCCTGTATTTAAGCATCCTGTTGCATTACTATATCTAAACCGACTTATTTACTAAACAGTCCGTCAACAATGCAACAAATTGTATCTTCTTTCTTTCATTTTCACTTTCGATACAAGTTTGGGCCCTAAATGGCCATCTTCAGGTGTCTTACTATGCCAAAACTGTTGCACTGCACTAATATTATCCATTAATCGCATATGCAACTGCACTCTTCTCACAAGGTTAGCTTTACTACCTAATGCTTGAATTGTAATCAGTAAGATATACAAGAAGCACTTCTTGGATTCTACGGGGAGAAGAGGGGCAGATGCGAGGTAATAAATGAATAATAGCTGGCACACAACGTCCCCTAGCAGTTACTAAGAGTACCACATAAATTCTATGCGTTTATTTTTTTTTTCCCTTGGCACTACAGCCCCAGCTGGCCTAGACATACCTCCATGAACTCCGTTCACTTCGGTTTTTCTAGATCTTACACATTCGGTAGGACTCCTTGGGCGGGTGATTAGCTCGTCGCAAGGCCTCTACCTGTACACAAACACAGAAAATCGCACGCACACAAACTAAACATCCATGCCCTGAGTGGGATTCGAACCCATGATCCCGGTTTCCAAGCGAACGAAGACAGTACATGCCTTAGACCGCTCGGATACCGTGACCGGCATGCGTTTATTAGTGCTGCATATTAACTACACAATGCAGGCAAGGAGACACGGGCCGGAAAATGTTTGCCTGCCGAAGTAATTTCAAATTTCTAACCTTACCCGGCGTTGCTGTTTGGACTGCGCAAAACTGGGCTTCCAACCATGATAAATGAAAACTGAACACATCAAATATTCCTCGGCTTTCCTAAGCCAGTTTCTGGCTGTCTGAAAACAGACTCAGAATCGAAAGATTTTAAACCGATATCGTATTGAGCCCAATCTGAATATTGAGAACATCAGTGGGAAGGGAAAGCTGACGCGCGCTCAGCAGACAGTGATGGCCTCTCCACCGGTGTTGTCCGCATTGTCCATATTGCACAGAGGGCTGTAATGTGGCACCCGAATGCAGAAGCAATGCTTTACTGGATCTCAGCTCCCAATTTAAACAATATATATATATTTTTAGAGCTGTAGTTTGTGTTGTACTTATTTGTAAACCATGAATTTTTAGCGGCGGCACTTTCAATCTTTAATGAAGTGTGGAATAATTTTCTGGGGTAATTCATCTGACAGTAAAAAGATATCTACATTGTAAATGAAAATTGTTAGAATCATGATGGGTGTCAAAGCCCGTAATTCCTGTAGAGATCTATTTAAGAGACTACAGATTTTAACATTTCTTTGCGAATATACATATTCATTAATAAACTTAATTTTGAAATAACGAAAAACATTTTTAGACGAATGCGGATGCACCCGGTTTTAACACAAGACACAAACACTGTCTTCATAAACCAACTGCCAACCTCTCATGCTTTCAGAAAAGCGCATATTATGCTGGGATCAACATTTTTAATAACCTGCCACTTGATCTCAAAGGTCTTATGAATGAGAAGGCACGATTTAAAATAGCACTGAAACGATACTTAAATACACACACTCATTCTACTCTGTTGATGAATGCCTATTGTCTAGAAATTACTTATATGTCTTTAAATAGCCTTGTGTGTAGTCACTGTGTATTCTTGGTTTCTCTTGTGTGAGAACTCCATTGGGACTGTACGTATATTTTGTATTTATATGACATATTCCAAGTAAGTAAGGCTGACCTTAAGCGGCCTCCGTAGTCTAGCGGTAACGTTCCCACTTCATGGCTCGTGGTACGCGGGTTCAAACCCGGCGGAGGTCGTGGAATTTTTAAGGGCGGAAAAATTCATGGAACAAGTCCTCCGGGAGGGACTTTAAGCCATGGGTCCCGTGTCGTAGCTTTACGGCACGTAAAAGTACCTCATATCTCCTAAGGAGGTCACTGAGCCAAAGTCAAGGACATTTCCCGCCAAACAGTAGTCTCTAACACCTCTGATAGATGGGGGAAGCATAGATACCGCCATCTGTGAGCCAACTGTCTAGAGAAAATGTGGGAGCCTCGACGTCTCAGAACCCTATGGGCCGACACGGCCAGTTACAGGGATATATTTATTAGTAGGTTTCACGAAAAGACGCACCCTGTCAAAGTAGCGGTATGTACCCCCGAAAATGATCTCAGACGACACGATGTGCTCTCCGGTGTTCAACAGCTGCACAACGGCGCTGATGGCGCTGGTGCCCGAGGAGAAGCAGAGGCCGTATTTGGCGTCCTCCAGCAAGGCAAAGCCCTTCTCAAGTATCTGCCGCGAAGGATTATTTTGGCGCACGTACAGGAACCCCTGTAACACAGTAAAGTGGTAGTAACTGCGTACACACATCAGCCAATAATTCTTATCCTAAGCCAGACGGATCCAATTCACAAACACGAATCAATTCTTCAGACGTTCATTCTAATATCATCTTATCTTAATGCCGGATGCCTAAGTGGTTGCTTTTTAAAAAGTTCTCCTTCACGATTTTGCATACACACACACACACACACAAAACGAATGTCATCCGGAAAGTAAAAATACAAAGTCCAGAAAATATTTCTAAAGCATTTGTTTTCTCTTTTGGAGGGATTCACTTGTAGCACTTTTACAAACACCTTTATTTACTTTTCAACATAGCGGCCTCCGTAGTCTAGAGGTAACGTTCCCACCCCATGACTCGGTGTACGCGGGTTCAAACCCGGCGGAGGTCGTGGAATTTTTAAAGGCGGAAAAATTTAGGGAACAAGTCCTCCGGGAGGGACTTTAAGCCGTGGGTCCCGTGTCGTAGCTTTACGGCACGTAAAAGAACCTCATATTTCCAAAGGAGGTCACTGAGCCAAATTCAAGGTCATTTCCCGCCCAACAGTAGTCTCTAACGCCTCTGATAGATGGGGGAAGCATTATAGATACCGCCAAGCCAGTAGAGGCCGAACTCGCTGGCTCGGTCGGGACTGAAGGTACGCACCAATATCGGTAGGGTATAGAGACTGGTAGAATATCATAGAGGGAAGCACAATGGACCAATACTGGTCTAAGTGCAAGGGGAAACCCACCCTCTCCAATAACTAACTAACTATCTAACTACTTTTCAACATAGTCACTATGGATCGCAATGCACTTAGAGAGCCTGGGATTGTTTTCTTTATTTCAGCGTCGTAGAAACCTTCCGTCTGCTCTCTTAGATACAGAAAACAATTCTTGACACTTCTGGACATTGTTGGTGAAGTTCATCGATGGTTAAACGTCTGTCAGCACGAATGTTTTCATCAGTTTTTTTAATGATTTCATTAGTGACAATGGCTGGCCTTCCACTTCTTATTTCATCATTAACGTCACTTCTTCCCGCTTCAAATTCAGGTCACAGTTTTGCCACGTTCTGCCTGTTCATGACATCTTCGCCGTAAACAGAAACAAGTTGGCGATGAATTTCAGCAGCAGTTTCTCCTTTCACGTGAAGAAATCGAATTACTGCACGAACCTCACATTTTGTGGGATTTTGAAATGACACGGACATTTTAAACACACACTGCGATTATAACGTTGCCGTGACTGTGGCCGTCGAACTCAGCCCTGTCATGCGGTTCATGTCTCACACGACAGCACTGCCACTTCTGAAGAAAAAAATATCCCTTTCATATTTACTGGATCAGTATCTTTACTTTCCGGATATTCCTCTACATTTTTCCGGCTTAGTTAAATACCTGAATTGAGGATTATAAATTGAAAAATTCCCTTAATGCATATATCGTAGTTCTGTATGGACTTTGTGGTATGGCAGGAGAATATCTCCCCCTGAAGATGTTCCTTACCGCTCGCCTACGCTCATGGCATTGATGTAGCATCATTGGGCTAAAAGAAGCCTTTCATAATTCCCCTGTAAACAGAAGTGTTACGAATAATTTCCCTAGACGAGTACCTCCTTCATCTGATAGCTCTTTGACCCGAATAACAACGACATTAATACGAATCTGAAGACAGTATTCTTTCCTCCGTCATGTGAGATTGGTAAGAAAACTGACCCTGTGTGAAGATGGGTCGTCCTGCTCGAAGGTAGTGGACAGACCAATGGGAGGCACCAGGCTGTAGTCGTTAGACACTTCCGGTTTGTATCCTAACTTGACTGCCTTGGTGTCGAACCCCAACTTCCGCCACTCTTCAGACATTTTCTCAGCTGAAACAAACAGGCTATGTCTTACAAAACTTTACGGATTAGTCTTCTTTACAAGCTAAAAGTCTCTTAACTGGTCAAGGAAATCCTCGATTTGTATGGAAACTAAACGTTCATTAGCGTGTTCACGAAAGATCGCCAATGGTTCCTCTCCTGACTACTACGAGTACATCGCTGTTGGCCCTCACCAGCACAGTGATCCTTGGTTTTGAGTCCCACGGGACTCATGATCATATTTTACTATCTGACGGCTCCCTTCAGACCACCCACCTCCCGCCTTCCATTTAGCTGTCGGGTCGGATCTCCCATCTTGAGCATGTATTTCGGTTGTTTCATAAAGACCTGTAGAGACCTGACTAATTTCAAGTATTTCTATCCCTGAACATAATTTGACGTTCACCCAATACTGTTAAAAGACAAGCTTAAATAAAACATGAAATTCAGAACTCATGAACTCTGCTTTCCTACTGTACGCAGTTCCACTCCTACAAATCTTGTGTTGTTCATTTCGTATATTTTGCAACGTCATTTAATAATCCAACAAAGAAAATTATATTTAGCTGCTGGGTTGGAATACTAAGCTTGTGACTATCGAATTGTGTGTGTGTTACATGCAGAGTAATGAGTACATTGTCGGTATTATTATGTTTGTTAAATAAAAAATATTGCGATAGGCTCGACAATAAGATCGGATTGTGAAAACATTGTGAATGTGGCATAGGTCACATTTTGGGAAGTCATCACTTAGGGCTATAGAGTCTGCTAAAATTGAAATACGTTAAAAGGTATATTGTAGAAAGAAATTTCAAGATAAATTATGAAGATAGTATTAAAACAAATCTTTTTTTAATGCTAGTGGGGTGGAACTAAGTCCATTGTACTGCGGCCACTTCTGGCCTATTGTACCAGCTCCAGATGATAGGTGAGGGTGGGTGACTGTGGAGCAATTGATGGAATGAAGATTGGCAGAGGAAACCGAAGTACTCGGAGAAAACCTGCCCCAGCGCCACTTTGTCAACCATAAATCCCACTTGACCAGAACCTGGATCGAACCCGGGCCGCCGAGGTGGGAAGCCAGCGACTAACCGCTTGAGCTATCGCGCGGCCCCCAAAACAGATCTTAATGTGCTTCTATCGAGAACGTTGGTTCAATCGGGATAACAATAATTTCCCCCAGTCTCTCCAGAAAATTCCGGGATAAAACCTCAAATTAGGCCACGTGTGCTTCCTTCCACATAATTTCTAAGGAACTATTCTTTAATCATCTCGTCATTCGATGTCATACGAATGCTCGAAGCTACTAGCAGTGTCGATAAATAAACCGTAGAAGGTAAAGTTGTCCCTGTGCTTAACTAATTAAGCATTACGCCATGAAATGTATGGGGGAGTTGATGTATGGTTCCACATTTTTTTGACCTCGGCACTAGCTCGAGGTGAGTGGTCATTTCCACTCCCCGGCCACTTTACAAGCAGGGAAATAACCGGTACCATTGGATAGGAGATTAGGTGAACCCCAGAGCCGGTGTGGACGACATGGAGAAGAGAGAATTTTTTATTCTACCAGGACTCCAACTCAGACCTCTCGATCGTCCAGTCCGTAGCCTGTCTCAGTACCGACCAAGCTAAATAAATAAATTAATATGTATATTATTAATATCGCTCAGGATAGGTTTTAGATATGTGCTTTGGCCTACGGGGTGTTACACAAAGGTCTTGTGTAAAGGGAGTTTAGGACTTTTAAGGTCAGTGTCCAGAAATGCATAAAAGCATATGCAAAAGATGCCTTTCTTCTGACAAAATTTAGTTAGAAGATGAGCATTTTTTCTTGAAGAGACTAACTGAATATGGCCATAAAGCACAGTCCTCACGTTGATTATAGAAGTTGTCGTCTTTATGAAACGCGAACTTTCACATACGTATTCACAAGAGCAAGCCATTCGTTCTAAAATCTTATTTTTTTAGGGTAACGTTAATCTGATCTCTCCTTATGCGCCTAAGTCTCTCAGTGTAGTTCATCCCTTCATTCTTTTCCAAAGGAATTTCCCATTTCTTCCACGCAATAAATGTTCTTCCCTTGTCATTTCCGTAGATCTGATTATTCTTATAAAATTTGGTGAAGAAGTAAAGTTATGAAGCTTTTCATTATGCAAATTTCTTAAATTCCTTCTTCAATTTCTCTATCTTGTTGTGTGTTCGTATTAGCAGGGAATTAAAGTAGCCATCAACACAACATTTATATACATAGGTTACTTCAACATAGAGTGTGTATTGTTTCCTCTCATTGAAGTCAAAACATTTGCCTCAGTATTAAACTAAACTCCGTGGCTTGAGTCCGCAAGCGAACTATACCGACCGAGCGACCGCCGCTTTTCGGCGAAGTTAGTGCCAAATTTAGCGGGTAGAGGGTGTCGCGTGGTCAGCGCAACGAATCCCCACGATAGTTAATTTCTTTTTTCTAGACCGGAGCCGTTATTTAGTTTCAAGTAGCTTTTCAATTATAATCAAGAGGCTGAGTGGACCCCGTTCCACACCCATTACTTCTCAGAAAAACTGGTAACGGCGGGAATCGAACCCGGGATCTCTGGATCTGTAGCCAGGAACTCTGACCACTAGACCACAGAGGCTGCCCAAATAAACCACCGCGGACAGCTAAGCACATGTCGCTGAAGGACTCTTATGGTTGATTTGTGTATGTGATACAATGAGGTTCCTTTTAACTGTTTTAGAGAGAAATATCTTAAATAAGATCCTGTATCCTCTAATGTGCATAAGCTTTGGATATGCCTACAAGGTAGATTTCTCTGACCTAAGCCCTACCTTGCCGGTCACGGTAGCCGAGCGGTCTAAGGCATGCACTGTCTTCGCTCGCTCGGAAGCCGGGATCGTGGGTTCGAATCCCACTCAGGGCATGGATGTTTGTGTGCGTTTTTCTGTGTTTGTCTACAGATAGAGGCCTTGCGACGAGCTGATCAGCCGCCCAAGGAGTTTTACCGTATGTGTAAGATCTAGAAAACCGAAGTGAACGGAGTTCATGGAGGTAGGCCTAGGCCCACTGGGGCTGTAGTGCCAAGAAAAAGAAAAAGCCCTACCTTGCTTATTGCTGGTTGCAGAGTCGTTCTTATGTGTCACTGCTTGTGTTTGCAGCAGGATGATAACTGCTTCATTATCTGTTCCTCAGTCTGTAGATGTTACTGTAAATGACCTTGAATCGTCTACCGCCATAATAAAAATCATACAAGTCACATATTAGAATTATATAATAAACATCGAAAGCCCGATTCAGGGTCAGGAACTATAAACGAGTTCAAATTCGTCAAAAGAGCTTCATGCGTTCTTTGCTTCCAGTGCGCGAGACTTATGTAACGGTCTTGCTCATTCGCCGAGCTGCATGTTTTACTCAGAAACTATTTGGCGAAATTTGATTGGAATTCGCATAATATGTTGTTTAGCGTATTTGAGTTCCATTGGTCCATTATGTATATAACGTCACAGGAAGTTCAAAACGAAATTTTATCTGATTCTTTTAAAAAGTCTCATAAATTGTACAGAATATACTGCCCATTAAGGTTCAGAACTTTCCTTCACAACTTTTCTTCATATGTCGAAAACAACCCGCCCACTGGTGCAAGGTTATGGGTGGTGGCTTGATGATGAATTGTGTTAGTAGAAAGTCTGAGTTTGATTTATGGCGGAAAGTTCAATTACTTCTGCTCAGGTACGACCAAGAATTAATGAAAGCGGTTTGCTGGGCTCCAGCAGGGATTCCTGAATGGAATAACCCTACAGATATTTGGGAACTATTTCTCCTTATCAGTTGGGTTTGATGTGACTTAGCTGAGGGAGATTAGTGAGTCGTCTCAGATCGTGATTCGGTGATCAGAGTTGCTCAAGCACGCTGAGTCATGTACTTCTTCACAACAGGTTAGAGTACGGATATTTGTCCATACTGTTTCATTCATTTACTCAGGTTCAACATTTAGCATTATGTAGAAAAATACCTCCTGAGACCCTGAGAGCTATGCCGGCGGTAGCTAGCTACTGGTAGGGTCACCCATGCCGGACAGGTCAAGGGGTAGGAGCCAGACGAAGATAGATAACTTGGTCCTCCAGGCTGGGGGTTGTGCGTGAGGCTAACAACCTCACACCGTAAAAACTAAATTGTTTAGAAACCAGTAAATCAGCCTTGGATGGATGGATGGAGGATAGAGAAAAATGGAGGCAGATTGTTCAGGAGGCGAAAGCTTACCCCGAACTGTAGCGCCGAGGGGAAGAAAGGAACAATAATAACTAATAATTTACGCTTTCTATATTAATGACCTCAGATGTGTCTACACATTTAGTTTGTTTATATTTCCAAATAATTGGCTTCTGCAGCTCTGATCAGAAAAAATATGCACTGATTGTATAAATTTTTATATGGAAATGATTTAGGATTTTACCCAAACGGCAATAGGGTATATCCGGCCTCGATAAACATATTACAGAGTCTCATCAAAGAGTCTTCACCCCCATCACAAAAATCTCTGTTCATTTTTTTCAAGTTTCTGAATGGAAGACGCCCCTTTTCCGATTCTAATTGACTATTTTTGAAAGATTTGAAATGTTATTAAAATCTGTATCCTCCAATTAAGAAGGAAGAGCAAATAATTCTAGTGTCAAAATTCCTAATTGAAAGTCCTTGCCTTGCAGATTGGGGGGAGGGGGGAAATTGCTAGCATCTGCTTAGGAAACTTCCACTGAATAAATTATATTCTCGGCTAACTTCAGATAATGATATTCTATGAGGAGCCGACATGGCACCAAGAGTCTGCTCTTTTCCATTTAATTGGGACCTGTTTTTCTGTCCTACAACTTACTGCAAGACTTCGCATAAGGCTCCTCTTTAAATAAAGAATGGGACGAGCTCCCTCACTACTCCAACTGATTGCTATCATAACGTAATTTATTTAAAAGAATCTTACCACTTAATTAAGCCATACCCTAATTTAAGCCGCTACAAAAATTTCAACAAAAGAAAGGCTAAATATTTTGTGACTCGTGACGCTACATATCTGTACGTGAAATAAATGAACATCGTGGCCAGCGAGGTATGCAATAATACAAAGAACGCATTCCATGTAGCCAAATTATTGCATTTCTGGCCCTGAGGGGTATGCTAAGTATGTGGTGGCATCAGGCAAGCTTAACAGAAATATAAATTTGTGATTATTGTGGTGTAATTAATTCATTATCTCAGAGAACATGCGGCAAATGTTTTTGCGTTTAATTCAACAGTGCCCCACTTCCACACAATTCTAGTCAGAATTTAGCTTATCTACCCTCTCCGAGATAGCGTAGTCAGTATAGTGACTAGCTATTAGATGGAAGACCGAGGGGTCCGAGTTCAAGTCCCGGTAGGGTCAAGAATTTTCTTTTCTCCAAGTCGTTCAGACTGGCTCTGGCCTCCACCCAGTCTCCTATCCATTGGTTACCGGGGGCTCTTTCTCCAGGGGTAAAGCGGCCGAGACTTGAATCTGACCACTCACCTCTAGCTAGTGCCGAGGTCAAGAAAATATGGATCAATACATCCACTCCCCCATGCACCTTCATGGTGTAGTGCTTAATTAGTTAAGCACAGGGACAACTTTACCTTTACCCCTTCCCTCCTTTTCCCAACTCGTACAGGCGGAGAAATAATAAGCAGACAGTGTACGTCCATGTGTACTCCAGATTAGAGTACACGTCCCAACGACTGCAGACCCGTGTCTGATCCAAAGTGGTGTTTTGCTGTATAGATTAACAAACTAACAAAGTTAAGATTATTGTAACGTGTTTACGTTACTGAAGACGCCGTAGAGATGGTTAATTGGTTTATTTAACAATCTGCAAATAACGGCTACAATTACTTATTACACAGTTGCGGGGTTTCACACTTTATAACCCTAATCGCATTAATCTGTCGACACTGTTGCGGGGTTTCACGACTTATAACCCTATGCGCAAATCAGTTCACTCTGTCTTCAGTAGTCTACACGTTGACAGTAGGGGAGCTTTGTATCACTGTATCACACGCTCCCAATTACACAATCGCACTCACGTCCGGATCTTCTTTCCGCGACGGCTGCTATACTCCAACTTGTAGTCGGCTGGCTGTTACTTTATAACTCGGCGGCTGTCACCGTACAACTGTATTCGGCGGCTGCTACAGTAGAACTCTTGGTACCCACATTAGAACTCACTAGTCCAACTCAGTACAACTCTGCGGTAGCCACACTAGAACTCGAACTCGAACTCGAACTCGAACTCGAACTCGAACTGCTCGATACGCACTGTGCATCCACTTATATAGCTGCAGTGCTTGCCTGTGGCGTAATGAGTGCCACGTCACAGTAGGACGTTGATTACGGTTACGTTAGCGTTGCGCGTTACGTCACCGCGNGAGAAATGAAGAAGTGTTAATTAGAGTCAGTGAGCAGAGGAATATCCTACATGAAATAATAAAATGGAAGGCTAATTGGATTGGTCATGTTTTACGCAGAAACTGCCGTCTAAAAGAATTTATTGAAGGAAAGATAGAGGGGCGGATAGAAGTGACAAGAAGACGAGGAAGAAGACGTAAGAAGATTCTGGATGACCTTGGGGAGAGAAGAGGATACTGTCATTTGAAGGAGAAAGCTCTAGATCGCATTAAGTGGAGGAATTGTTTTGGAAGAGACTGTGGACCTGTCGTCTGACAGATTACTGACGATGATGATGATGATGATGATGATGATAGTAACGAGAAACATATTTTTGGGTTTCTCCCGTATTCTAATAGCAGAAGATGTTTTATGGTTTCTCCCGTATCCAAACAGCAGAAGATGTTTTGTGGTTTCTCCCTTATCCGAACAGCAGAAGATGTGGTTTCTCCCTTATCCGAACAGCAGAAGATATTTTGGGGTTTCTCCCTTATCCGAACAGCAGAAGATATTTTGGGGTTTCCCCCTTTTCAGAACAGCAGAAGATATTTTGTGGTTTCTCCCTTACCCGAACAGCAGAAGAAATTTTGGGGTTTCTCCCTTATCAGAACAGCAGAAAATATTTGGGGTTTCTCCCGTATCCGAACAGCAGGAGGAGACAATTTGAGGGTCCCCCCCCCCTTATCCTGTCAATAAGAGAAGGTAATATTGTTTTTCCACAATATCCTAGCAACGATCCTATTGCTCTCTTGCCCCAAACGCGCCTCTTAGAGAGAAAAATAATGGGGGGAAATTATCTTGCACTCGAACCCATGCACGTTTTCAACTCTCTAAAATTTACCCATGGAAGTCCTCTTCCATGCTGCAAAATCTGTTATTAATATATGTAAAGATGTGGAAATGCATAAACATGTTTTCGTCTTGTTTTTTAATGCATGTAAGGTATAAGAGATATTTCAGTCAATGGTAACTTTGAAGACAATTTTTATACACAATATTAATGCCGTTTAAGTCCCATTCATAGTATTTCCATGCATCGTGTTGGTTGATTTTGTATCATCACTCGACATCGCAAGAAGGCCTTCACTCGGCTGTGGAGAATAATCTTGATGCCCGCACGTGTCGACCCGAAGGTCATGCGGGAAGTGATCATGTCCAAGGTGGCAAGCAGAAATCGATTATGCCAGATATCGCTGCCCGCTCATGGCGACAGACTCACATTATGTTATTAATAGCAGCTAGCAGCAGCTTTTATGTAGGAAACATTAACAAGTTTAAGCCTCTTTGTCTTTATTTAATATTGTTATGTAAACCCGTTAGTAGGCTACGGACCGTATACAGTAACAGAGGAATAGTGTTTTTGCGCGGTCCGTGCCGATGATTGCTCACGCAACAGTGGATACAACAACCAGGGAACAATGTCTTCTACGCTGTCCATGCCGAGATGTTATAAGCAGGACAATTAATAAGAGTTAGTAGGGTGGAGTGAGTTGGTTAGTGAGTGAGTTAGTTCGAGAACTGCTGTGGTTCAGTCCTTGAGAGCTGTTGCTGTTAGAAACTGGTAGCTGAGGCACGGGGACAGTTCGGGAGTCCAGAGGAAGGGGAACATCCGCCGTTGGAAGCCATTACCAGAAGACTGGTGAAGACAAAACAGGCTGAGAAGACTTAAGTGTGTGCTGTACTGAATTGCAATGTGTGAATTAGCAAAGCGCTACAGTTATTTGAAGTTACGAGCTGTGTGCATAAGAGTTCAATAAACTCAATTAACAATCAAAACTTCGTCTATGTTCACACTCATACACGCGACAATATCAAAACGGAAACTTACACGATAAAATGATCACTTTGAGCATTACGGATAGAGTAACCAAGTTGTGACCATAAGCGATATTTGTAACCGATTACATTTAATTTTCATGGAGCACAGAGGCTTGGGCGTACATTAAGTAATAGGAAATATCTGAAAGATCAAATGTCCGTAAGTGAATCACGCGCACAATCAGGACATAATATTTAAATTCCAGTATAATAAGGTCTGTCTTAGGAGGAATATAACAGTTACGCTGAGTGGAGAACTAAAATTTGGAGCAGAATGTGTGGATCGCTTGAATATGACAAATAAATTCATAAATGTGTAGTGAATAGCAAGAAAAAACATAAGTCATTATCTACGGAGTGTCAGGAACATGGTAAATATAGGTTGTAAGACTGTGCCTGTGACCTTATGATTTCTATAGGCAGGTTTCGAAAAGTGTTTACGATGGACCAACCTTGAATTAATCCGTTCCATATTTTACTTATACTGAATATTTCTTTTAAATATTGTAACGTTTGAGTCAATTTATATATTCGAAACGCTTATTTCTTTGTTTCTTTATTATATCTATATTATCACCCAGTAGATTCATATCATCGGCGTAGACCAACAGCTAATGTGTCCCGTTTAATTTCAGTCCCACTAGGGTTTCCTGGACATTCCTAATGGCGTAATGTAATGCAAAGTTGAAAAGAAGTGGCGATAAAGCATGTCCTTGTTTTAGACCATTCTGGATAGGAAATTTATCAGACAAATATTGACCTATACAGACTTTACTATAAGTTTCGTTTAAACACATTTAAATCAGCCTAACTAGTTTCATGGGCACCCCAAACTCTATCAGAATATTGTACAATACTTCCCTCCTAACTGAATCATAGGCTTTCTTCAAGTCTACAAATAGCTGATGTACTGTATTTTTGCCTGTGGTTTTGTATGGGAGCGAAACTTGGCCTCTGACATTAAGGGAGGAACATAGACTGAGGGTGTTTGAGAACAGGGTGTTGAGAATATTTGGACCGAAGAGAGATGAAGTGACGGGAGGTTGGAGAAAACTGCATAATGAGGAGCTTCATAACTTGTACTCTTCTCCAAGTACTCCTATAATTAGAATGATCAAGTCAAAGAGAATGAAGTGGGCAGGGCGTGTAGCACGAATGGGACAGAAGAGAACTGCATATAGGACATTGGTGGGAAAGCCAGAAGGAAACAGACCACTGGGAACCCCAAGGCGTAGATGGATGGACAGTGTTAAAATGGATCTTAGAGAGACAGGCTGGGATGGTATGGATTGGATTGGTCTGGGTCAGAATAGAGACCAGTGGAGGGCTCTTGTGAACACGGTAATGGACCTCTAGGTTTCATAAAATGCTGGAAGTTCTTGAGTAGCTGCACAATTGGCGTGTTCTCAAGAAGGGCTCACCTCCATGAGTAAGTAAGTAAGTATTTGTTTGTTAGTTTTGTTTCCGCCCTGCATACGCATTCATTCCTTTTATAACAAAACAAAACTAGAAATAGAAAATTTGAAGCTCCGCATCAGGCTTTAAGATTTCTGCATTTGCATGCTACAGTACATGTAGCATGTACAGTGCTAGTACTTAGAGCTGACAGTCCAGGAAAAGCTGCGCAGTGGATGGGTAGGTCCTTTCGTGAAAGTTGAGGGGTGTTGTGATTAGTCATTCGTCTCCATTCAGTGCGAGCAGACGTCCCAAGAGCCTTCTTCATTGTACAGTCAAGTTAAAAAGGTTTTGACTCTTGGAGTCTTATTTGAGTGTATTATTCTCTAATTACTGTATTAATATTGTGACGCGTTACCTTACGTCCATCGCCGCGAAACAGATACAATGGAAATTGTTGAGTTCCAACAGCGACAAATCGCATACAAACAGACCGTTGCGAAGGAGTGTTCCCGAACACGTGAGTTTGGAATAGGCACTTCCATGGTGACGCAAAGAACAGGGAGCCGTTGCGTAGACAATGCAGAAGCAACGAACGCGTCTCCCCAGAAATGGATGGATGACATCATTAAACTGGCAGACCAAAAATTGGCTTCCATAACTGCAGAAGAATGGCAACGTAAGTGCCAACATGTAAGGAACATTGAGCAATAATTAATTGCACGGGAAGGCCTTTTGAATGCAGGACGGGAGTTCGTCTTCCATGTTGGCGGTGATAGTGATGACAGTTCTGATGGTAGCTCCGATTCATCTGGTTGTGACGAGGAAGGACAGACATGTGGAGATGATATCTATGCGGACATTGCCGGTGTTGCCCCTTTAGAATAGACCCGTGTAATATGTAAATAAACTCTTCATGTATATAACAGTGAAAAGTGTATAATAGTGTATAGTGCATAATAGTCTGGGATTCGGCACTTAAAACTTAACATCGGATGTGTGAACATCAACGAGAATAAACCATCACTATGCAACACAATGAGGTAAGAAGTCATTTCCTTTTGAGAACGCATGTACTGCATTCCCCGCCACACTTGTCGGCATGCTGGTGCTCCCCCCACCACTACCAATACTTCTCCTACTCCGCGTCGGAGGACTGTCAGCTCTAAGTACTAGAGCTGTACTTCCCCTGTTTGAGTTCTAAGTATCATCCCCAATATTCCATCGCTTGGGACGGCATTTATGCTTGTGCCGGGCGTGCGCCTTGAAGAATAGAGTATGCATTCCTCTTGGCGTCAAAAGTATCGACGACGTATTTAACCATTTCTGAATACTGAAACAATTGTGATAGGGTATACACCACAGGGCCAGTTGCGTAACTCGTTAAGGCCCAAATTCGGTCACATTTAACACCTCTACCTGGGATCAGGATGGCGCAGGTATCTAAAATTTCGTTACTTTTCAATAAGAAATTACTTATGATTAGTTCTGCAATTATAATATCCGTTGCAACTTATTTTAGGAGAGGATTTTACGAGCAATGTTATTGGCATCCAAATAATCCATCCATTGTTATTATACTGTATTTCAGGAAGATCCATCTGCATATTGAGAATCCCGGGATCCCAAGTATTATCTCGGCTAATACTTAGTTCTATATTCATCATTATCACATGCATAATTATGATGCGCCATGTATCAAGTTTAGCATATACAGGGGTTGGACAGTATAACGTGAAATGACACAGTATATGTATAAAGAATGTCCCAGGAGGAATGTGCCAAACTTTGGGAGGGTGTTCCTTATGCTAAAGTATGCCGATATAACCCAAAACACCTATGTCCAAAGTTGAACGGTTACGGAGATAATGGCCAGAGGAGTGTGAAAATTTGACAGGTGTTACACACTTGTTGATTACCAAATAAATATTACAACTGGCAGGAATGTGTGGTTTATGTAATGTTAATAATGTACGTAACATCAAACTAACTTGTGAATGACATGAAGCCATTAAATTGAACTACAAAAAACTCGCACGCCATGTCAAAGTTGTCCTTATGGTTCCAAGCACTATACATGACACATGAATGGCATGCACTCACGTAACATGGCTGACTGCGTATTCTGGTATAAGCCGAGTACATAACTGTACTAAAATACAGTACCTGCTTTATAGTAATTGTTCAAAGTGTCCTCCGCAAGCTGCAATGCAATTTTCGGCACGCATCATGAGGGAATGGGTGCATCATGAGGGATTGGGTAGCAGAAGCACTGTTGCCTGGGTGGTGACGTATGTGTTCTGCCGCTGCAGAAATACAATCCCGCAGTGCTTCTCGTGTGCTAGTGTGAGCCGTCATCTCCACACTCAAGGACAAACATCGATAAGACTTGTCAGCTGGTAGGTACAGTGCGTGGACCCGCCAGAAGACCACACTTTTCTCTGGTCATTATCTCCGTAACCGATCAACTTTGGTCATAGGTGTTTTGGGTTATATCGGCATACTTTAACATAAGGAACACCCTCCCTAAGTCTGGCACATTCCTCCTGGGACACTCTGTATACTGTGACACTATCCGTGACGCATGTGCAGACATTACTCCAGTTATATTGTGACGTGTGCGCACTAGTATAAGGCACCGTACTTCCATGTGTGAACAACATGGAAACCAGTCTGAACATTTACCGTAGCGAATATATACACAATTGTGCCATGTGTAGTTCTGTGAACTCACAACGATTTGCCACAATGCCAGCATGTAACGTTGTTTCAGCACGAGTACATTAAAATACACTGGTTTCACTCACTATTTCTGTTTCATATTATACCTGTCTCCTTCACTACCGCTTTTCCCTACTCTGGAAACACTTCCCCTTTCGCCATCTTGTCACCTTCAACATCTCTCTAAAATTTTACTGCTGATGTATAAAAAAAGTAGAAACGCAACGGCAAATCGTATGTAAACATATTCCAACATTCCTCACTGGAAGTACGTGGTTTACAATAACTTCCTTCTTTGCGATTTTCTGTATTGTGCCAAATTGAAGTTGCTTACGGCACGCGACTTCTGGGATGTTCCTTATATAAGGAATTTAGATGTTAATGTAATATACTATCACAATCAGTCAGCTGTGTCTTGATGAATTCATCAATCCCTTTCTCCGATAATAGAGACAGTGACAGTTTCCGAAACGTTGGGAATCCATTCCCATCTTGACGCGGATGACTTTCCGTGAAAGCTCCGAAAATCTTAGAAATTACTTGACTTTAGTGATTCCACTGTCAAGAGATCCCTCTTATTTAGTAAAATACGCACTTGTACGGGGAAAACATATGTTAAAATCTCCATATTAATTTAAAGAAAATATTCGAAAGGGAAAATTTAAAAATAATTTTATTAATGCTTTTACATACAATGGAATCACAAGAATTTCGATCTTTGGAAGTCTGCCCTTTTCGTAAGTTATATGTCGTTTCATTTTGTATTTAAAATGAAATGTCAATAAATTACGAGAACAACCTAATACCATTTATTCCCGGTTTTTCAGTCTAGAAATGGGTGCGATACAAGACCGCACTGGTCTTCTTAGTTCTATGTCTACACCCCTGGGTGGCTCTGCAGTGCACAAAAAATATAATGCTGTTTTTACCTTCCATGCGTGTTAGTTCTATGCTCAAGATAGAAACGTGTACCAACATTTGAAATGCAACCAGGGCAATAGCAGTTCAAGTAGTCGTAGAATGACTAATCGTTCGTTGTATTGGTCACATGTAACATTTCTTTCCTGTATATAAGGGCGAAGGTCAATCGAAGCCGGTCTATAAATGCAGCAGGTTAGCGCTGTTCGTAGCGTGCAGAGTGTTGTGTCACGTGTCAAGAGGTTGTTTTTCACGTCCCATTTAAGAATGGTTATTCAGGTAAGAAGTGAAATATTTGTGATATAAATATTCGTCTTTTACGTAGTTTTTGCTCAAGGCCATTTCAAATATATATAGATACGTGTGTATCATGTTTCAGAAGATTGTTTCTGTGGTGTGATCTTAACCTTCGGAGATGTCAATTTGAAATGGTCGAGTTATGCAGTCTTAAATGGATGATACATACATAGGGAACATTGCGAGTAATTTTGTTTCTTGCAGGGAAGTGTGTCATGAGACGAAGTTAATCAGGCCTTCAGTATCTGGGTTAACTGCGACAGGTTATGTTGAATGGAGCCCAAACAAAACCATAAATTTACCGGTTGGTTTTGCATGTGTTGGGTTAGATTTAGTGGTGGGGACCGAAGTCTGGCCCCTATCGCGGAAGCTAATTCAGCACTTGTAGGCTAGTACACTGCTACTAATACTGTGTCTCAAGTAATTTTGTACGTGAGTCAAACTTCGCCAGTAGTGCAGACATGTAATTACATATAATAGAAAGTGGAAGTTGTAAATGCAGTAATCAGTGTCATCAGTATCATCAAAATCCCTGTATTTCAATGTTTCCTTTATCTTCAGGAGCAGTAAAAAGTCACTGGTGGCTAGATCCGGTGAATAGGGAGGGTGTTCCAGCAAAGTTATTTGTTTACTAGCTAATAACTCCCTCACAGACAGTGCTCTAATTCAAGCTTCAACATATTCTCAAGAGGCACACCAACATACAGTCAGACAATAATAGACACCATTCAGAGACTGCCATAGATCAGCAACACCGCTGTGAAAAGCTAATATGCCAGCATCATAAAACCACACTGAGGTTTCTGTCCAATACTGCCTCGGCAAGCACACGGTGGCCAGTTTGCGAACTTTATTGTCAGACCTTGTACACTCCTAATATAAAAGCAGGTGGTTGGCAAACCTAATTGTACTCTTTGACTCTCTGTCTCCTCCCATGATTTAGTTTTGCAGAAAATAAAATAGTTTAAGCGTGTCTTTTCATGGGGAATATTGTCCTGTATACGAGTGACTATAAATGGGGTTTGGATTGGTAATTGCATTTATTGAGCACTTTAACACATGGCTGGTGACTAGACTCTACAGTTCACTGTTACACACACACACACACACACACACACAGACTAATGAACTCAGTCTCTTACAGTCTTCAGTAATCGCTGCCTGGTAATGGATCCTACCAATGGAGATTCTTCATCTTCTGTGCTCATGTACTCACTAGCTGGGAAATGCCCCACAATTGACTTATTGCTTGAACTGATTAATTTCCAGGCCGGTGGCCATCTCACACCGACCTCCTGGTCTTCTCTTCAGAGGCTGAGTAACTGAACTCTCAACAGACTGTCCTCGTCATAACAGCTTGGCAGAGACCAACTGAAAGCACTGTTCCTCTGTTGTTGCATGCATTTTGTGGGCATTACCTAGCAACTCTGCTATTTATAGTCACCGCTTAGTAACGGGTCCATACGCCACAATATTTATATTGCAGCCAAGCTGCAAAATGTGGAGTTTTACCTTTACTTCTGCACACCTTCATGGCTTGGTGTTAAGGGAAGGTAAAGTGTGTACAGCTGCAGAGGTGACCACTGATTTCCATCTTTACCTCCATTTTCTCTATATAACTCTATGCTGTGGTGCTAAGCACACTTTTGACAACATTATTTCTGTGCATGAAATGTGTCTGTTGCAGGCTGGTGACAAGCTTCCGAGCGTGGAGCTGTATGAGAACAATCCCACCATCAAGGTTAACCTTTCAGACATTACTAAGGGAAAGAAGGTTGTGATTTTTGCAGTGCCTGGGGCCTTCACACCTGGCTGCTCCAAGGTGAGTGGCTTTAGTTCCTGTTGCATTTCCTGGTTTCTTGCTGTTCCATAGTTGTATGAAGATGTGGGATGTGTTTACCAGTGTTTTGGAGAAAACTGCTGCCTCCATCTTCAGGGTAGAATCTTCCAAAACATTGGTACCTATCTACCAAAGTTCATAGTCACACCCTATAAGACTGTAGGTCTTAATACTTAACCAGCATGGGAATCTAAATCTCATAAAGTAAACAGTCAAGCAAAAAATACTGAAATTCCAGTGCACTGATATACTTACTGGGGGTCAAGAAAATAATGGAAACACTAAGGAATTGAGGAATGGAATTTGTGTTGGCTAATTTGAAAGAACTTCATTTGGCAAAACTGAATGTTCTTCCATTTGTTTACGATCTGTAGTACTTGTATCAGTGCATTAATGGTTGTGTTGAGTGACAGTCTGTGTGAAAGAATCGGAAAATGGGAGACTTGTCCAGTTTTGAAAGAGGACAGATTGTTAGTGCATGTTTAGCTGGAGCATCTGCAACAAAAACTGTCACATTATTAGGTATATCAAGAGCAACAGTTTCTAAGGTTATGTCAGCATACACGTATCATGGGAAGATGACGTCTGCAAAGAGGAACAGTGGGTGAAAATGAACATTGACAGAAATAAGTTTTCATAAATTGAGAAGGATTGTGTAAAAAAATCACACAACTACTGCAGCACAGATGACAGGACAGCAGAACTGAATACTGATCTTCAAGACCCTGTTTCCACAAAAACTGTCCAGTGTGAGCTTCATAAATCCAACATCCATGGTAGGGCTGAAACTGTTTAACCTCTGATTACTGAAATTAATGCACAGATGCGTAAACGATGGTGTCACAACTATAAACCCTGATATAAGAAAACTGGAAATGTGTGATACAATCAGGTGAGTTGTCCTTCACGCTGTTCCCTACACCAGGAAGGGTTTACGTTTGGAGAACCCTCAAAGAAGCCTACAATCCAGAATGCCTGGTTGCAACAGTGAAACATGGGGAACAGTCTGTGATGGTTTGGGCAGTGATGTCATGGTATTTTGTTGGTCCCATTATTACCCTCCATGGCCGAATTACTACAAGGGAATATGTGGACAGGTTGGGTAATCAGGTATATCCCATAATCCAGATGTTGCTTCCAAACAATGTTGCAGTTTTCCAAGATTATAGTGTCCCCATTCACACAGCTGGAACTGTTCAGCCATGGTTTGAAGAACATGAAGGTGAACTTCAGCATCTTCCCTGGCCAACACAGTCACCAGATTTGAACATCATTGAACCATTCTGGTCGGTTTTGGAGACTAGAATGAGGAACAGATTGCTGTCTCCAACATCTCTAAAGCAACGTGAAGATGTTCTTCAAGAAGAGTTGTATAAAATTCTGCTAAGGACTGTTCAAAACTTGTACGAGTCCATTCAAAGGACTGCTGCTGTATTGAAGGCAGAAGGTGGTCTAACACCATAGTAATAAAGAAATGTGCACAGTATCTGTAGTGTTTCCATTATTTTGTTCAACCGCTGTGTATTTGCAACTAATTTTTATGGTTCCTTAGATGTGGAATCCCATGTAACCATGAATTATGACCCTCCTTACATTTCTGATGTGTCTTGCCACTACATCAGATACCCATTAGTACTTATTTTAGTGTTATAATGTGCTATTGGGGACACACAGCAGTGTAGTTCATTGAGGCACTATTCTACAAGCTGGAAGGTCGCGGTTCCAATTCCTGATGAGGACATTGGATTTTTCAGTTGACTTAATCCTTACAGCTGCACTATGGTCCCGGGGTCAACTCAGTCTCTAACACAAATGAGTACCATGACTGGAGGCAAAGGGCACTCTGTGCATAAGCCTGACACCCTTACCATTATCAGTGTGCAGACTGCCTAGAAAATGTTGAAACCTTGATGTCTCACAATCGTATGGGTCTCCATGATCTGTTAACAATGATATCTTTTTCTTATGTCTGTGTCTTATTTGGTGTGTTTCATTCCTTTTTGTAGACTCACCTCCCAGGTTATGTAAGCAAGGCGGATGAACTGAAACAAAAAGGCGTGAAAGAAATCATCTGTATTTCTGTCAATGATCCATTTGTTATGGAAGCCTGGGGTAAAGAACATAAAGTGGAAGGGAAAGTAAGTCTATGTAAAATTTATTGCAGGATTACAGAAGAATGCATGATTTTGCTGTGGCCTGTAACTAATTTTCCTTCATTCCTGGGTGCACGTTGATCATCCATGAGGTTATTGGTATCATTCTACACCACAGCTTCAGCAGAGATAGTGGACATGAGCTTAGTCCAGCCTCAAAGACATTAATACAGATATAAAAGTAGCAGAATTATGCTATGAGACACCACTGATTCAGGAAAAAAATGGCTTTGATATAGCTTCTTTCACTGTCTTAACATGTCTTATTACCCCATAAAAAAATAAAACAGTTCTGTCCAATGTGACTGGTTTTCTTATTTCAATTCTTCATGCCCTTACATGTTTTGGTCCTTAGAGACCATCATCAGAGGGACATCAATACAGTTTTGGAAACCACTATTACAATAGGTGTTTTGGGTGTTAAGATATACAGGGTGTCCCAGGAGGAATGTGCCAAACTTCGGGAGGGTGTTCCTTATGTTAAAGTATGCCGATATAACCCAAAACACCTATGTCCAAAGTTGAACGGTTACGGAGATAATGGCCAGAGAAGTGTCAAACTTTGACCGGGGTTACACACTTGTTGATTACAAAATAGATATTAAAACTGGCAGGAATATGTGGATTCTGTAATGTTAATAATGTACGTAACATCAAACCAACTTGTGAGTGACGGAAAGCCATAAAATTGAAGTACAAAATACTCGCTCGCCATGTCATAATTGTCCTTAGGTTTCCAAGCAGTATACATAACACATGACTGGCGAGCGATGACGTAACGTGCTGACTGCGCGTTCTGGTATGAGCCAACTACATAAGCACGGCTAGGGAGTATCATCGCACTCAAGGACAAACATAGATAAGGGCTCTCAGCTGAGAGGTACAGCGAGGTACAGTGCTTGGACCTGCCAGAAGACCACACTTTTCTTGGGCCATTATCTCCGTAACCGTTCAACTTTGGACATAGGTGTTTTGGGTTATATCGGCATACTTTAACATAAGGAACGCCCTCCCGAAGTTTGGCACATTCCTCCTGGGACACCCTGTATATATATCTTAACACTCGGAACACATATTGTAATAGTGGTTTCCAAACTGTATCGATGTCCCTCTGATGATGGTCTCTAAGGGCCGAAACATGTAAGGGCATGAAGAATTGAAATAAGAAAACCAGTCACACTGGACAGAACTGTTTTATCTTTTTATGATATTGTTAGTGTGACAGACCAGAATGAAACAAATCAAATTCTTATTACCTCCCTTCAGAATAAAACTGAGAAAGAAACTAAGAGGTATCTACCATATTGAGCCATGTCCATCACCAAGAGAGTGTAAGTTCCTTTGCCTTGTAACCTGCAACTATAAATATTCGTGTCAGGCCACTGTATAGTCACATGACTTCAAAGATGCAGGCTGACAGTTCTTTGGAACAGAAAACTAGGTCACCAGAACATGCTATCATCTTACATGAATTAAAATATGATTTTAGGTTTCTCTGAATCTGCACTGTACTATTATGCCTTGTCATGAGGAAGTTTGAAATTCTGTCTCCCTCCTGTCTGTAACAGACTGTCATGAGGAGTACTATCTTCTGAGATATGATGCTATGTAATCTAATAATCTACCTGTCATTTTGGAGGAATATGCTGCCTCCAGCTTCAGGTTGAAGGGTAAGCCAAGCCAGCTGCAAGCAGAGTGCTCGCTTGCTTTCTTGTTACCTTCCTGAATACAGTACTCTTCAGTCACTGCTATGAGAACCTCAAGTCTCATATAATTGTACTGTTTTAGGTATCTGCTACTTGGAAATTGTTAGACATAACTTAAGAGTGAACACAGTTCCCCTTATTTGTAATCTTCAAGGCACAGAAAAAGTATCATGCAAAAAATAGTTGTACACTACATGTTTCAACAAAAACGGAGCTATTTTTATTACATATGTACACACCTATTGATGTCAACCACAGCTGAAACATATAGTGTTTAATATACTAAACTGGTTGATATATTGAGACGTGTATATTCAATTCAGTTGCTTATTATATGTAACAGAATCGTTTTGCTGTGTGATGGCATCAAAAGCCCTAAATGTGGAGTATATGAGAGAGAAATTCATATAAATGTGTTCATTATTTCAGGTTCGGATGCTTGCTGATCCCAATGCTGCATTCACAAAGGCTGTGGACCTGTCAACTGATTTGCCACCACTTGGTGGAACTCGATCAAAGCGATACTCAATGGTTGTTGAAGATGGTGTTGTTAAGTCCATCAACGTGGAACCTGACGGCACAGGACTAACATGTTCATTGGCTGATAAAATTAATTTGAATGTCTAAATGCATTCAAACAGTTGTGATTGCCTTTGTATGCTCTGCTCAAGAAGATGAAATGCATCACAGTAGCAAGACCTACCTTAATGAAAGTCATCAGCAAATGTAAAATGTTACCTCCCAGAGTTCATTCGTAACTTCTGTGTAGTGCTGTAAAGGAAGAATCCAAGCAGTATACTTCCAAGAAAAATGGCAGTGCTTTGCATGTGAAACATTGCACAGATGTGTGTGTTTATCATAGTCTGTTACATTTACTGCTTTCATATAATACACCATAAGAATGGGATAGAAATTTCAGTACCATCTGGGGAATTTTTTGATCTTAAATTGAAATTCTGTATACCGCTTAACACTCATTATCTGATACAACTGCCACTTTGGATTCCAGCTTACAGTTATCTTCTCATGGCACAGTGAAATCCCATTGTAATGTTCCTGCATTTAGTGAAATTTTGTATAAATTTTTGGCTCCAGCCAATGCCACTGTAAAGAATGTTTCATTTTCCCATATTTACTGAATTTTAGTTCTGTAAATAATCCATGTTTAGTGCGAGAAATGTTTGACCTTTCAGAATTCATGCCACTTCACTGAGATTCTGGTCTAGACAACAATCAATATTCATGTTTTCTCTCTGCCAGAAATTGCAACTACACAAACATAATCTTTGGTGAGTGATGTCACATACTGAATATGGATGAAAGCCACATCACTCTTGGCATCATAATTACTGTGATTCTCAGCTGAGATTCTTTCATTATTCACTTCATATGTCATTAATTATTGTATAAATTAATTTTATGGCATTGGGTATAACTGTATTAATTTGTGTATAAATACAATTTTATCAACTACTTCTGTCAAGAATTTTTTTTTTAAGCTTTATGAGGAGAAGAAAATTGTCTTGATGTAATTTTACATTTTACATAACCCACAGTTAGTTAAGACCTTGAGTCACTGAAGAAAGCCAGTACCCCCAAAGATTCATAAAATGAGATTTCACAGTATTAGCCAAAAATTGTGCTGTTGGTGGTAAAATATATAAATCGTTCATAAACTGTTCCATTTAAACAAAAGCGTTCCAAATAGAAGTCATTAAGCCTACTTTCTTATTTCACTGACTTCTAGTTCTACAAATCTCTTGTTATGAATATTATATTTCCGTAATGTAAATTTGTAATCAAAATGAAGTGAAAGTTAGTGTATGAGCCAGGCTGCTGGACACATGTATGAATGGTCATACAGTCATATTCTGGTAACATATAATGGTTGCAGTTGTACCATTACAGAAGGTGATTATGATGATTAATAATAAATAAATTTGTTTCATTTTCTGGAAAAACTTGTGATTTTGTCTACATAAAATTTAATGGATGTAACCTCAAAGTTCTGCCCCATCACCATGTTTGTAATGCTTGTGTAAGTATGTGTATAGTCTATCTGTGTACATAATTTCATGATACATGCTCCAGTGGTTCATTGTCTTATCACCTTCAAACTGAATGCTAAATATAGATATCACACAGCTTCCAGTTTGTTGTTTTACATTCCAAAAGAAAAGTTTCATAATTTCTCAAGATGTTACCATCCTTGGAGACTGGCAGTGAGTAAACAAACAATGCACAGATGAAAGACGCTGAAAATTATCAGATCAAAGAAAACAAGCCAAATTGCATTGGTTATAGGACCCAAGCAAAACAAATTGTGATAATCTGAACAATATAAGATGTGAAGCCAACAGGCATTTCAGGAATGAAAAGAGGGAATATCTGAAAGACAAAATTAATGAGCTTGCAATGAACAGTAAGAAGAAGAAGAAGATGATGATGATGATGATGATAGACCCGTATATAGGAATAAATGACTTAAGAGGGGTTACAAACCTAAAATTAACATTGTGAAGGATGAGAATGGTGATCTGCTTGCAGATTCCCAGATTATTTTGAATAGGTGGAAGTATTATTTCTCTGTTATTGAATGTGCATAGGCTCAGTGATTAACCATCAAAAATGCTATAGCAACTGAACCTGGAGAAGTTAATTATATTCAGTGCCTTGTAACTTTAGCCGCGTGGAAAAGTAAACGCTGTTGTGGAGCACGCAAAGCTTTACGCTTCCTGTGGTGATGTTCAGAGGTACTCCCTGAGCGGAAAACATTGCCTACAGAGTAGATACCGCAGAATCGATACAGTGCGGTGGGGTGAAAGCACTACCTTATCCCACTTCCGGCTAGCATGACACCATATCACAATTGCAATATGTACAGTGCCTGACATAATAAGAAACACAGTAACTGTACACTAGGCAATACACTGTACACTATTATAAAACAAACACTACAGAACAATACCTTACAATCCTCGACAGAGCATGTCAAATCCACAGTGTACTGGCTCAGTGCACTCAGTCTGAATTGCCAGACTATGAACCACTACAAGCACTGTCTGTGTCATCCTCACCATCAGTATCATCCTGCAGATTGATGATTATTTTGTCTATCACATCCGGCACAATACCATCTTCCTTCCAGAACAGTTTTCCTTGTGATTCCACATGGTGACAGAAACTGGTCCAGTTGTCTGCCATAACCTCTTGTATGGCTTCATTTGTCACTTCCAGTAATTTTGCAAGTGACAAATCCGCTGTTACATTGTGCTCTCTGACCATCCATTTTATTTTAGCCCATGCGAGCTCAATCAGATTGAGATCACACAAATACAGCAGCAAATGGACCACAGAATCCCCATGTCCAGAAAGAATGGAATCGATCTTAAACACTTTCTCCTTTAGGGAAAGTATTTGTTTGTAGAGGTCATTCTTCTGTATACTCTCATTACTGTCGACACCCTTGTTGCATGGCCACGATATCATATCCTTTTTTAGCGAGTAAGGTGTTGGCAGCTTGTCTGTTTGGATACAGTGGTATGGGGCATTGTCTAGAACAATGATGGACTGTGGAGGAATACGGGGAAGAAATTTTTCCGTCAGCCATTTCTGAAAGGTCTGGCTCTTCGAGGTCCCTGCATGTAGTATTATGAGTCTGTTGGCAGAGTTAACATTTTCCTGGATTCCCATGATGTCATTACTCTGCCAGCACTTTTGAAATGTCAGGTTGCTGTCTACCCATATCTTGTCAATGTACACGTTTGATCATCCTACCGCTTTATTTTAACCAAGTATTTACTTCGCCAGTTCACAATGTCCTGTCCTTCGATCAAAATTTTGCGCTTTGACTGACATTGCCGCCATCTAAACTCCATCCTTTTAATAACTGCACAAAGACGTTTTTCCTGAAGGAAAATTTTATTTTGCTTTTAATTATTGGCAAAAGCTTGGGAATGGTGGTCACTTGTTTCTCCTGTATATAGAAATTGTGAATTTCATTACTAGTAACGCACTTATGAAAGTTGTCTACACACACAATGCTGCGAAAAATGCATCTTCTCTTCTTCCCTGATGACTGCAGCTGTCTGTTGGCGTCATTTTCCTTCTGTTTCTTCTCCTTTCTGATGTTTTTTAGTGGCATAAGATACCCCAGCATATACAGCAGCAGTTCCATAGCTTTTGGGAGCAGCAATAACAAATGTTTATTCAGCTTTTCCTCATTGCACTTCTCTACAATATTAGCTATTACTTCCCTGACCTCACTATGAATTGTTCCGAGCAATTGTCGGTGTGCCATGATGGTGACACGAACACCACATAATACAATCGCTATGACTGGTACCAACTAACAAGCAACACAGTGTGCTATACACCTGACGACACTCAAGACGCTACATTCCAAACTGGTGGTATCCACGCTGATGTAAGATGATAAGACTTCTCCCCCAGCTCTGTGAGAGATGGTATAAACCCTCTACCATGACTAGAGTTCCAAGGAACTAACAGTGTAAGTAACCATGAACAAATGAACACCAAAAAGTGTTCTGCAAATTGAAGTGCAGAATTTTCTGCATAGGCATGATAGTTATATTATAAAAGAGAGGAAATAACAGGAAGATGGAGAAAGTGGTGCTGTGTCTTTTTGTGTGTGTCACTGATCATGAGGCAATTATATCTTTTCTAGTTGGATGAAAATGAAGGTGATGATGCAATAAAGAGACCGTGCAGGGAAGAACAAATCACCTTTGACCATGTTTCAGACGTCCCACAAGTTCAGGGCGACATCAAAGCTGTGTATGTATTGTGTGTCATTGCTAATTATGATATTCTGAATGGCAGCAAATTTCCATTATTAGACTTAATTATATAGGACTTTATCATACTGATCTGTGTCATATCTATGTAAGATTTGAGGCTTTCACGGCGGTGACTATGAAGAAAGCAGTCTTCTGGGATTTGGCACCGTGTATATGTGGTGTTAACTGACGTTTCTGAGGAACGTATCGCCCCCTTCTTCAGGGTAGAAGAAAAAATCGAAGAAATCCGCAAGCGAAGAGACTGTGAGAACCGGTTTACCGGTTCTGAGAGCTTCCTTCCACATCCTTTCCAATTCATCATGCACTGTTATACAGTCATTTGATGCTATAGCCTTGAAAATACAGACAGCCAAGTCAAAAACTGCAAAGTATATGGTGTGACTTGCCAGAAGGCCATGATAATAACTTTCACTAAAGTAAGAACCCCATGTCTGATATTTTTGCTAATGACTGTGTTGGGAGAGGCAAGTGAAAAAGAGAGGAGTCTCCTGGCCAAAGTGAGGCAAGCTGTTGGGCCCCATAAGCAGAAGAAGACACAAATTCACAACAATGAGATCTTGAGTTCATTCAGTTCAAGTGGAAAACTCTTGAACCATACGAAGACCAGCACAAAGAGGAAATCCTCCGCAAATGGTAAGAAACAAAAAGTATTCTGATGCCTTTGTAAATTTACAAACGCAAATATAAGATATTTCTTTTTTCTGTCACAGAACATTTAAAGGTCTCAAGTGCTGTTTTAAATTCACATGGAATATGTTAATTATCTGGAGTCAGTATATTTCCATTGTGCTAGGATATCTCAGTCAGTATAATGTCCAAGTTATTGGCTGAATGAACAAGGAAACAGAATTCACTTTCTGGTGAGTGATAGAAGTTCTTCTCCTCTTCATGTTGTCCAGAGTGGTTCTTGAACCATCCAGTCTCCTGCCCAATGGCAACGGGGACTATTTTCTTGGTGATAAAGCAGCCAGGGCACGAAACTGACCTGTCACTTCCATCTGTTATGTTACAAATGCATTGAGCTATATTTCCATGCCCTTTACATCTTCATGGCATGTTTCTTAATTTAGTACTGGGACAATTTTATCTTCACCTTTAACATTTATTAGGTTGCTGTAAGAATGAAGCTATGTCTTTTTATTGTTGTATATTCAAATGATTAACATCGTACATTTCTTACAATCAGATTGGTCATGTAGTAGTACTCCTGTCTTGGGCAACCCACCAAAACAATCTCGTGAAAGCCTTGGGGATGCAGCTCACATTTTGAAGACAAGTGAAACTGTGGCAACTACATCATCCAGTCATACCCTATCACGAGTGCCACTACCACAACACTGTCCTCTTGTGGGGCAGAGGACAGATCAACTGACAAGTCTGAGACTGTCAAGCCAGGTGAGTTTCTGTCCAAATTTTCTGCTGTTCTGGACAAGAGAACAGATTCTGTGTTGAACACTGTGGTGGTATTAAAGGCAACGCAAGCCTAGGACAGACAGACTCGTCTGAGATCTATGCATGCTATTATAGCTGGGTGATGGCCATCATCAGGTGCTTCTGATATGTCAAAATTGTTTCACTGTATGAAAATATCCACCTTTTTATATCAGTGTGTGAATGCAATATTTAATGATTTAAATAAAATGGATTTTCAATAAAAATTTTCCAGTTTCAAAATTCCACTTGGGGCATCTTCATCCATGCAAACAATATAGTTTCAACCTCTCTGTTTGGATATAATGCATAGCGGCATTGGTGTTAGTCTTTTGTTTTGTAGATCACAGGTATGTTGATGTAGTTATTGTCTGCAATGTGCAAAGAAACATATTATTTGTTATCTATTGTGTTTCATTACATTAGTTTTCTTTTTTATATACTCACTTTTGCCCCTTTGCCTGTTATGTCCTTCACCCCTCCTGCATAATAATATTGATTGTCATTCCTTGTCTGTGGACCTTATGAATAGTTGGTGTGCCTACTCCCGCATTTATAGTAGAATGGGAAGGAGGAGGTAGTTGTGTACTGTTTTCTTATGTAAATCTCATGTAATATCTCAAATATGGGGTTGTGTGTATCATTATAGATGTGTCATTTTTATGTAGATTTTCCCTCTGATTTTATAAATGTGATACCTTTCTAAGGTA